ATTTTTAAATGGGAGAGGCGGTATTTCCCAGCAATGGCACAGTCGGCCGGGGTCAGGGACTCAGGTCCAAGAATCGGCGAACAATACGTGCCGTATCGAGCAGGACCGCCTTCTGCATTTATTACTATTACTATTATTATTTGCTTTATTCTTCTCAGCTTGTTAGCTGGTTTGAAACGCATTTACGGACCGAAGTCAAGTTAATGCAGTATGACGTGAATCTACGAGCATGTGGTGGGTGTGCAATAAGATTATTATTATTAGTATTATTATTATTAATAATAATACTATTACTATGGTTATATTTCTTTAGACTCTATTATTATTATTATTATTACTATTATTATCATTATTACTATTATTATTATTAATATTGTTATTATTATTACTATTATTATTATTACTATTATGGGAATTTTTAGTGCACCTTAAAATGGGTGTCGATAAAAGCAGTGTGGGCCGCATTGGCAACACACTACCTGTCTATTGTTTGCTAAGGTGGCGACATACAATTGATGTCGTCAGGATTATGAAGGCCTTTTGAATTTTGTACAAAAAGTCGACGCATTTCTGGTCTGTAACCGATTAATTGTGTGTCTAATCTTGTGGCTGTGTAATAGCAGTGGATAACGTCTTCGTTCATTTCTATTGACCAAGTTAACCGCTGCCGAGGGAGACCTGCCTTTGTGGTCAAGGGCTGCATGTCTCTTGAAACACTATGAGCAGGGGGGTTGAGTAAAGTATAGAAGAGGGGTAAGGATTATTTGTTGATGAATTATCAACAGCAGACTTGTTCTGGATTGAATTTTTTAAATTGTTATTATCCATGGACTAAGAATTTTTGTTTTTCGGACCAGCAAGTCAGGCAATATACAACAATATAAATTGGCGTTGCCAAGTTCCCCGAAGGGACCATTCGCGACCCAGACATTTAGCGCACCCTGGGCCAGATGGCTTTCAGCACGGTGCCTTAGACCTTCAGCTGATGCGTGACTTACTGCACTGGTGTAACAGGTCGATCCACGTGAAAGTACAACGCACCTGTCGCGACATTACTAATATTATTATTATTATTCAACCTATAACTTTTGATATGTCTATAGGTAGTGGACGTTATGGAGCTGCGTTCCATAGCAGATAAGAAGCTAGGTGCTCTAGAAAGGGACTGCCGTATGATGAAAGTCATTTACCCACGCTGGATACGTTTGAAAAGCTTCTCCCAAACTTTATCTGGTCGCCTCAATACTGCGACTTCTGCCATTAACCAAGTATAAGTTTTTCTTAATTTGTACTCTGTTCAGATTTTTAGAGTATTTTGTATTAATCTCATTCAGCAATTTCAAAAATATTATTTGCGAGTGGCTGTATGTAAAGTAGGTATTGTCCCTACAGAAATGCTAGTTTTTATAGAATTCACCTTTGAATTCAAAAGCGGCGTACCTATAAACGATATCTGCGGTTATGCAAGATAATTAGCATTAGAGTACCGTATGTCTAACGCCAAAGTCTGAATGAGTTTGTCAATAACTAAAATTGGCGAACCCTCATTAGCTATACGCGTAACTCGCGAACGTTTACTTTTTGTTAATATTGATGAGGTATACGTACGTAACATGTGCATAGTGTGTATGTGTATACCAGAATTCAATTTTTAAGGTACCGAACGAAAGACGAAACACATTCGTGTAAGATCACTCACAATTCCTTCCGTTGGGTCGCAAGTATTTTAGCGGAATTTGGCGCTTATGTATCGGGAAAAATAGAAATGAATTCGAGTTCTTGAGTTTGTTTTTACAAAGACAGAACTAATTTTGTTAGGTAAAAGTCTCAATTAAAAGATCGGCAATTACATTAATAATATATACCTATATTTACTTATATAAGAGCAAGAGCTGTAAAGTCAAACTCAAATCTATATTTAATAGGTAAGCAAATTACACTTGAAATCGTCATACTGATTAAACTCTACTGCTCATTCGTAAGGCAGATTCCCCTGAGACGAATGAGCAAGAAACTCTAGGGGTTGCTCTTCGTAAATATACATTTGAATACATTTATCATTACAATACTTAATTTAAACATAAATCGAGAGTACCTGAAAGAGCTAAACAGGTCACTACCACGGATTTTTGTCATGCAAGTACGCAGAAGTTGTATAATATTAATAACATTTAATATAAAGTTGTGTTTCACAATACTTTTAAACCACGTAAATAGCAAATTTTAAATATCAACCGGAATCTTGTTACAGAAACTTATGGAGACTTTACGAAGACTACTTTCAAACAGCTAGTTAATTTTTATTCCTCATATTATTGTCTGTCACATTTTCACCGGAATTAATACTATAAAACTCTATTAATACCAAAATAATATGTAACTTGTTTAGCAAATACTTAAGAGGGCAGTAAATTTAGTGGATGGACTAATATTACCTAATATTAGAATCACCATAATAAATAAGTACTAATAGTAATAATTGCGCCACCGAATAAAAAGCCACAAGATGTTTTTCTGGAAGACTTTTGCACCGAGACAAAGCAATCACTTTTATAACATTACATACGGTGAATATCAATTAATTTTCTCAGGCTTTGGATGACGCGCATCGCAGTCGAAACTGCCTCGAAGAAGAACTGGCCCGTGCTGTATTCTCGAACTCCAAGTTCTGGGTAAACAGTGCTCGTTCTGGTATTTTCCTTCATTGGAAAAGCGGCTCGGAGCATGCTCGCGACGGATCATGGCACCAAATCCTCTACAAAATGAGCGTCGCAAGGCGAGGGCCCTCGTGATAACATGGTCTGTAAACAAAAATAATAGTTTACTAATAATTATTATAATGATGTTTTTCTTTACAAGTTAATTTTAAGGCGAGGTATTTGTACGTAATCCTAGATTTTAGGAGGTGAGGTGTGGGAGGGCCGCTTCTCGCGTCTTGCTAGCCGCGCGCTGAAAATTATTATGAATGAAATAAGCTGAAACAGACGGAGAAAAATTTACACGGATCAAACGTTCACAAGCGCCCGATGACGACTGACGGGGCAGCTGGTGGTGCGGCATGTCGCTAAACCGCTGGGCAGCTTTAAAATTTTCTGGATAAATGTGAATTTAATAACTACGAGGCTTCAGTTGAAAACTAAAATTTTGCAGGTTTTCTGTAGTACTTAGAGAGAGATATCTCCGTATAAAAATTAAAGTTAGGTATTTAATCTTAAATAACCCGTTTTAGACTTTATTTTAGACAATTTTCACGTTTTTAGATGTTCGGGCAAAGCTCATCCTATCGTGTAACAAATTACACACTCTTTTGACAATATCCTTAGGTGTATCATATATTTTTTGTAAGACCGTTATTCAATAATAAATACCTAAATCATTTAATCTAACAAAACAGTTTTCCCCGCTTTGCCTCCGATGACTCAACATAACACTAAAGTCCTGCCTGGATAAGGCTTCATTTACAGTATACTGTAAATAGTTATGTAGAGTCAATCAAAGCTCGTGAAATAGTTAATTTACATGTATCAGAAACTTTAGGGATTTTAACACACATTCCCTTATTTCATGTTTTCCTTCCTGTATTGTATGTAAGTACTGATTGTATTTTGTTACATGCTTTCAAACTTTTACAAAATGCAATTTAATATAACTAAACTAGAATTATTTTGAGTTTCTCTTGAACGTTCGTTCTCCGTTATTACTGTTATTGATGTTAATCTTATTTAAAGTGACTAAACGATTTTAATAAATACATTACCGAAATCAAAAATAAAGTTTTAGTTAATACACCTTACGTACGTAATACCTAATTCTGTTTAGGTGCTCTACATATCGGGAACGTCACGTTTTCTTGATATTATCACAGATATTATCACGTTTTCTTGATATTATGTCCATCAGTACAAATTGAGTGAATGATTAAATAAAATATTCTTTTTAGCTCATAAAATTACAGTGACAAAATTATAAGCCAATGTATACTAAGAAGGGGATACAACCAAATAATATCTTCTAATAGACGCACGTATTTTAAACAAATACACTGCATGATATTTAGTAATAATATATTTTGTATATAGATTTAATACTGACAAATGCATATAATAATACATGACAGTAATAAATATAATAAGTTCAGCATATTGGTCAAACTCAATTTTTTGTGTACTCCCTCTTAGTCGTAACATAAAATCTCAAGTTGCATTGCATAAATCACAAAGTCAACTTAGTCAACAAGATTTGTATATCTTGAAATGAAAGATTAAACGCAGTGACCAAAAGTTGCCCAGTATGCAAAGTGAGACATACAACCAGGTCTTGCTTCATTTCATGTAGATTCTGTCTGTTCTATCTGAAGGTCTAACATGGGCTCATCTAATGAAAACTTTTGTTTGTGAGATAAATCAATAACGCATTCACTGCCTCCGACGTATATAATAGGTATATAAATCTAACTTTCACCCATTGTGTTGAATGCTATTATGAGTTTACACATTCGGAAAACTTCATTTAGTGCCATCAACGCAGATATAAGTAATGAGTTAAGGCTGCTATGTTCAACATTAATTTTTGGAGTTAAATTATATAATCATCTTATTTTAAGCCTCCTCCTTCTATTGTATATGTATTATTGTTTCAATTTAGTTTCTTTAGATTACGGTCTTTAGGTCTCAAATTTATCATAATGAAAATAACTAAAACATTCATTTACTATAATATTGTGTATATTATATTGGGTGTGTGTAGTGCTACTCAGAGCTTTAAATCATAAAGATGTGAGGGGAACTGCCACTACGCGTCACCCTGAGACATAAGTTGACTAGTCCCATGTGTCTGTAATTTCACCAGTACCCATAACCTTCGAAACCGGAATGCAGTAATGCATCACATTACTGCCTGGCGGCAGAAATAGGTGAGATACTTCCCTGGACGAACTCAGCACAAGGAACTCTACTGTTATAAAACTACCATGAATTCATATTTGCGTTTAAGGCACTGGACAATTGTCCCTCAAACTCAAATGTGCCTTTGCAACTTTGAGCGAACACCTGGCGAATATCAAAAAAACAATTCAAACAAAACTACAGGGGCCTTACCATGAACTCTTATTACAGTTCAGTATAGGTTCGTAACGTCTAAAAAGCGGAATGGTGATATACACTTCATGTGGCGCTGTATCACAACGATTCATTTTAGGTCCTAAACTGAATGGTAATAAGAGTTCATGGCAAGGTCCCAGGTCGAGACTGAAATTGCATACACACGTATTGGCGATAGTTGTTAGTAGAAGATAGGTAGCTTGAGCTTCTTTCCCCCTTCCCTTTCGAACCTAGCCACACACGATTGATTGGTTTATAAGAATAATTTTCCAAACGAAACTCTTCTAGGTAGAACAGTTTCGTTTGGAAAATTCTAAACGGGGCCTTCGTCACACGAATGCGCGTTAGACGAACTTTTGCCTTTCATTTAAAATTAGTGCATCGACTAGTCTCCTTGCGAGCATCAACATATTATTTCGGACGGATTTGAGCGGGCCCACCTTTTTGGATCGTGAGTATTTGATTTTTGCTTTTTCGTTTGGAATACTGTTTTTTAACCCCTAAACGCAATAATACATTAAATATTTAAGTAATGTGATTAAGTTGTGGCGCACATTGCATAAGCAAAACGCTATCGCTTATGCAAGTGAGGCCACACCAACATCATACGATCAATGACGTCGGCGCCTGCACATCGTAGGATTAGTGACGTCGGCGCCGCGCCTGCACATCACTCGTTGCCCTCGCAAGCCAGCCGACTCCCGCGGCGGTCGCCCCGCCTCATGCACCTCATCGCTTCAAAACCCAGCACTGCGCGCCGAGCACCGAGCACTCTGCTTGCTTCTCGCTTTGGAAACAGACGCTCTTTCTAATTCTTATACTGCTTTGTATTTTTACGCTTTTCTTGTAATTTCTTAATTTCTTTAAGTAAAATTCCTTTTTATTCCTTTCAATAATATTATACATTAGCTTCCACGTATCTTTCTTCCTTCCTTTCGCTTTCTTGTCATAGTTTCAAGTATACGTAGTTCGGGTTCGAGTCCCGAATTAACAGGAGAAACGAACGCACTCCTACAAAGTCAAAAACATCATGTTAATAACTATCTAGCTTGCAAAAAAATATTGATGATTTTTTGCAACACAATTGTTACGACCTGCGGCCAAGTACAACTTTTGTGCTTACTCTTTTCACGCTTTTTTCGGTTTTTTCGAAAGACGATTTCGACACCTGAAACAAAAACTCCCAGGAACGTCGTGATGCTGACGGGTGCTCATCCTCAAAATCGAAAGACGAGTCTGTTGATGGCGTATCTCTAAATACGCACCGATGGACGAAGAAGAAGCGTCGATGCCAGGAATTATTTCCCTAATGTAAATTCGGCAGTAACACCCACTCAATGTTTTGAGAAATATTTTACACGAGAGGACACGGTGAGACTTATTAAATAACAATTCTTAAAAAGCACTATTAGAATAGGTACATTTTAAGACTGTTTGTTGATTTTGCATGTAAGAAATGTCTTCAAATGACACCAAATAAATAAGAATTATAACAAAATTATTGTTGTTATATTTTACTCAAATATATATGAAGGCCCATCTAAATATAATCGTATTTCTGTTATAAAGGGTCAAAGTTAATACAATTGTGCGGGGCAAAGTTTTCCAATATGGCGGGCGGAAAATGGAAAATTGTCCTCAAATTCGTCATCTACGGGTCAATTTCAGGTAGATATAATTTTTTTTCGGATAAATTCCAAGTAGTTTCGGAGCCGGTCCGAAAGGGCTATTGAAAAGGTCAGAGATACTGAATCTATACGACGCAATAACCTAATGACTGAGTAAAACAATCGTTTCGGAGTTTTATATTTCAAACCACATCAAAACTATATACAAATCTCTTATGGCTGAATGATGGACAGCGGATGGAATTACTTACGACACGAGAAACAAACTATAAACTTATGCACTATTGCACATTTAATAATCTTTCGAAGATGCGGAGTAATGCTAATGTTATGCATGATGGTAATACTGAAAGACTATTCGACATGGAAATTTCCGAGCGAGAAGATTATCTTCGAGCATTTTCATGTTTAATTTTTTATAAATATAATATACTTACCTAACTTCCAAATACAACTTTACTACACTATGCTCTATATTAGGTAGTGTTATTTTTTCCAGCGGTTGGTTATTCTCAGGGTCGAACCCTTCGCTCCTATAATATATTATATTATCCATATCAAATTATAAATTGGTATTTACGTACATATTTTCATCAATATAGTATATGTATCTTCCACTGTAATCTCCTAAACAGACACTCGCCATCGTCCCTATTTTAACAATGCATTATTAAAATTTCACGATCCGAATGTAGTGAGTTTCACGTGACTTTAAAACGGGAATTCATACTAACTCATCAAGTGACAGACAGAGTGCGGCGATATAAGAGTCGGTTCACATGCTAGGCGTTAATACACGCTCGTTTTGCTAACACGTTCTCTTTCATCTACACAAATTTTCATAAGTAGCCGTGCCATAGTTCACATGCCAACGTGCATTTAGCGCGCGTTAAATGCGCGTCAGCACGTGAATACCAACGTCGAATTTTGAACAAAAGTCGTAATAGTTGTAAGCGCGCGTCTAAAAGTCGGTTCACATGACAAACGTAGACAAGCACGAAACGCGCGTTTTTGTAAAGCACGCTTACAACAACACGAACGTATTCGCAAGTATCTAATTGTAGTCACCTATTGACGCGTGTTGAAAGCGCGTCTAATGCTTGTCGTCTGAATCAGGCCTAACGCTTGACATCCGAAAAAACGTCAACCCAATTCCGGCAACTTCGCGACGGACGTGTCGAGCGCATAGAATATTTCTGGTAGGGATGCACGATTTTTTGCTTTGAATTGATTTTTTGGATCGTAATGGACCTTATACCACTGCATTGATCCACGGATCGAACCGTATGCTCTTGAATCTATGTCATAAAAATTGTTTCAAAATTTGTTACAAATAAAACACCTCTATTACATGATTTAATTTCCATAATAATATATATGCAAATATTTTTTTGGCTTTTCACAGATGCCAAGCCTTTAGATGTAACTAAACTTTTCAATAATAATGTCATTTAGCTTAATGTCTAAAGCATTGTCCTTCTCTTTATTTTCCTTTCCTGTACTTGAAGAAATTATTAACAAAATGAGACTTATGTTTAAATTATGAATACGATCTAGACGATTCGATTCGCCTTAATTGTGAATCGATTCGCTTAAAAATTTCGCATTGAAACATTGACTTACAAATAAATGGACGACGGGTCTAATACAAAAACCACGAAAAAAATGTCCCAAGTCAACCTATTCGAAATTTAAATTGTAATGTCATCGCAGTGTCGCGCTGTCAGTCGAACAAATGAAGACTAAAGCGGAGTTTGGCGCTCTGTATACGATTTTAGCGCCTTACAAGTGCGGACACTTTTTAGCGCGGACCCGACGTCCATATAATTGTAAGTCAATGCATTGAAATTTCTCTATTCATAAAATCGCTAGATCGTATGCAATTTAATCGATCTTCAAACAAATCGAATCGTAATGTGCATCCCTAACTTCTGGAGCGGGTGACCTTGTTCTACTGTATTTTCAATTTCAATTACTGTCATCTTTCTTATCAAAAGTGCACGTGTATATGGCAGCGATATATACGTACAACCTTAATTAGATCGCTCATTAAAAGTAATAGGTAATTGTGCTGTTAATTAACCTTAACCCACGAAAATGGTGGAAAACTTGATAATTTTTGGAACTTTAGTATCATCGACAGGATTGAATAGTTTGGAGGTAGTTCCTGGTTATCTGATTATTGAAGATGGCAAGGTAAGACACATTATTAAACATTACACATTATTTTTGCGACTACCCAAATACGATTGGCTCACTAGGCCTGCAAAAGATTAATATAATTTAAATTGCATCCTAAGCGCATATGGGAAAAATGTAAGAACAAACATGGCCAAAATTACGCTTGACAACTAACTGCGTTTCTCAAAGATTTATTTTAGGACGAAGTTAATATCAACTTCCTCCTAACGTTAGTCTATTCTCCCTTTGTGCATGTGCTGTGTAAATTTATTAACAAAAACAAATTGTTTCTGTAATAGTCTGTGTAGGTTCTCTCTGTCATTGTAGAATCTCCTCACAGTGAATTCTGTCGAAATTCGTAAATTTTTGAGTAAAAACGCGTGTGTTCCTCAACTTGACATTGGCAAAATCATCAATTACTTCGATGGGGCCATGATGTTTAAAAGAAGAAAAAGTATTTTAAATTTAGTGGTTTATTTCATTATAAAGATATAAGAATAAGCAGAATTCATACATAAGTAATAAGATTAAGTTATTTATTTTGCATTTTTTATTTATTTATATTATAGTGATAATTTATATTAATGAATTACTTAATCTATAACATCAACGCATCCTGAAGACACAGATCTCTTCCAGCTCTATCCATCTGGCTATGTCTATTGTCAGCGTAGTCCATAGAGGTCCAGCTAGTTTCTAGAAGTCATTGGAGCATCTTTTAAAGTGTCAACCTCTTTTCCTCTTAGCATTTTCTCTTGGTAACCATTCTGTTATTTTTCTGGTCCACATTTCTAATCTTTCCCTATATGTATGGCCCATTGACCTACCAATAAATGGACGTCGGGTTCGCGCTATAAAGTGTCAGCACCTGTAGGGCGTTAAAATCACATACAGAGTGTCTTCGTTTGTTTTCGACTGACAGCGCGGTTGTCAATCATGCAGTACCAATAATAATAACTTGTAAAAATTACTGCAGTAAAGTGTAAAAAAAAAAGTAAAGCTTACTTTAATCGCGTCATGGTACGATAACTCAATGTAAGGTTAAAGTAATGTTGTTTTAAGAGGTTGTGGTAGGCCCCCAGGCATTACTTTGTGGAAGTCCATGTTTATAAAAATGGAAGTATACTGTGCAAAATAGTTGCACTTAATATTTTTGTCGTGCTGTTAATATTCTCACCCCTCTCCCTCTGCATAAAATTAATAAAACAAATAACAGAAGCGCAACTACAGTCTAAAACACTGCCTCCATACATATATACCGGACATATATTTTGCCTCTATGAGGCATCCTCAGCAGTTCTTAAATTGTTCAACACTAAGGAAATGAAACTATTTTTCCGGATTTAAAATCGCGTATATTTGTTTTTTCAAACAAACCGAAGTTTCGAGCCCTTTGCAGGTCCCATGTCAACTGTGACCATGGGAAAATAGTTTCATTTCCTATGTGTAACAATCGCGAAAACCTAAGAACTCGATATGTTCAACACTAAGCTGAAAAATCTTGAGAATTGATTCTACAGCCTTACCAACATTTTCACTAGAGCTAAATAAAATGTATTGTTGCAATCACAGATTATCCGTAAGGGAACATCAAGAGAATTCGTGAAGCTCGAAGCACAGGACGCCTTTAGGGGTTTTCACATAATAAAATTGCAGAGCGATCAGTTCCTGATGCCAGGTTTTGTTGATTGCCACACACATGGCCCACAGTTTCCCAATCTTGGTCTAGGTTTGGACCGCCCTCTGCTAGAATGGCTGGAAAAATACACATTCCCTCTAGAAAGCCAATTTGCAGCAACTGAATATGCCAGTAATGTTTACTCTCAAGTAGTGGTAAGTCTATTATTACATTAATCTGTTTCGCACACTTTCTGGTAACCGATTTCAATACAACTTGGCAAATGTAAATCCACAGAGTTATATGTCTTGACAAAGCAATTTTATGTGATACACTAATGTAAAAACTTTATACTTTTCAGCGCCGACTACTGACCAATGGTACTACGACAGCATGTTACTTCGGTTCACTTGATCTTGGTGGAACAATGGAGCTAGTGAAAAGCGCTGTGAATCTCAGACAACGAGCTCTCATTGGCAAGGTCAGCATGAATATGAAGAACCAATCCGGTTACTACAATGATACTGAAAGAGAAGTGGATGATAGTACAAAATTCGTTGAGAAAGTTCTTGCTTTCGACGTGAGTTATTTTTATACTATATGAAACATTTAAGAAAATCACCATTAAGTTCCTGCAAATAAACATGTTTACACATGTTTCAGAATGACCTGATTTCCCCCGTCATTTCTCCGCGATTCGCACTTAGTTGCGACAATGAGCTGATGAAGAAACTTGCGGAGCTAGCGGCAAAATATAACTGCCACATCCAAGTACGTTTTTGCACATTTACCGTCCACACATTATGACATTATAAAACACAACTTCACTTCACGCTCAATATAAAAAAGTTTCCAAGGGTTGTGAACAATCTTCGACATGCAGGAAGAAAGAGAGAGAGGAAACATTCTCGAATGTTTGTCGCTTAGAAATTAATCTTATGTACATGTCGTTATAAGGATTCGAACCATTGATCTATCAATAAATTTTAATTTTAATCTTACGAGATTTTATTTGTGATGCATAGTGTCATTACTGAAACTGATGTCAAAAATAAATTCTTAGCGGAAACAGACGCAGCTGCGGAAGCGTAAATACTACAAAGATATCCACGAAATAGTTCCAAATTGGACTTGTTTTTGGTTTCATAATTGCACTTTAGGCAAAACTGCTAAAAAATGTTCGTCTGCCACCAAGCAATCCGCGCGCGCTCCACATCCATTGTGGAAGATGTAAACTTAACTTCAGATTAAAGTTACGCTACAAAAATTGCTGAAGCATAAATGGAAACAGATGTGAAAAAGTTTGCGGAACTTGCGAAAGCAGAAGTCGTTGCATCACTAGTTTTTACATACAACAAAACAAACAGTTTCTGAGTTGCGTGTCTTGAGGCAGGTGGAACTCTTCAATGAAGCGATCTATTTGATTTGCAATTAGGATATTTAATGCGATCTTTAACATAATACAATTTTTTAATTACAATTTCTAATATGAAGACTGAAAGACAATTAATTGTGTTCGATGTGATGTCGTAGATGAGAGTTGAGAGAGTGATTGAAGCCACGGAACATATCAACCCTTCACGTCACATCACAGCCGTCACTTGCACCGCCCCTCGCGGAGCGTAGGCGTAGCGTTGAAAACATAAATGTAATGTTATGAAAATTGAATCATTTCAAGAATCGTCATGTTATTAAATTAATTTGTTCCAGAGCCACATTTCGGAAAATGTAGAAGAAGTGAATGAAGTACTTAGACAAAATCCTGGCTGCGTGAACTACGCCGAAGTATACGATAAGTGCGCTATTCTTACCAACAAGGTATGTATGTGTAAATGTATTAATATTTTATTTTTAGCAGATTTACAATTCAATGTCTTTTTTTTTTTTTTTTTTTTTATACCTGACAGGCAAATGACTCCACTATATGTACTCAGTCACTAAATTGTTTAAAAAAACCTGTTAGTGGGTAATAAGCCACTTCCAATGTAGGTACTAAAAATGTTGCTAACATAGTTATATAATTTTGAAAATAAAATATTTTATGACTCGATATGATATGATAATATATAACGACTATGATACAAATGGTGCGATCGGGCCCAAATTCAATTGTTCTCTGTTATGCTTTATTTCCTTCATTTATACATAACCCCTTAGTAAAATGTAACCATGAGAAAAATCTTATTTTCATTTAAACGTATGTACTTGTTGTATCCTAGGACATATGGAGATACAGATAAGCTGACAGCTTCCATACTCATCAAATGCCTAGACTTTTAGGCTGGAAATAGGTGTAGGTAGACGAACGTTACCTTACTTCTTTGCTGTAAGGTAATAAAAAGGTACGACGTTTGTTTAAAGCCTTTTTAAAGTACTCGTAGCCTTGCATTAAATGTTCCATTTAGATGATCAGTTGATCACGCACTGCTTAGTCGAAATTCCAGTAACCTTTGATTAGTTTCAAATAATTGCGTAATGATTAGTGTAGCTAACTGGTTTGTGTGACGTTCTGTATAAATAGCAAATAGGTGGAAGTGTTCCTTAAAATAACAATCCTGTATTTACGCGCAATATCCCAAACTTGAACAGGTGATTTACTTGAATCAACACTACGAACGTGGGTGATTAATGATGGAACCCGTGAACCAATACCTTTCCATTGGACTTTAACTCGAACCAGCGCCTGTTCGCCAGACCGGGGCTAACTGAGCGAAGAAAAATCTTTCTTAGTTTCTCACAGATGGTGTTACTGCAAAAAAAGCGGTTTGAATCAAAAACAAAGATCGACAACAAGCAGTTGAAAAGGTTCGTGAGGTCTAATTGATTCGTTCCGTAGCTCAGTAGGGAGAGCGGTTAGCCTCGGTCTGGCAAACAGGCGCTGGTTCGAATCCAACTGGATCGAGAGAAGTTTTCTCTGTGTTTCTTTGATTTTTTTTAATCAATAGTAACACTAAAGTACGGGCCTGCTGCTTAACTAATTCAGTTCCAAGTAGTTGCTATCAACTGCAGCAAATTAACTTGCTATTCAATATCGTCAGAAAAATCTTGTTGAAATTATCCCGTGTGCAGCGCGACATAACTCTTACGTAAACTATTACTCCTCCCGCACCGCGCAGCTATCCCAGCAACCGACTCAGTTAAGCGGTAGGCCTGTATTGGATTTTCACAATAAATCGTATTAAATAAAATAAAATATTGCAATACGCTTCCTTTTTTTAGGCGACACTACTCACGTATTATTTATTCGTTGAGCAAAAACCTATAAAAAAATTTACTACCGCTCTAAATAAACATTTCCCATTGTCTGCGCACGTTGTGCATGGGGAACCAATTAAAATTTTTATTTTTATCATGTCATCGGCTGGAATACAGTCGCAACTCTGTTACGTGAATCACAAATTTAGTGGTGCCCAGTAAATAAATAGGTAGTCTTTGAACCTCCTTCGCTGTTGCCTTGGCTTTTTTTATTACATCATTATAATATAGTCTACATGACACGCCATTCTATATTTTAGCCATGTATCTCGCTTGCTTGTACATATTCTTAGAAATTGTTATATGGGGAACCTTGCTAATGCTTGTTTTGTAGATGAGTATACCTAACTGTAATATTTTAACTTTTTTAGCATTACTGTCACTAGATTACATTAATACAATTGTTACCTAAATAGTTACCTTTGTGTATATTATATATAATATTTATTCTGCCCTTGGAAGAAAGAACAGCAAAATCGAAATTCTATTATAAAATTTTCTAGATTTTTGTGATAAAAAGAAAAATAATGTATTTTATATTTTTTTGATATTAAGTACTTTATTTATATTAAATATACATACGACATAAACTTTCATTGTATTTTAATTAGCCACTTGTAAAAAATCTTATTAATGTTATTACTGCATATAATGGCATAACAAACTTAAAAGCATCGAGTATATAGTTATGTATTCGATGTTTAAATGTCACTTTTAATATTTGATTTATAATAGAAGTAAAGGGCACAATAATTATAGCAATTATATTTTTTTTGGTGAGATTTATGAAATAATTATTGTAACTGTAGTAAGGGCCCGGTTCTGTACATTACTAAGTAAAATCGTTTAACTAAATAAACATTAATATAATATGATGTCAGTTGCACTTTTGCCTATGTATATCCAAACGGAGATAGATCTGTGCAAAAAACTGGAAAAAATAAAGATCTTTTTACTTTTATAATAAAAACTGTTTTTGTACCAAATAATTGTACAGGATTATTTGTAAAACGCTAACAATCTTGCAATATTATATTACTAACATCATAAGCAACAACTTTTGTTCCATGACTTTAAAAAACATAATACATTTATCAAATATGTATGAACTTTCAAGTTTTTGTTGTACTATCGGATACTTTTAGTTCTGTATTTGGTAGTAACGAGCGAAGGACGACCCCCACGCCAGCTTCTGCGTTTTGCATCAGACTGGTACGTTACCGCCTTTTTTGTTACTGCACAGAGTTATCATCGTTTAAAGCGATCTTCTTAAATATTTCTATTTTTGTACGAAAGTAAAATCTGTTGAATTATTAAAAGTCATGGAACAAAAGTTGTTGTTTATGATGTTAGTAATAAAGTCGTGAAAGGTGGTTACTATTTTACAAATAACCTTCTATTAAACGAATTTTGTGGATAGAAATACGTTCATCTAAAGAATAATCCAGTCATCTAAAGAATAAATACGTAATTTCGTTATTCAAACTAAGGCCTATGTAAAGATGTTTTGACAATTCATAAATCTAATTTCGTTTCGGAAATACAAAATCGAACGACAGTCGGTCTGACATCCACAACGAAGAAGAACGAACGAAATGTACTATGCCCTGAGAACAAGTAGTCTTCCACATAAATCTTTGTTGTTGTGAAATTATTATTTATTTATAACCACGCAGATTCGTCATACATAAATCATAGAGCCAATCGTTTATAATATCGTCACCTTAGTTTCTCAAACTCGTATCTTAAAAAACAAAGTTATTGAAATGCAAAAAATGAATTGTGTATATAAATTTTGCAGGCTGATTTCACATCGCATTTCCTTCATATTTACACACTAGCTTTTTTTCACCTATCCTTAAAGTAATGCATCCAAATTAACACGCTCGATAAGAAATTTAAAATACTCGACTGAGATTTTCGACCTCAAAAGGACGTGGAATTAGTAAGTTTTTACTATTTGCTAAGTTTTATAGAAATGTCCTTAAATTCGCCACTATACAGGACTTGACACTGGAGATAATAAAAATTGGTTCGCACTACTCGTAAGTATATTGAGAGAAAAACGCCTTGAATTGGAGAAATAGCAAAATCAACCATTAAAATAATTGCTCCTTAAGTAAAATTTAGGCGCTATTTATAAAAATGAATCTTCATTCGTGAACAGCCACCCTTAGAGGTGGATGATTTTCTTCAAAATGAAATGGGACCACTGTGGAAGTACCCACTAAAAAAAGAATCTTGAAAATCGGTTCACAAATACCAGAGCTATCGCGTAACGTACATACAAAAAAACATACAGTCGAATTAAGAACCTCCTCCTTTTTGAAGTCGGTTAATAAATATAATGTTTTGCTATCTCATGAATAATCACTATTTATACGATACGAGTTTGAGAAAGTAAGGCATCGATATGCCGTTCGTAAAATCCATAAGAATTGTTTTTATGACAACGAAATCGATGTTCACGAAATTTCGAAATGCTTAGTTTAAATGTACAAGCACATGTCCATTGCAGTGCATCATGGCGCATGCTGTGCATCTGACGGACGCTGAGATCGATCTGTTGAAGATTCGCGAGGTGGGAATCGCGCACTGCCCCGCGTCCAACACCCGCTTGCGCTCTGGCCTCTGCCCCGTACGCAAGCTGATTAACCACGGCCTTAGAGTTGGCCTTGGCACTGGTAAGTGTCGCCCACTGTACCTGAAACTTTAATGACATTACGATGATTAAATTTTTACGAGCGTGAAAGAGTAATTTACCACAAAAGTTTAAAATTAAATGCTAAACACTCATCGTCATTACTTTATACGTCCCACTGCCGGGCACAGGTCTCCTATAAGGATTTAAGATCATAGTCCGCTGTGCTGGCCAAATGTAGTTGGGGGACATCACACGTTTTTGCAGAAGTTGTGAACCGAAAGGCTCCACATTTGTGACATTTCAACGCATCGAACTACGTGAACTTACGTTCACGCTTATGACTACTCAGCTTAACAATACGCGTAACAAAAACACAAATGTGGACGGTTTTTTTTGACGCGGACAAATGACACGACCTAATGTTACGCAGCGAACCACGAGTCGGGGCCTTTGAGACGGCATTTCTGTATTTATTGTAATTAAGATAAATCTCTTAACTATTTGTGGCTGTTCCATTCGGTGGTATGGCAAAAACAGCAGAACATCTAACTTCAAAACAGAGTCATATTTCATCGGTAATTAAATATTTAATATGTAATTTTTAAAGTTTAGTCCATTACAACCATCGTGTATATAACCAGAAATAGATACGAAATGTCATTTATTTTGTTTGAAAACTAATCTGCCATATCATTTCTGTGACAACTGCCCTCCGATTGACTAGCCCGAGTTCGAAACTGTTTCACTTCATTCGGACCAGTTAACTTGAGCTTTGCTATAATTGACGAAATTTGCAAAATTACGTATTTAATATTTAATGACCGATGAAATGTGATTCCGTTTGTTTTGTAATTAGATGTATTGCTGTTTTTCCCATATCACCGAATAGAATAGCACGGCATTGGATATTATCTTTATTACAATAAATATAGAATATTTTTTGGAATATACGGAGACGTACACACAGGTCAGTAGTTGGCCTGTCTTTATTTCAGTGCAAACGAAAGTTGATATTTATAAGAGCTGTATCGCTAATGTGTTACCAGGAACATATGGCCCTTAAATCGTCTCTATTTTTGGTTATATACTCGATGATTACAGCAAAGCACAAGTTAAACTGGTCGATTTGAAGTGTAACAATTGACGACTCCCGTTAATTCAGGCTGGCCAATCGGAGCGCAGTCGTCACCGTAATGATTTGCCAAAATAGTTATCAAACAAATTAAATGACAATTCGTCTTTTTTTCTGATTACATACAGCGTGTCCCAAAATTCAACAATAAGCGGGCGCTGGAGGGTGGACTTGCGCATAACTTTTTTTACAAAACGATGAGTGAAAGTCGACTGAAGGTAAAAATATTTCAAAATTTTAAGGAAAAAAAATATTTTGATGGATTTTTGTGTAAAACTGCAGGCATTCTAGGGTTTTTAAGAGTTGTGGTAGACAGCAGTACTACTTAGGTGGGCGTTAAAATTAAAACATCAGAAATATCTGAAAAAATGTGGTCGTGGTGATTCAAAATATCATTAAGGGAGTAAATTTTCGAAGAATAAAATTTTTTTTTTCGTAATTGAAAAAAAAAATGAGATAGATTTTTTTTCTTATTTTTCCTCAAGTAGTTATGCGCAGGTCCACCCTCCAGCGCCCGCTTATCGTTGAATTTTGGGACACGCTGTATAGTCAATGTACGAGGTATTCACTCAAAGACGACGAAGTGTGGACGGTGATTTTTATACTGTCAAGCTCCGATGTCATATGTCACGACGCTATCTGTCGGAAGGCGGTTTCTGCAAAGGTTTCAAAGGATTTTTTGTCCTTGTCCGGATGTGAGCAACCGTCCACACTTTTAGTCTTTGCCACACTGGCGGAGGTTGGAACGTAGTAAATATTATTCTTATTTTTGGAAAGATCGATCCTTTTTAAATAATCATGAAACTTCGGTGAAGGAAAACGTCATAATGAATATCGGTATGTTGCTCTAATTGAGCAGCAATTACGCAGAGCTACGGCCGTTTTATCACCACAGCTCACACATGCAATGCGTTGCGAGTTTTTATTGTAATACCTTGCATATTTCTGTGTTTGTACTCTTTGTTATTTGATATTTAATTATTTTTTTTAATTTGAACATAATGATATCTTGTTTTAATGCTTATCTTGTATTTGTGCAGTGTTACTTTTTTGTACTATTGCTCTTTAGATTATTTTTTTATTTGTATTTATGTGTATCACACCTGTGTGTTTTGTGATAAATAAGCCATTTATCTATCTATCTAATGAAACCTGCATATAGAGACTTGAGACCGAGATTTCATGATAACAAACTGTTTGTACCAATGGTTGTTATACATAAAATACGCCATTTATGCTAATAGAGCCTTTTATTTTATTTATTTATGTAGCATATAACTAAAAGAAGGAATAAATTTTCTTAAACTTTGTACATACCCTACAGTATAACTAAAATTCCAGATGTTTCCGGGGGTGACAGTGCGTCTATCCTGGACGCCATACGCCGCACAATGGATGTCTCCACTCACCTGGAGCTACAGCACGGATTGCACCGCGCTATCAACTGGAAGGAAGCCTTCTATCTTGGCACTCTCGGTGGAGCTAAAGGTAAAGTCCCTGTCAAGTGGCAATGATCGAGTGTTCCTTTTTCATAGCAATACAATTTAAAGAATAAAACTAAGTAAAAAACTGCAGTCTGTGCTATGTCTATATTATGTAGAATAACTTTATTTTTTGTTATTATTATTGTTATTTTTAACTTATTGTTATTATTTTCATTTTATTAATATCATTATTACTAGTATTTTGATATCTTTATTTGATCTTTGTTTACGATTTGTGTGTGTGATCGACCACGTAGAGCTGCCATGGTCGGGTCGGGCTAAAATCACGTTTGAAATAATTTCAACATTTTCCAGAGCTCGTATCCGTCACATACATACTTATTCTTTTTATTTCGATTTATTTATTTGTTTATTTATTTATTTTTTGGCATAGTACAGAATACAAACTGTGAAAACACTTAAAGTTAACATGCATTATAATAGGAGTAAATTAATAGCAAAAAAAATGAAATTTGCACTTCAAAGCAATAGCAAAAAATCATGTTACACGTATATAAAAACAATGAGATTCTATCCAACATATTCAGCTTCTCCTTACAAATTTATAAATAAGTATAACGACTATGGGAGAATAAGTCCAAATCTTTAGAAAAGTTGTTATGAGCTCTAAACATGCGAAAAATAGGATCGTTATATGAGATTTATTGTAAATGTATATTTTTTATAATTATAATTCTTTCTGTAAATTGTATAAAAATTATATTTCTTTCATTTCTATAAAGTGCTTCTATTTTCTGAATGTCCTTCGGCAAACTTCGTGATTCGGCTGTCGTCGGGTTTTATTCAGCTGCCCTTCGCCTTTGGTATAAACCGGACGCTTTCAGTCGACTTGGAAGTATATAGAGTTGCTATAACATTTTTTATTTATTGTACAATGGGAGGAAAGCCGATAAAATCACAGGCACGACAGATAATCTATAGCGTGTACTTGTATTTTTTACAAGAAGCCGATATGTTGAAGAAAGACAACAATGGTTATTTTCAAAAAGCCGAAAACATGTTTCTGTAGCTTGTGGTGTTTCAATCAGAGCAGTTAAAAATATTTTAAAAGAGTTTAAAAAAGTTCCTGTTCAGTCACCTAAAAAGTCCGAAAAAACAATAATATATTTCGTTTAAATTTAAACGATTGTGACCATTGTGTCATACGCAATATGATTTATGATTTTCATTTACGCTCTTGTTTGAGAACTTTAAAATCGAAGTTGGTTGAGGCTATCCAGTTTGTAGGCTGTCTGGAGACTTTAAGAAAATTTATGGAAGATATGGGTTTTCGATATAAGAAAACAGAAAGCAATAGTGCTCTTCTAATGGAAAAGCTTGATATTCGCCATAAAAGATTCGAGTAACTCCGATAAATTCAGAAGTTATATAAAAGAAGCACACTTTATTTACTTTGTATTTTTGTTAACTTGCTTATTCACATGAAATAAACGTTATTAAAAATAGGGAAATAGTTTTACAGCTCTATATAGTTCACACAAAAATCATAACCAAACAACAATGAAGTACGTGGTTCAAAATTCAAATTTTTATACATTTTAAATCTAACGGTTTATATTCGTGTGCGTTGGGTATTCTGATGATTACTGAGGGACATGGCGAAAATAGAAGCACTATTAATTATATATTTTTTATTATGTGTGTGAAAATTAATAGAATCTTGTAAAAAATCTTTTCAGCTCTGAGCCTAGACCACAAAATAGGCAGCCTGGAAGTAGGAAAAGAGTTTGACGCACTAGTAATCAACGTGTTTGCGACGGGAGGTCCTATCGACAATCACCCCAACACCCTGGAGGCTACGAGTAATGAGTACAATGAAGGCCTAGTGCAACGTTTCTTGTACACCGGGGACGACCGTAACATTACGCAGGTGTATGTCAAGGGGCACCTCGTTAAGAACGGGTGGACCGTTGTGTAAGCTCGCCATATGACAATGATGATAAATGGCTAACCGTGTGACGATGCTGACCTTCTTCATCGTCATCCTACCTTTTAACCCCTCACACGTTCTGATGAGACTCGCGGTGTCCCTGACAATTTTAATAAACATTTTTTTTAATTTGAATAATTTTAGGAAATGAAACTATTCTTCCGAATTTAAGTCGCGTATATTTGTTTTTTTAAACAAACCGACGTTTCGGACCCTTTACAGTTTCCGTGGTCACGGATGACTGAGGTGGTACAGTCAACAACCAGTTATGTCTAATATTAATGCAAACCACCCTATTTTTTCACTATAGTTACAAAAGTTATTAATTAAATACCTTATTTTTAATTTTACAAAGAACATTACATCTATTACGCTACATTATGTTTCACAAATAATTTTATTTTAACAATATCAATTTTTATTAAGCTAATTTTATTATTAATTAATAATGGAAATTAGAATATTTTAAAACATATTAATTAGTACTACAGTCTTATTGTCTGTTTGGGATTTTTCATCAGAGGAAGTACTGAAAAAAACAAATATACGCGATTTAAATCCGGAAAAATAGTTTGATTTCCTATATGTAACAATCGCGAAAACCTAAGAACTGGAGTATCTTTTTATAAATTAAATTTTTGTTTTTAAAATGTTGACGAAGACATATCTGCGCGTTAGATAGATAGATAGATAGATAGATCACCATATGACTCTAAAACGCTACATTGCCGCATTCGGTAGTGTAACCATGTGTCCCTAGACCGCGTGACGGGTTAATCACCCTCTTTACTGGATACTGGCCACTTTTAATTATTTCGATTCGTTCTCGAATTACCATTTCCCACTGTTCTTACGTTGGTTGGTCCCGTCATCACTCTCATCAAAATTCTCAAAACGAGAGGACGTATTCATAAATCATATAAGTAAAACCCAAACTTCACGTGATTTACTGCCTTAAAGTCATTTAGATATATGTATATAAGCCCTATTGGGGTGTTGTCGTTGTTGGTAGATTGTTTAGTAGAGACTTATGGTAATTGTACTTTTTTTATATTATTTTATTGTTACAGCCTTTGCATTTCTACGTGCAAATAAATTGTGTATGGCACAAGTGTTGAGACTATATACCTAATCATGTATTTTAAATTGAGCCAAAGATCAATATTTATACCATTTGTTATTGTTATTATTTATACATGTAAATACAAATAGGCTTTATTTGACATGCATAAATTTCAAACAAATAAACAACAAAAAAATTCTATTTAAATAAAAATAAAAAAGAAGCCTGAAAAAAAACTCAACGGCAATGATATAATCCATTGCTTAGTCTACCAAAAATGAAATATTTAAGCTACTTGATGAAGTCTGCATGTCAGTAAAACCACAACCCTCATTGGGCTAAATAGCAGTAGAACTCTTTTAGAGCAGTAGTTGCTCTACTTATTTTCAATATGTGTGTATTCAAGTGACGACGAACACAGTTGCAGTGCCACTCAGAGCTTTAAATCGCAAAGATCTGAGGGAAACTGTACTTGTCACCCTGAGACATAAGTTGATAAGTCCATGTGCCTGTAATTTCAAAACACCCGTACCTTTCAAAACCGACGCTCACATTACAGCTTGGCGGCAAAAGTCAGTAAGGTGGCAGGACTTCCCTGGACGAACTCTTTCGCAAAGAGCGTTACTGCTACACCTACTTGCTTTTAAACTATGCTTAAAACCTCTCTCATGGGTTGACAATTTTATGATAATAATGAATTACTTTATGTACCATTAATTTGTAAGTCAATGACCATTAAGGATAAAATTGATTTAAACTGCTAATAGTTTGATATCATAAAACGAATGCAAATAAAGAAATATTTTTTCCGTCCAATTCTTTTATTCGTATATGAGTTGCGAAGCTTTTACTACAATTTGTACCAATGTAAGTTGCATACTTAGAATGTTGCATAGTTCACACGCAAAGAGAATTATTATTATGGTTCACACGTAAGTGATACATTGACTTACAATTATATGGACGTCGGGTCCGCGCTAAAAAGTGTCCGCGCTTGTAAGGCGCTAAAATCGTATACAGAGCGCCAAACTCCGCTTTAGTCTTCATTTGTTCGACTGACAGCGCGATACTGCGATGACATAACAATTTAAATTTCGAATAGGTTGACTTGGGACATTTTTTTCGTGGTTTTTGTATTAGACCCGTCGTCCATTTATTTGTAAGTCAATGAAGTGATACAATATTTAACAGTATACTTATTAATGTGGCTTTTTTTTGAGATCAGGTAGGCGAGTCGAGTTATTTAACTCGGTTAACTCGAGTTACTCCCACAACGAGTCAACTCGAGTTACCTTTTTATGAACTCGAGCTAACTCGGTTCGGTACCCGCCCCGCCGTGCCGAATAAATACTTCATTCATACAGCGCAATGCGCAGCGGCTACTTCGTTCGGTGACCTTCGGAACACGCTCGATTCGCGACTAGAGTTATTTAACGCGAGCATCGAGTATATAACCAGAAATAGAGACGAAATAAGGGCCATATATTCCTGGTAGCACATTAGCGATACAGCTCTTATAAATATCAACTCCCGTTTGCATTGAAATATAGACAGGCCAACTACTGACCTGTGTGTATGTCTCCGTATATTCCAAAAAATATTCTGTATTTATTGTAATAAAGATAATATCTCTAACAATGCCGTGCTGTTCTATTCGGTGGTGTGCGATAAACAGCATCTAATTGCAAAACAAACTGAATCACATTGCATCGGCAATTAAATATTAAATATGTAATTTTGTAATTTTCGTCCGTTATAGCAAAGCTCAAGTTAACTGGTCGTTTTGAAGTGAAACAGTTGACGACCCCCGTCAATTGTTTCGAACTCGGGCTAGCCAATCGGAGCGCAGTTGTCACAGTAATGATATGGCAGAATAGTTTTCAAACAAATTAAATGACATGTCTATATTTCTGGTTATATGTATACTCGATGAACGCGAGTTACTCCCACAACGAGTGAACTCGAGCTAGCTTGGTGCAATTCCCGCCGAGTCGAACACTTCATTCGTACAGCATTCAGCTATTCGTTCTCACTCGGTCGGTTCGATAATAATAGATGTTAATAAATGTTTCTATTTAAGTCTCCAGTGTAAGATCCTTCAGTTTAAGTCTTCAGTGTTTCAGTAAGAGCCGTGTAAAGTCTTTAGTTTAAAATATGATGGCTAATTCAAAAGAAAATATTGACGTGTAGAGCCTCTGGCCGTTCACATCATTAGCCCTAGAGTGGCTTAGAGGATGGACATTAGCACACAAAAATGTCAGTACTTTTCTTGCCGTAGTGCCTTAGAGGATGAAAAAAAATAAACGTAGTGCTACGGTTCGTTGATAACTCTGTGAGAAGAAAAATAAAATAATTTTTAAATTATTATTTTTCCACGTAATAAAGTTAAAAGGATTTAACTGTTTGCACCTTGACCAGCATTATCCCAACTTCTATTCCTCAAATATTTTTTTTTGACAATTTGAAAATAAGCTTCCGTTTCAGCTTTACACAGAAAACGCACAGTAAAACCCGTAATTGATTTTTTGAAATCCATGTAGCGAAACGGGTGGAGTATTTTTTTTAATTTTCGAATTGTGTTATCTCACTTCCACAAGCTTGAAAATTATTTTACAGTATTTGTTCGACAGTATTTGTTTCGTGTGCGATATTTCATTTTAGTTTAAACGTTGTTACTGTCAATGAACTGGTTAAGAATTCTATTATAAACTATAGTCAAACTTTTATCTACAATATGTCTACAATATACAATCGGAAAATAATCAGAAATTAATCTAAGTGTAATTAGAAGGTTTTTGTATAATAAACAAAATAAATCTTCAATGTTTTTGTGTAATAATAATTACCTATTTGTATTTTAAAATCAATATAATTATACAGGGTGTCCGGTAATGCATGTATCATACTGAAATGGCTTATAGCACAGCTTAAGACTGTTCCAAAAAAAAATCTATCCCATGTAGTACCTAAGGAAAGTTTTTTTTTCTTAAAAGTTAATTATTTTTACCTTATTTTAGGTTTTTGTGCACTATGACTACAAATGAATGAATTTATTTGGTTTTTTGGTGTCATAATATTCTACGTTAACTGTGTCCTTAGATAAGCAGTAAATGGTATGACTAAGTAATGTACATTTTAAAAAAAGTTGAACTTCATTTTTCAGAGAAAAAAAATATTTTTTACGAAGTTTACGCGCCTTCTGTATAAAAAAAAAAGTATGAAAACCTGTGTGGCCAAGTACTTTAAAATAATATAGGTTTAATGAGGATTCCAAAATTGTATCATTTCTCATTGTATCTAATGTAAATATGAAATTATTGCTATTAATGTGCAAACGGAGTAAATTTTACTAAAAAACTATGTTTGCAAAATTGGAACATTTCTTATCCTGAATTTTTCTTGACTATTGAGTTTTTATAAAAAATAATATTAGGCATTAATAAAACTTTATTTAAAACTTATGTACAGCAAAATTATGCAAAAATCCAATCAAAGTAATTTTTCAATTGTTGTCTTTAAAGTACCACGTGTGACCGTTATTTGCCACCTGCACGATAGCCACATTCCGCCTGTCTTTTGTTCATATGATAAGAATGGTCAGAGTTGGACCAGAGGCAAAGAGTGACAATTAACAGCAAATGTAAAAAAAAAACGAAAAGGATTTAGTGCATCATTCGATTTGTTCGGTTTTGCACGTGTTTTCTGTTCCTTTGCGATTTGCTTTCAATCAGTGTTCAAATACGAACTGGCTATTTTACTGGACTATAGTTTTGCTTACTGATTTGGACTTTGTTTGTTTGGTGATATTTGCGACGACTTGGCTTGTTTCTGGACTGAACAGGTGTTTTGTGTCTGTGAATAAAATGCCACGTACTCAGTATACGCCACAAAAATATTCAAATATGCATATTATTTATGGGGAATGCGGTACCAGCTCAAGAACAGCTGAAGCTCTTTACAGCGAAAGATACCCTAAAGCACGTCACCCATCTAATGCCGTATTTATAAGAGTCCACCAATGTTACACAGAAGGAAGAATGCCTGGTAGTGGTGTTGGTGGTGGAAGAGCACCTCGTGATGAATATGAAGAGATGGTTCTTGAAGAAATTCGGCAAGATCTTTCCACGTCGACGAGAGCAATAGAACGACGCACGGGAATTGAAAAATCGACTGTGCATGGTATTTTAAAGAAACATAAATTTTATCCATACCATGTCACACGCGTGCAAACTCCTACCCAGAGATTACAATTTAAGATTGCGTTTTTGCCGACAAATGCTGGCCAAGATAGAGGAAGACCCCCAGTTTTTTAACAAAATTCTATGGAGCGATGAATCACCACTTAAAAGAGATGGCTACTTAAATTTACACAGCCTTCATAGCTGGCAACTGCAAAACCCCCATCTTATGCGGGAAGACCGATCACAGCACTAATTTAAAATAAATTATTGGACGGGAATATTAAATGGAAAAATAATAGGACCATTTGAACTACCGGAGACTCTTACTGGCCAAAGTTATTTGGAGTTCCTACAAATTGATCTGCCTAATTTAATGGAAGACGTGTCTGAAGAGCTGAGGGAATTCCATTGGTTCCAAAATGACGGCTGTAATGATGAAACGAAGTAAGTAAAAAAACGTATGTCTGAGACTCATTCAATTATCGTTTTCTTCATTTATTTACTACAGAGTAATATATGTATGTATAAAAAATACAGTTATTATATCAATATAATGAGACGTCATGACTTCGCGAATTTTCTATTCGTGTTGCCGATAAATATTACGTAGGTAGTGAATATATCTAATTACATAGGGCGCACTATAATTTTCCGGAACTGGCTACTTACATAAACAATACTTAAAAAGTAATTACAACATTTGAAAATGGAACTCTTTGGCTGTAGAATACAGTTTGTTTCATCTGACTGTCACTTGTTTTTACATTGTGGCGTCATTTTAGAAATTGGTTGTCTACATCGCCAAGGATTTAACTCGTGAAAATTTTCGTAGTATGATTTTCTACGACTTTAAGTGTAATTTAACAGCTCAGCGGAGTTTCGTTTGGCTTCAAACTGCTTTTGGCGATGAAGCACCATGCAAGATGACTATTTATAGCTGGTTTGCAGAATTCAAACGCGGTCGTGTGAATCTCAGTGACGAATTTTGTGATAGTCGCCACGTGATAGTCCACTGCTGTGAACAACAAAAATATCGATGATGTGCACCGTATGATCAAAAAAGACAGGCATGTGACATACCATGACATTCGGGCATCTTAAGGCATAATCATGAGTCAAATACAATCAATAGTACACAAACGCTTAGGTGTGAAAAAGCTGTGCTCTCGGTGGCTCCTACACAATTTGACTGAGGCTCAAAAATCGGGTCGCGTTACTTAGTGCAATGCCATGCTTACCAGATTCAACGAAGAAGCGTCAAATTTGGTGTGGCACATAGTAACAGGTGACGAAACATGGATTTATAGTTACGATCCCAAAACAAAGCGGCAATCGAGCGTATGGGTCTTTCGAGATGAGCCAAAACTTTTGCCGAAACGGGCTTTTGAAATTAGAAGTGTTTGAATGGATTTATTAGCTTCCTTTAAAACGCTTTAGGTTGTATATAGTATGTTTCTAACGCCTGGAACTGTTAAATAGATTTTACGACATCCTTTGGAACGCTATATCTACAGCAGAGAAATATATTTCTAAAGTAGCGCTTAGGCCGTTATATTTGAGAATTCTAAAGCAACTTTACTTCTAAAAACTTACAATAGCGCGTCAATACCACAATTGTTAAACCGAAAAGTCTACAACGGCGAATACTAGCGCCTAAATCGGTAGAACGGTGTTAGTAAACTCTGAAGGCTGTTGTAACAGATATTGAATGAATGAATGAATGAAATATTCTTTATTGCACATAAAATTACAATACAATAGCTTAAGTATAATAGTAGTAGTAAGTCAATGTGCAACAGGCGGCCTTATTGCTATGTAGCAATTTCTTCCAGGCAACCTTAGGATAGACATTTCGGATATGCAAAAGGGGTGCAACCAAAGAATATCAGCAATATTATAATATTGACTAGTACAGCGCCGTAAACTCTAATTCAGAGATACAGTCGCGTCTAAATAGGATGCGAGCGCTATAGTCGCGCTACAAGAACTTATTTTCTATCCTAACATTTTTAGTAACTTTTGATCTTGTCGCGTAATATTTAAGTAACTTTTGTTTTTGTGGCACTTTTCGTAACTTACGAGGACATTGATTTTTTTAATTCAATCCTATTTGTTATTGTAAATACTTTACGAACGCACGAAGTATTAGACAGTAAAGTAAACGAGAAATGGCGCAAACGAGATGAAATTAAGTAATTCCTGTTTAGAACATAATGTTTCCCAAGCGCAACACCGGCTTTTTAATGATACTTGTATAAATATAATATATCGTTAATACTTAGACTGTTTTGTTAAAAAAACGAAATTATGTAACTTTTCTGGTAACGAAACGTAACTTCTGACTCAAATACTGCTTCACATGGACATTTGTATTCGCTATTGGGTATCTGTTGTATGTTAAGAAACCGACAAGCGCGCGGGGTTTTGTGTTCCCTGTAATTGTCACACACACATTATTATATTTGTGTTTAGTATATTTGGCAAACAATCAGAATGTGTAAGTATAGTATGTATGACAAAGTATTTGCCCTGTTTGCCTATTCGACATATTTTATGCAGCAAACTCCAAACACGCATTAAAGCGCGCCTGTTGGTTTCCCGACGCACATCAAAGGGATTAAATAGGCAAATTCACTAATAAACCCTAAGGTCATTTATTCATTATTTTAAATTGTTATCTGACTCCATGTGTAGGCGACCATATTTGTCAGTATCTGCATGTTTGTCTTACGACAATTTGTTATTTCTCCAAATAATAACAAACACCCACAACGAACAGCCATATTTAAGAGTAGGGCATTTATATTTTTTTTAATTGGATCTAGCAACACCGAGTCTAAGGCTGAAAAAAAAAGAAGGGTAGTCTGGAACAGTCTGAAAATAGCGGAGCGCGGTGAACTACCTGTTTCAACTATTTTCAATTTTGTTATATCTTCAGTTTCATTATTAAAAAGTGTATGAGTCAATGATTTATGCGTAAAGTATTATATAGTTAGCTCATTGGAAAGCAATTGGGAAGTAATAGTGCCATTTACAAATTACGCCCACAAAAATGGATCGCAAATTCATAATTATCGGAGCTTTAGCAACATCGACCAACTTAAACAAATTTCAAATAACTCGTGGTTTTGTGATTGTGCAGAAAGGCCAGGTAAGAAGCATTATTATACATTGTATTCGTGTTTTTGCATCTTTTTACAAATCCATTTAGCTCATATAATAGGGGTACCTAGGTATCTATAGGTCAGCGGAAAATCAATATTCTAGACTGCATTCGGCGCATGTGCATACATACACATCTATAGCAAAATGTATATACCTCAACAGAGTACCTGTCTGGCTAGCTCGGCCCGGCCAGGCTGTGCTATACTATAGACATAGGTGTAGTGTACCTATTGTTCTTTGTTTTTCGTGACTGTAAATAAAGAAATATAATATGATTTTTATTACTTTAGAAGATTTTAATTTCTTTTTACGCTGATGTGTACGAGTATATTGCTCGTAATATTGGGTAGTCTTGAGCTACACGTATATATCTTTTTAGTATGCAGGGGTGTCAAATCTATTAAATTCTCACTCCTCACTACAGGTGTCTGTGCCCTCACCGAGGGCGTAAGTGGAGTTACGTCAAAAACGTTTATTGCTCCATTAGATACAGAAAAGTATAACTCACATCCTCTCCAATTCTTGTAACTCTAGCAACTAATATTGTAGATAAGAGTTACAAGAGTTGGAGAGGATGTCGGTTATATTTTTTGTATTTATTGGAGCAATGAACATCTTTGACGTAACTTTACTTATGCCATTCTTCCATGAGTGATGCGAAGTGTTCCTTCGCGGTAACTTTAGCTAATACAAATAATAACAGTTTAGAAAAGTAGTCAGTGGTAAATATATTACGGTACTATTTACTAGTTTTTATTGCATGACTCCACTATAATCTCAAAGAAGATAAATAGATTCTATGCTATAGACACTACATAATATCTTGGAATATAGGTACCTACTAGCACTTGCGATAAATTTTTTTCCTGTTAACCTGCCAAATACATAGTCTATGTATAATGAATCACAACTTCATCATATATCGACGCACTTCGAACGGTGTAAATTACTCCGATTTAAAGCGATTGCTCACTGCGACTTTTGGCAGCGGCACAAACGCGCGTCTGTGAACACACTTGCGATTTAGAAGCGGTTGCACATGCAACTGCTTCGATGTAAACGCGCAACTACATTGAAGGAAACGCGCAACAGCATCGATGCAAGCGCGCAATTGTATCGATGCAGTCGGTTATGTTGAATTATTAAAAACTTGCATCGCGTTGGTATCGCTGTTTAAATCGCGCGTGTGTTTAAGTAAGGCTGCAAACTGGACGACAGTGACCGGCGCCTAAAACCGGACGAATCACTTAAAGGTGCCTACAAATTTGCTCGACATCGTCGATCGGGTTTCTACAGATTTGCTCGACATTGTCGATTGGATGCCTACAGATTTGCTCGATACTGTCGATCGATATGATGTGTTTTGAGACAGAAATTTTGCCACATGTTTCTTGTAAAGCTGGAAGTACATGCAGATATTATATTGTGTACAGTACAGTGCAGTGCATGTAATTGCAGCTTTGCAAGTAAAGATGCGGCAATATTACTGTCTCAAAATATTATATCGATCGATAACGTCTATAGGGTGCATTCAGATTAGCTCGATTTTGTCGTTCGATATGATGTTTTGAGACAGAAAGTTTGCCGCATCTTTACTTGTAAACACTATACATACATATATATGTATGTACTTGCATCTTTACAAGTAAACATGCGTGAAAATTTCTGTCCCAAGACACACCATATCGATCGACAGTATCGAGTAAATCAATGGCACCTCATCGACATTTTCGATCGACAATCTCGAGCAAATCTGTAGGCACATTAAAAGACTTCAGTAGACGTTTATGGATAGCATCCGTGTACCATTTGTATAATGAATTTAATTTACCATTACCGTTTTACCAAAATGACAATATAAAGATTTGGATCGCTAGCTTTTTCACTTTGAGTGGGTATTTGGTGTCAATTCCTTTACGAGATCAAAGTAGCATTAATGCCGAATGGTGTACTACCAGATGTGCCAGAAGTATTCACTGCTGTGAGTAACAACCGACCGAACACGGGGCTCCGGGGGCTACTGCTTCACCATATGATAACGAGTTACACCTGTTCAAACTTTGAGTGACCCTCCTTACAGCCTTGATTTGGCACGGTGTAACTTCCTATAGTGTATGTCCTAAAATAAAAAATCAACTCAAAAGGTTAAAGTTCTCATCGCAAAAAAGGTGCACTAGCAACGTTCTATTCTATACCCATAAAACATTTTTAGTGTCGCAAAACTTTTCTCATCGCAAGTGTGTTCACAAACGCGCGTTTGTGAACAAACTTACGATTTGGAAGCGGTTGCACGTGCAACTGCATCGATGCAAGCGCGCAATTGCATCGATGCAGTTGCTTATGTTGAATTATTAAAAACTTGCATCGTTTGTTATCGCTGTTTAAATCGCGCGTGTGTATAAGTAAGACTGCAACTGGACGACAGCGACCAGCGAGTGGCGGCGCGCGGCGCGTGAAACTGCCTTGTTCTCGACACCATCCAGCGCGATTCGATTGCTCGTTTTGCTGAGGTGAAGTAACGTGACAAGAATGTGTGCGCGATGTTGATACTACGACATGATCTTTTTTATAGTTCTTTTATTAAATAAGAGTTATTAAGGGCAAAAGAAGACATAACTCGTACTACAAATAAAGTAAACAAAAAGGAGAGTTTGACCGAAATTACAACGATCAAAGACAAAATTTGGATAAGTTTCATAATTACGCGAGAACTCTGACGACGTTTAACAAAAGTCTTGAAAATATCAAGCCAGAATTAGAATCCGACTTCAATTATGAACGAATATCTCCAGCAGAATAATTATACCTGACCTTGAGATACGTAAAATAACAAAATATATTTAAATATTAGGGAGATATTATATTTGCTGTTCCATAGACCACCAGGTCTTTCTAACCCTTTCTATCCGCGCTGGTGTCGTCGAAAATAGCGCGAACCTAGGCATTTTTATCTAGTCGCTGCCGCCGCGCCGCTGCGCCGCCTGTCACTGTCGTCCAGTTTGCAGCCTAAAGGTAGACGATTAGCGACTGAATTGCTATAGACGTGCAGCAAAAGCCACCGTGTGTAACCGCAACGAAGTCCAAGACTTTGTAAGTGGCTGAAACGCTAACCGCAAACTTTAAAAAAAGATTTTTTTCAGAAAGTACTCATTTAACATCTACCGTCTTGTCAATTTTTGCATCATTCGCTAGATGGCGTGAGTAAAGTCTTACGAAAGATAGTAGAGGTGGTAGTGCGATGAGAGGGGCCCGAATGCTTGAAACCCTTTAAACGAGTATAGTGGGTTAACCGCACCTACTATGTGAGAAAGTACAAGGTTTCGTATTAGATTTTGAACGTTCACTTACTTGAGTTCTTTTGAAAGGAACTTATGTAGTATACTATTTTGTTGATGTTGATATGCTAGTTATATAATGACAACGAACAATGATAAACGGGAAATTGACATAATGTAGAGTTGATTTAAAATTTGTGGGTTTAGGGATGAACGGGGGAAGGGCAATGCCATATAGCGAGACAAATTACTTGGGCCCCTAAAGCATACAACACGGAAGTTGCCATCGATAAGCTGCCTCCTCTGTCAAGAAAAATTTTTTTTTAACAACGCACACACAACATAGTCCCCGCACTAGCGAGACCCTGTGTCGCGGGTACCATAGACACACACATAGAGAACCACAAATTACACCCAAACTCACGAGGGAAATAAATATAGGCCGTACAAATATTTCTCCCGGCCCGGGAATCGAATCTGGGACTTCTGCGTGGCAGACCGGCATTATAACCGGTCGGCCAATGAGGCAGGTAATATACCACCATACAATAAAAATTATCACTATCGAATTCACCGCGTCAAGTGCTCCACGAAATAAGTCGCCATGCGCTTGTAAATAAAACTGTTCCATCCAGTCGGTAGTCAAGGATGGAATTTACACTACATGTATAAGTATGTTTTTTGTATTCATTGCTAGTTTTCTATTTTAGCATATTGTTTTCACGACGATCACATTGATTCAATTTGTCGATTGGATAGAAAATATTTCGAGCCATACGAACGTTTTGCGAATATTGAATTATCGATCTAAAAGGTCGTTAATATAACAATTATTCTTCGCTTAATCATGGACCTTCTTGCGATTCATATTTTAGTTCATAATTAAAAAACCGTGTTGTAATATGATAACCCCTTATGAGACACAGAGAATTAAAGGAATCCCCATGGGACCATATATATGTGCTGTGAAAGTTGTCAATAATGATATCGATAAAATTATTAAGTGGCATTTTTTTACTTGTACTCCTGTTTTTTTTTTGGCTTCTATGCTTTGAGCGTAGGGCAGTTGGAGAATATGTGAAATTATAATAGATTGTAAACATATTTCCGTTAAGGAAAAGTTAAAGGCTTAAAACCATACAGCTAAACCTTGGGGAATTTTTCTTTTCGTAGTTTTAGGCAGATATATTTATAAGTGTTTGTTGTTTAAATTGTTAAGGTTGGTTCATGCAAGAGTTTTGTGTTATTTGTTTTGTAAAAAAAAATACAACACATTAGACAGCTTTGTGTGCTCATTCAACTCAAATACAATATTGCAAAATTTAATTCATTATGTACCTACTTTCAATAACGCAACTATTTATAATGGAACATGAAATAATAAACACTTCAGTTGGACTATCAAACTATATAATGGACCTGAGAGCTTCCAAAGATTTGAGAGAGAGTGTTATTATTGTTTTTTGTTAATTTATCATTACCAATACGTGTGGGACACTCAGAAACTTTTGCGATACTAAAAATGTTTTATGGGTATAACTTTTTTATTAAATCTTTTAAAGAACACTCCAGCAGTTTTATTCATCGTCATAACTAATTTTCGCCAACACTTTTTCTTACCGCCTCGGACACTTTTTTACGGCCTCTTCGAACGCTTCTAGTGCATCTTTCTTGCGATGAGAACTTCATGCCTTTGAGTTGATTTTTTATTTTAGGATATAGAAATTACACGATGTACACATAAAAGTCACACGGTGCCAAATCAGGGGTGTAAGGTCACCCAAAATGTTAACAGATATACTGTCCAGGAAGATTTTGAGTGCCGTGTGCGCGGGCTCGTTTTCATATGGTGAAGCAGTAGCTCCCGGAGCCCCGTGTTCGGTCGCTTATTACTTACAACAGAAAACACTTCTGGCACATCTGGTAGTACACCATTCGGCATTAAAGCTACTTTGATCTCGTAAGGGAATTGACACTACATACCCTCTCAAAGTGAAAAAGCTTGCGATCAAAATCATGTTGGTAAAATGGAATTGGTAAATTAAATTCATTATACCAACGGTACTCGGATGCTATCCATAAACGTCGTCTTTTGAGGGGCTTACAGATTTGCTCAATATTGACTTGTAAATACAAATAAACATGCGGCAAAATTTCTTTCTCAAAACACATCATATCGATCGACAGTATCGAGCAAATCTGTAGGTACCCAATCGACATTAACGATTGATAATGTCGAGCAAATCTGTAAACACATTGTCGATTGACATTAACGATCGACGATGTCGAGCGAATTTGTAGGCACCTTTAAGCGATTCGTCCGATGAAATCATCGAAACTCATCGCGTGAAAACTTAGTGAAAATATTCCCGACGCAGACCATTTTTCAATGAGACAGTGTTAGCTCGTAAAAAAATTTGGGAGGAAATTTGAAACTTGAATATTCGATTCTGTTTTCGCTAAACTTTCTGAGCTTGTGTCCGTAATGTACCTATCTAATATAGTAGTATCATTTAAATAAAATATAATTTTGTAATTATAGATCACGCATAAAGGAGAATCAGATTGTACAATGTTAAAAGAACAGAGCGTTATTGCTGGCATTCGGAGAATAGAATTACTGGATCATCAATTCCTGATGCCAGGCTTTGTCGACTGCCACCCACACGGCTCACAGTACCCTAAACCTCCTTCATACCAAAACAAGAAGGTAAAAACATACCGCCCAAAAAGGCAATATGAGTATCCGTTTTATACCAGCAGCACTTACGCTAAAATGGTGGTAAGTACATTGGAAATTTGTAAGTATACAATCAACGCCTAGACTCAACAGAGTCATCAGTGGCGTCATACCGAAATCATTGATCTTCATCTGCCAAGTCTAGACGTGACGAGGTCATAGTCAATATATGTACCTACACATATAGTATCACTCTGTACTGATATGTGTACATACGGCATAGGTACAGCTTTTTTTTCCTGGGAAAATCCAAGGTCGGTGGCCTGCCCGGACACTCGAAATTAAAGGGATCGGATAATGCGCAACAGCACGTTCCCCTCTTTGCCGTGGCAGATGGTGGAGGGAGAGCCTGAGAGTGGTGAAAAAGGTCGCATCGTCATCCTACCTTTTTATCGCCCTTTTCTCTAGTTCCTGACCATTTATTTTCCAAATTTTGAATCATTCTTTTGCCTCGTCATGCTCACTTTTCTTCTTTCCGTCTCCCCACTGTCAACAAATTCTTGAAGAGTGAGGATGTGCTTATGGATCCATCACGTAAACTCAACCTAACTAACTGTTTTAAAACTTGTATGTATAAAGACCCTTTTGGGGTAAGTGTCTGGACTGTTTGTTAATGCGTAGTAAGAGTGCGCTTTATACTGCTGTAACTATTTTCATATTGTTTATTTTTGTTCCAGCCCTTTTAATTCCCTTTCCTTTCCTCTTGTTTACCTTTTCTTCTGAGTAATCTATTTTATTGCCGTGATACTGGCGACTACACAAGCCTAATATAACCTACCGCATAAATATAATAAATGGGTAAATTACAATAAAGTTTATTTATTTCTCTCACAAGAACTAAAGAGTTCATAATCAAAATTGTGAGAGTCAAAAGCCTAAACCAAGGTGCCCCTGTATCTAGGTCTCTTGAAACAATGGGTCACAATAGTTTAATAATTCAACCAGAAAAAATGCGTCTCTGTCGCCGACATTTTCCCGCTCCTCAGCCTCGGCGAAAAGTCAGCGTGGCGAAAATTGTTTAATTTTAATGAAGTACAATTAGTTTCTTTGTTATTTATTTACAATATTTCAATGCCATATTTCCGTGCACATAAAATGTATATTTTTATTATAAAATTTACAAACATTATGTATTTAAGTTGATTTTAGCAATGGTACCTAAAACCCTGACTATTAATTTACATTTAAACATTAAATAAAATACAAAAGTAATAGTACCATAGCCATTATTACTAATAATTTAACGCTTGTGCTAGAGCATAAAGAAGTAACGAGAAAGGTGAAACTCCGCCCCCCGCCCTAGCTTTACGGTACTACACCGCGCCCCTCATATTGACTGTCACATTGACGGAACGGCACCAAGACTGTCAGCGAGCCATTCGCCGTTTTGTATTTTTGGTTTATGTATTACAAAATTACAAACATACTTTACTGTTTATTCATCTATATAAATGGGATGAAGAGAGTTTCTTTCATTAAAAGAAATTTTTATTAGATGTCCAATTGTCAGTGTAATGCCATTTCTTAACCGATTATTCAAAGATAAGACATTTGAAAGAAAATATTTTATTGTAGATAATTTATAGCTAAATTAGACTTATATAACTTATACGTGAATAACACTATGGTTATTCAATTATTATTATGTTAAGTCTTTTGTTACTTATTTCACTTTATTTAACTTAACTGGTGTAAATTACGGTTATTTTTAGTATTAGTACATAAAATAACTAGTATACCTTATGATCATATTATTTACCTATACAATACATGCGTTTGCTCTTACAAAAAAACAAAATAGGCGCTTTGTCGCCGAGTTGCGGATACCAGCCCGTTGCACCAAGTACCAAGTTGCTCTTACAAAGTCACTTTGCTCGTTAGACCAGAAAATAAATAATAGTTCAAGGAAGTGTTGGGTAACCCTATCACTTGACGCACACATTTGCGGAAACGCTCTTGGCGGAATTATGCACTAAGCCGTGTTTTGTCACCAATCAGCAATTGCTTGGATATTCGCGTTTAATCTAGGTTCGGCAATATGTATTTCAATGGAGGTAGAGAGTAGGTATTTAAACAACGTTTTCCTGTTTTTTTCAACATTTAAAAATTATGCATGCTCCGCTGTACGTACTATGATCAAGTCGCTGCTGCCAGTCGTAAAATCATTAGTCGCCGCGCCACTGATCGAAAAATCATTAAACGCTACCGCGTTGGTTTGAAAAATCATTAGTTGCCGCCGCTACTGGTCGAAAAATCATTAGACGGCGCCGACGCTTGTCGAAAAACAATTAGACGCAACCACCGTTGGTCAAAAATCATTGTACGCCGCCGCCGCGCTAGTTTCAAAAATGATTAGACACCGCCACCGGCTTTAGTCGAAAAATCAATAAACGTCGCCGCCGCTGATAGACAAATCATTAGTCGCCGCAGCCGCTGGTCGCAAAATAATTAATCTTCGCCGCCGATTTTACGATCGGCGCACATGTACGATATTAGGCACACACTGTATTACTTTGTAAACATAAATAAGCATATCCACTAGGCGTCCACTGCTGACAGAGGCCTCCTCCTCCTAGTTAAGCTTTTATACGTTTGCAAAATTAAATTGTGCACAAATATGTTTACATACATACATATATAGTTTTTTTTCTATGACTAAAGTTGTGTGGTATTATCACAGTTGTACCACAAAATACGATTTCGCATCTTTTTACTTATTCTTTCAGCATAAATTGGTGCGCTACGGGACTACGACTGCCATATACTATGGTAGTCTTCATGTCGATAAAACTATGGAGCTAGTCAGGCTACTTGTTCAGTTAAGACAGCGTGCTTTTATTGGAAAAGTGAATGAGAATACAGAAAATCGTCACAATTACTTCAATGACATTCATAAAGAACTGGACGATACTAAAGACTTCATTGAGAAAGTTCTTGCTTTGGGCGTAAGTTATTTTTAAATGTTTAGAGATTAAACATTATATTTTGTTGTCTAATGAGGTTTAGGCTCTTATATATATTTACGTTTGAGTAGAGTTCTTTGTGAAAGAGTTTGTCCCGGAAAGGACTGCCATCCTTACTATTTCAACTACCAAGCATTAATGTGAACGCCACATGGGACTTGTCAACTTTATGTGTGACAGGCGCAATGGCAGTGCTAGTCGGATGTTTGCGATTTACAAAGCTCTGAGTGGCACTGCAACTTTTAATGTCACCTCAAATTGTCCAAAAAGGCGACGCTACGCTGCGATGCATTAAAACCAGCGATATGCATCGTAAACTTTATCTTCTACAATACAAGATTCAAATTTCTTTAAACACAAAAATAATTAGAAGATGCGTAGCACGTCATGGCGCGGCTTCACTCTAATCCATAGTTTCCCAAAGTGGTCCCTACCCCAGTGGGCGCTGAATGGTCCTAGGGGGAAACTTGGGGCCTCGGAAGCAGTTGGGGGTTTTGATATTGTCCAGGATGTACTACCGCATTTGAAAAAAAACCTGATTTTGAAATTATTTAAATAATTGGAAGTTGAACTAACAGGATGAATTTCGTCCAATAAGTTCAACTTTTTGAAAAGTTGTACCTAGTTGAACTTATTGGAATATTTGTGTCCGATTAATTCAACTAATTGAACTTATAGTTGAACGTAGTGGAACAGACCTCTTTTTTCCTTCTGATTTTTTAAGTTAAGTTAACTTATAAACTACGTGTTTTCAACAATTTGTATTGGTGGTGGTGGGTGGTGGGTGAATTTTTTTTTACTTACCTAAGTGGGCAGTAAGCCTAAAAGTTTAGGAACGTACGCTCTAGTCTTTTGTTATTTTGCATTTAAAGAAACGTATAGGTACTTTATTAAGTGAGCTGTCGACCTCATCGTCGCTTTCCTACAGGTGAGATGGAGGTCAATGTGCACTAATTTTCTTATAAAAAAAGGTACAGTAGACGTTCCATAGTTCTCTGATAATAGATTGCATTTTTCAAAAAGGGCGCACGTTGCCGTTTGCGTTTTTTAATTTTTTTGTTTAAAGAACAACATTTTGTCTCGTAGGAGATAAAGTTATATATAAATATAATGTAATATGATGCATTGCTCGTTTTTATGCATCACAGCGTCGCGTTGTCTGGTTACCGCAATTTAAAGCCACCTTTACTGGTAGGCGTGATGTTTACCACCAGGCGCATACGACTTGTTCGTGCCATCACTAGATAATCTAAATATATTTCAGAACGATCTGGTGCAGCCCTTCGTTGCCCCACGATTCGCCGTCAGTAGCGACAGTGAGTTGATGGCTGGCCTTGCAAACATTGCAAGCCAATATAATATCAACTTCCATGTAAGTTTTTGCACATCTACTTTCATATACGAGTCTAGGCTAACTTAATAGTTCCCGCACACTTAAATGAATTTGTTTCAGAGCTACATCTTGCAATATGCGTGCGAAGCTCGTGAAGTGCTTAGGTCACATCCAGACTGCCAGCACTACGCTGCATTTTTCGATAAGTTTGGTATTCTTACCAGTAAGGTATGTATACGTTTAACAAAAATTGTAATACCTATATTTTTCAATGTTATTGTTCTTACAATTGAGTGAGTCCTCTTTAGCGAAGCACCCTAAAATGGATTTTTTTTTTGTAGATTAACGACATTTTACCTTGTACTTTAATTTCTTTTATTTTCTTTTAAAAGTGTAATTATTGTATCCTAGGACAATATGGAGATTCTGACAAGCTGACAACTCCTCGGTCATCAAAGGCCTAGACTTTTAGGCTGGACTTAGGTTTAGGTACACGAAAATTAACTTACTTCCTTGCGGTTGGTTAATAAAAAGGTACAACGTTTGTTTAAAGCATTTTTAAAGTACTCCTTGCCTTGCATAATTTAGAATGACTTAGATATTCCATTTTAGATTATCAATTATTAATCACTGCCTAATCAAGTTTACAGTAACCTTTTAGTTGTTTTAAATAATAATCTATAGTTCATTTAACTAACTGGCTTGTACCATCATGCTATATAAACAGTAAATAGGTGAAAATGTTCCTAAAAACAACAAATTCAGCCGAATGAAAGGTAAGTTATGGAACATTTACACCAAGCCGTTATGCGAGCTTCGCTTGCCTGTCGATGGCGGCCAGCCACCCGGTGAAAATAATGAGTCGTCTGATGACGGTAGTTTGTAGCCGAATTAATCTGTCGAAGACGACCCGGTGTAAATGCGCCATTACATGACTCAACAGTGTACCTACATAGAACCCCGAAACAGTAACACTCATACCCTTTCTCTTTTTTACTAAGCTGGTGATCCTATTCGCAAATTAATCTTACTAACCACAAGCAAAACAACATACTAAAAAAATTAATTTATTCCCGATATAAATAATATTTCCTATTGTCTGCGCACGTTATGTATGCGAAATGCGTACATACCAAACCTTTTTGGCGTAAATACAATTATGGTTTTTTTTGTATCCTTATTACCATGAGTACCTACGTCACCAGCTGAAAATAATCACACGTCTGTTACATGGAACATAGATTTAATTGTGCCTAATAAATAAACAGGCAATGTTTGAACCTCATTTTTTTTTAATCGCTATTGCCTCTGCGTCTAATTACTACATTATATAGTCTACAAGACACGCCTAACTAAATACGATGGCTCGCTTGCTTGTATTGTATAATCTTAAAAATAATGACGTAAGTAAGAGAATTAGTTAATGCTTGGTATGAATTTAATATTTTACTAAACGAAATTGATATTTTAAAATTTAACATCACAGTCACAAAGTTACATACTTACAATTATGTACCTAAGTAGTCAATAATATATATTTTAAAGATTATGTGATGACCTATAATAGGTCAATGGTTATGTCCATCAATTTTGAAACATCAGACTTTTGTAGCAACCAAAAAAATATGCAAAATTTAAAATATAGGATTTTTTCCTTTTTGTGAGACAAACAAAATGTTGAAGATTACTTAGTGGTTGGATAATCGGATGCCTACTGCCAAGATAACCGCAGGTACAGTCAATAGCGCATCATGCTTGACACTTTTGAACTGTTCTTATTGCAAGCGGCATTGAGTTGTATTTATCTTGAAGTTCAAGATTAACGTGCTCTTGACTTCGTACCTTGTGTAATATAATAAGTTTAGTCTCTAGGTTGCATTGAATTTTAAGTTTTGGTACATCTGCCGTGTACAAACATCCGCAGTTGTGTTGCCATTGCACTCCCATTACATTTTACATTTTCCGATGATTGGTCGTGTGCATTTGATTCGCATAGGTGGAACGATAAGGTGAGGCAGGCGAGTCGTGGAAAAAGCAGTATTGGCTATTGTGTATTAGATTATGTTGTTACGAAACTCCTGTTCTGTGTTGAAATCGCGCATTAGAATTTGCTCATAAACGCATGTCTCTCCCACGATATGCACGGGTATTCAAAATAATATGTACTGTAATATCCATAATAATTTATTATGGATAGAACCGAAAACGATTGTCACGAATCCAATTCGCGATTCGATGGAGGTAGGGAGTTTCTTTACATTTATCAACGCGGAATCGGCTTGAGTAATCATGTTTTGTAACACTTGTGGCATTAAGGCTGTCTACACACCGAACCCGGCGATACAGCAACAAGCGCGCCATAACCAGAGTTTGACGTCGTTGGCTCTGTATCGTTCAAAATTCAGAAATCTTTGTTGGCGCCACGGCATTGACGAGTGTAATTCGTTTTACACTGTTATTGACGTTTAACCTTGGAACATCGACTATAACATTCAATTTAATAGGAGCAGGTTGTGGAGTCATTGTCACTGACTGGATCCCTACTGAGAATACAAAACTGTGGGATGTCGGAGGGCGAACGAGAGTACAGGGTCAGTACCGGGAATTCCCTATTCTTTTGCGATAATGAGAGAACCGGGAATTCAAAATTGTTTCCCGGTTATTTCGATATTTTTAGTAATCAGCGTCTAAAGTGTAATTTCGGTTTTAATATCGCGCCTAAGGCACGTTTGAAACTAAACTTTCCCGTGGTGGAAACTAAACGACGGTAGATGCAAGCGATCGATTCAGATTTATTAACGTAAGAGTTTCTTTATTATTCCACTCCATATTGCAAAATAAACTCTATGACGTCACACAGGCAACAAAGCGCGTATGCGCGCAGCCGCCCGCGCCGCGCCGGTGTGTAGAACGCTTAAGGCTCAATTTACATTGCGGCGGAACGGAATGGAATGGAAGGGTCAAATTCCGCCTCACTGCACGAGAAGGTGCGCGCAGTCGCTGGAATGCTCGAGGCTTGAGGCTGTAGTATTTCGTCCACGTTTGACATCACACTGCGCCTGCCTTCGCGCCACTTCACGCGGATTCGCCAACTGTCGCCGACTGCAGCTGCGGAAATCTTGAGCATGCGCGAGAATTCCGCGGAAGACGCGAGACGTAATTTTTAGCTCGTATCTAGTTTGTACGTTGCATAATTGACCTTAAAGTTCATTACTATTCATTGTTAAGTACAACATCGTTACTAAAATTCGCTTCCATTTCGTTCCGCCGCAATATTTCCTCGAACATGCAAGATGTGGATTGATCTTCCTCCTGAAGTATTTCCTTTGCGTTATGACATGGGGTTCTTCAAAAAGCAACTGCTTGCTGGCAACGCTTTGGCAGCTCATCTGATGTTGCAAACGTCCATGGGTGACCACCTCCCATTAAGTGGCTCGTCTGCTCGTTTGCCTCCTTCTTTACATAATATACATAAATTGAGCCTAAGCCTTCATTAACACGTCTGTTCGGGCGTCAGCGTCTCAATTCAGCCGTCTCGTCAGTTGAGTGCAATTGCGATCTGAAATTCGCAGTAAAAAAAACCGCATCGTACGAGCCGATGTCAAACGCTAAACATCTTTATCGTTTGTATTACAATTTTAATGCGATTCCGCGACGACAAGTATAGTGACTTAGCAGGGACTCTCTTAAGTGTACAAGTACCTATATATGTGTTTGTATATTGCAGTGTGTCCTGGCACACGCAGTACATTTGAAGGACCCTGATATTGAACTGCTAAAGCTACGTGAGGTGGGCATTGCCCATTGTCCCGCAGCCAACACTCGCTTGCACGCTGGACTCTGCCCCGTCCGCAAGTTGCTTGACCACAACCTTAAAGTTGGACTTGGCTCAGGTAACTTTGTCGCACACTATTCGCCCATTGTACTTCAAACTTTCATACTTCATTTTATGAACGTAAATCATACGTAAATATTTAAATTTAAGACATAATTTAATTTAATTGATAACTAGTTAATAAAAAAAACAGTAATCGGTTACCGGAAAGTGCGCGAAACCGGTCATCCCCTAGGTGCGGACTAGGTTTCTATGCGTTATTATTCTAAGCTTTCACATTTATTCTTGCCTCGTTTTTTTATTTTTTATTTTATATAATTTTAAGTAAGATGTATAATTACATTTAATGTATTTTATGAATAAAGAATCACTGTAACATAGCATTTCCACTTAAAAAAAATAATTGGGTATTTCACCAGAGAGAGATTTATGATTTTGCACATTTTTTTGTCTCTCAATTACGGGTAGTTAAATAAAAATGTATATGCGTTTAAAAGCGTCGTAATTCCCACTATGTATATCAAAAAATTGAAAGGTGTATCTCGAAAAACAAAAAAGTTACAGATTTTTGATCCGTAACTGACCTAAATTTCCCATAGTGCGGCGGTGAGCGCGGCCGAGGCCTCACTAATCAAAATTATTATTTTTTAACTTAAAATTCGAAAATAAATTCCCGAACCAACTTTTGTAATCGTGAAAATAGAGGAGGTAGCAAATTTAAGGTTGGCCCCGGGTGACAGAAATCGATGCTACGCCACAGTCTAAAAAATGCCTATTCACTCTCGCCTTGAAAAGTCCCAAGTTACAGCGTTAAGGGAATAAGTTGAACATGTGGATAAAGAAGATAATAGCCACTCAAATTTCAGATGGATGCGGGGGTAACAGTGTGTCTATCCTGGATGCCATACGTCGCGCCATGGATGTATCCACGCACTTGGAGTTACAAAATAGCGAGAACCGTGGCATTAGCTGGAAAGAGGCGTTCTATCTTGGCACTCTCGGAGGAGCGAGAGGTAAGGTCCATGAACAAACAGGCGAATGGTCTCTTTTTAATCGCAATAATGTTTAGTTTTTTAATTTTATTCTTTGAATCTCTAAATCGTACGTGAAACCAAATACTGTCGTAACTCAAAATTGTGGAATTCCTTTCCCGGAATTGTGGAAAAAAAACACGATTTGAAATTGTATTAACTTTTTTATTGAAAAAAAAAACCGAACTACATCTATTTCCCAAGTTTTATTGATATCGGTTACCGAAAAGTGTGCGAACCGTTTATTTCCCCATTCATCTCCTAGTTTACCACCCTTAGAGGTGGCATATTTCCTTCAAATGTAAATGGGACCAATGCTGAGGTACCGTCTTCCCAACAAACAAAAAACCATCAAAATCGATTCACAAATTTAATAAAAAAAGAGTTATCGCGTAACATACGAGTATCGAATTGAGAACCTCCTCCTTTTTTTGAAGACGGCTAAAAAAATGTTGAATGAAACCAATAATATATATTCTCGTTTATAAATGAATAACTAAATATTATGTATAAATAAAAATATTGTTATTTTCCACTCAGTTATTGGGTGAAATAGACTTCTCACAGCTACAGCGCAAAAAGTGTCGTTAAAAACATTGACTTACAAATAAAAAAAAAACAAAGATCAGCCAAGCACATAAAAAAATTAGTAATGTCCGCTGGTACGTTCCTTGGCTTAGTTGACATAGTGTCTAGCACGGTTTTCTGGAAGACGTTGGTTCAAATCAGGCCGGATCGAAGGAATTTTTTCTAAGTGTTAGATATTTATATTAATAATTATAACAAAACTAATGGAGTAATTTTACAAAAAAAAATGTAATATGGTGGTGTAACGTCCTGACCTTCAATGAAATTAATTAAAAATAATAACATACAGGTAAGTTAAAAAAGGCAATAAAAGCTTAAATACTAGAAAGTAAAATTAGGATTTTTAAATCATATGAATAAAATTGGGTCCGCGCGGCAAGGTGCCCAAGATGCTGGCAGCGTTCCCCCTTTGTATTGCTGTGCTAATGCGTTGGGCAAGGTAGCTGTCAGACTGTCGATTAATTTTTTAGATAAAATTTTGTGCAGATGAAGGGCACTGGAATCCCACGGGCCTAGGAAGGATTTCCACTCCAAAGGCTAAAAAAATAACATTATTCGCAATAATATCCATTCAGCAATTTTTCTTTGCATTTTCAAATCGTGTTTTCTCAATTCCACAATTTTGAGTTACGACAGTATTTAGTTTCGTTTGCGAAATATTAAGCCAATAAACTATGTTTTCAGTGCTCAATTTGGCCCATAAAGTAGGGAGCCTGGAAGTAGGAAAAGAATTTGACGCACTCGTAATCGATATATATGCGCCAGAAGGTCCAATCGACGTTTACAACAATAGCCTTGACCGAAACGCCGCAAATTATGACGAGAGCTTAGTGCAACGTTTTTTGTATTCTGGAAATGACTGCAACATCACGCAAGTCTACGTAAAAGGCCATCTCGTTAAGGATGATGCAAAAGTAATCATTACTGAATCTACCAGTGATGACAGATGTACACCCCGCCAGTAATAATATAATCTATGACTACAAAGAAAAATTAAATTAAAAAAATGGTTATGTTTAATTAATAATAATGCACTTAGCATTAAGCAATGTTTTGTACTCCCCTATTTATATTTTTAGTGTAAGCAATTGTTGGTGAATTAATAAAAAATAAAAAATAAATGTTTATTTTATTGATATTAATAATGTTAGTTATTAATTGTAAAAGTATTATAATGATAAGTACAGGAAATGAAACTATTTTTCCGGATTTAAATCGCGTATATTTGTTTTTCAAACAAACCGACGTTTCGGGCCCTTTACAGGTCCCATGGTCACGGTTGACTACGTGACTATTTAAATTATAAAAAAGTTTCATTTCCTATGTGTAACAAACGCGAAAACCTAAGAACTCGATATGATAAGTACTTATAATTTAATAACGATTAACCTCGACTTGCATAAAATATTTAGCTACATACCTAGGCATGTAAGTAAATGTTTACTAAATGAAAAAAGCATATAGGTACATTACCTATGGCATAGGTATGTACATTGGGTACATACATATTTGCATATGATTATACGTACATACGCATAATCATAATTTAATCACTTTTTAAATCTTGTATTCGACATTAATTAAGTATATGTTATAATTTTAGTTATAATTAAACATTTTGGATCTAATTGTTGTTTGCTGCGTGAAGCGTTCTATCTACGGTTTAAATCAGGGTTCGAAGTGGTTGATAATTATCGTGAAATTAATCAAATTAATTATATGTGTGTTTGTATCAGAGACGTATCCAATCGGGTCAAATGTCAATTTAAAAAAAGTCTAAAGAACAAATCGATGTCCCAAAGATTTCTCCGTGTTTATTTAATTTTATTACTGTTTGTCATTTTTCGTCAAACAAACATTGAGACAAAGCTGGAGTCGGCGTGGATAATTATCGGAAATATATAATTCTCAGATAATTATCACGATAGTTATCAGTGAAAATAAACATCTTGATAATTTCCATCCCTGTTCGAAACCCTATAATAGCAATAATACTTTGTTATGTACAAGTAAGTAATTTATATTAAATAAATCATTTTTTTGCCAATTTGCTCTTATATTTGTAAGTGCGTTGTGAAGTTGTATAATATAAATTAAATGCATTGCAAAAGCGAAAGTTGTTAATATTATTTTCTTTACACTATGCCACCCTGCAGCTGAACGAAATTCAATTTATATTTGATCTTGCTTGCTTTGATCCAAAGCGAGGTAATTCACGAACAAAAATATGGAACTATTAATTTCAATAATTAATTTCTTAGGTTGTGTGCATTGACCTACTAGGTCAATGGTTTTGTGCATCCAAAACTATGTTAACCCGAACCCGGCAACCCGTGTTACATGTAAATCTATATTTATAATATCAAATTACAGAGTCGAAGCGTCGCGTCGTGTCCTGTTTTTCAACTATAACGTCTGGCGACGTTCGAAGCCGCTCCACTGCAACCAAGCGCGTCTCCGTATTTGCATAACACAACCTTACTAATGGGAAAATAGTGATGACTATGCTATAGGCGAAAACCATTTCGCGTCACTTCGACTGAGTTTAGCCTTAGAAGCATCGCCACTGCTTCCGTCACCCCAAGACATAAGTTGACAAATCTCATATGCCCATCGACTTCAATATTACACAAGAACATTCACAGCAACTACATGTTCCAAATAAAACACTATCAATAGTGATAGTTTTTTGTTTTGTGTTGAATTTTGTCAAAGAGTATCGGAACCGTAGTACTTTGGACAGACGTGACAGTCTATTTATATAGGGAATGAGTGAAGATAATATTGAGTTTTTACCAATGATATTTATCCATAGTTGGGGCATTATCGTAAAGCAACCAAGTCTAGTCTGCATGAAATAAATGAATAAACGCAACAGACTGATCGAGAATCGAGAGCGAAAGGTCTATTTGAATTCCTTATTTTTATTTTCTTAACTTCTTATTTCGGTATGTATGTATGTAGGTTTCTTTCAACTTTGATACTTCTTGTAATACTAAGACGGATAGCCACAAATAACACAGAAACGAAAAATATAATTATTATGATTTCATTTTTAACCGACTTCAAAAAAGGAGGAGGTTATCAATTCGATTTTTTTTGTATGTACGTTACGCGATAACTGTATTTGTGAACCGATTTTCATGTATCTTTTTTCTTGGAAAGGGGGTACTTCCATAGTGGTCCCATGTCATTTTGAAGAAAATCATCCACCTCTAAGGGTGCCGCCTGTTCACGCACGAAGACTCATTTATATAAATTTTAATGGTTGATTTTGCTATTTCTCCGATTCAAGGCGTTTTTCTCTCTATATACTTTGAGTAGCGAGAACCGATTTTTATTACCTCCAGTGTCAAGTCCTGTATAGTGGCGAACTAGGAGATACTCGTATTTCAATAAAACTTAGCAAATAGACGTACTTCCACGTACTTTTCAGGTCGATTTTTTTAGTACTCTGTACTGAGATTATTTGAATTAGAATCGAGATCCTTATGTCCACTTGCACTAAACTTTAGTACGCCTTAAACCAATTCTTAGGAGTCAATACTTAATAAATTGGTTTCATTGCGCGGGTCGAGGGGCAGCGACACTCATTGCTATAGTTTTAGCATAAAAATAATTGTTTTAAATGTTTCTCGAAATTGTTAACAAAAATAATTTTAAGGCAAAATAAAAAAAATATAGACTACCATGACAACTTATTACAAAAGTTGGCGCAACGAATCACCTTCTTCTTCTTCCTGTCCGCTAGGTGGGGTCGACACAACACGTGAATACACGTCGTAAACGGATTTGGCATGGTGTTTTATGACCGGCCGCCTGGCTGACGTCAACCCTCCTTGGGAATATTGTTTAAAGTGCGGCCAGAGCCCCTTTCGCTATGTGCAGGGTGCAGGCTAGGTTGGTAACTGGAATACTTAGAATTTATAGTCTTATTTCACCCTAGATCAAGTTTGCTGGCCTGATCAGTCGCCATTCCAAAGTAGATATGACGTTGTGTTTTAAAGCCAGCTGCGACGCTCTTCAGTGACTGCACGCACCATATATTTTCACTTAAAAGCGATGCGTACAAAAATAATTCATAAAATACATTAAACAGTGCACGTTATTACCAAGATTATATCGTGCGATTTTTTATGAACTGTCACAGGGATCATCCTAGAGAACAATTGTAGTTAGTTCAGAACCAGTAACATTATTAATATTGACGGTGATTGTACTAAACCAATCAGTAGGTCGAATGCCCATACAATGTTGCCCGTAGTCCAACTAGTTGGACCAAGGACAAAGTTTTTTGCTCCTGGTCCAACTTGTTGGTCTACGCAGTTGAACCACGAGCAATAAACGAAGTTTTTTAATTTATTGCTTTCAATCCAGTCCTGGAATTTATCAGGATATCTTCTGAAGTTTTCGTAATCAGTATAAAACATGCCGTTAAATTTTCCTTGTAGATATAAATGGATGGATCCAAATTGTTCTTCTGCTTTTTACGACGACGAAGGAAGTAGCATCACAGCGGTGGCGTTCATTCTGTACTGTGACTGGTAATCAATGATCACGGATTCTATAATCTATGATCACGGCGCATGGGCTGCGGTAGCGCCGCTAGTGCTGCGGTGTGAGGCCGCGACTCCTGTGCGCCACCGGGGCAAAAAACGCCGCCGCCGCGTCACCTCATGTAATCAGCCTTACTATTTCTGTGTAATCGTTTTTGTCAACGCATTATCATACCATACTAACTTTAAAGGTTAAATAAATAAATAAAACAACGCCAGTCTTAATATTTTGCTTTATCTCGTTTTATTTTTAATAAACTGGCATCTACATATGTAGCTACAATTAAAAAGTACTTGTTACAATTCACCACAATCAGATCAGAATGAATGGTCACAACATAACGTACAAATAGTGCGGTACAAAACTATTTCATTATACTTGAATTACATAATTTGGTACTCAATTAGCCTAACTCTTGATTTTACATTCCGAGGGCAAAGTTTATATTAGTTCATACAATATGATCCTATTACCTAAGATAATCCTATTAACTACAGAAAGTAGTGGAATTCGTCAAATAGATAGGTCTGTCAAGAATCTTATGGAATTTCCTCTGGAAATTTCCACGCGATAAACCGCGCTTTGTTGCAAAATTTTGAGTAGAAAATTGTATTTGTCGACGTCGTGTCGATGTCGTACATAATTAGCCCACGTAAATACATTTAACTATAATCATATAAAGTACAAACTTAATTACTAAGAATCATTGACTTACAAATTAATGGACGACGGGTCTAATACAAAAACCACGAAAAAAATGGCCCAAGTCAACCTATTTAAACGTAGTGACATGTAAAGGAATATGAAAAAGCTAAAACGTTGAATTTAAATTGTAATGTCATCGCAGTACTGTCTAATTTTGCTTGCTTCGCTGTCAGTCGAACAAACGAAGACTAAAGCGTGAATGACGCTCTGTATACGATTTTAACGCCCTATAAGTTCGGACGCTTTTTAGCGCGGACCCGACGTCCATATAATTGTAAGTCAATGCTAAGAATAATTATAATAAAACACACGTACAAGCGACACTTCAGTTTAAAGAATTCTGATACTACATACCCAAATTCGTCGGCTACATTTTGAGAAACTCGTATCTCAGTTTTCGGACGAAATCTCTTTTTACTCTTCACGCCTAATATCCGGCAATTTAAGCTTAAAATATAATTTACAGACCTTCTCTTACTTATAAAATAAAGGTATAATCATAGATAGTCATATAATTATTTCTAAGTAACTCTGTTTTTGTGCTTAATCAAAAGTTTGCATTGATGGAGATTACGAGGTTTATGAATTTAGCAGACGAATTCATTTTTACTTAATAATTTAAAAAAATCATATGTCGTCACGAATTAAGAAAAAGCAATCATTTCATTTATTAACGATTTTGTAAAACGACTTAGGATATAATGACATTAATTATATAATTATATAAATTGTATGCTAGAAGTCTGCAGCGAAATTAAAAAAAGTGTTTTTTCACTTCTCATGCTCCTAAAGTTCGTATTTATGCTGGGTGTAGGCTGCATAAAATAGGATTTTATGCTCTAATGCATAAAATAGGATTTTATGCTCTAATGCATAAAATGGGATTTTATGCTCTAGTGCATAAAAAAAAACCATCACATTAAATCTGTCTAATTGGTGTAATTTTACATTCAATTTTAATTAAATAATCGTTTATTGCTGTTTAATTTCCTCGCAATCGAAGTGAAAAGCAGAGTGTATAACTGGTTCATAAAACCCATTTTACCCTCGACTTAAGTATCCAAGTATATACTCGTCTCGGGTAAAATGAAGCGCTTTATGCCCTTGTTGTACAATCTACTATTTTTTCTCCTTGGTATGCACAAGCACAACGGGGAACGCCAGAAAAGAGTTACAACTGTGATGGTGTTCTTTTCGCCTCAATTCCTTCTGCGACGCCTGTATACATTATTGCAGTAGTATTTTGTAATTGTTGGGAGAAAATAAATGATACTATTAATATTAATAGTATGCCTTATGGACAGTTTACCCTTATTGCCATGTAGCATTACACAATAACAGTGAGGGCTAAACGTTCACGACGTTGTGAGGTATATATACCTGTTGTAATACTGTAAATCAGGAATAAAAGAATACCGTAAGTATTCAACAATAGATATAGTATTCTAAAAATTCTGTTTTCTAATTAACAGAAAAATACATTTTAGGCATGACAAGTTCTAACAACGTTGACTGATGTCATTCACATTCACTTTTGCTTTAACGGACGTGTGTCGATTTGATGACGCGGATCTCTTTAATAGTTAATATATTTCTGAGATTTGTAAAATTTATCAATGCCTCTCGTACCGTTTTCAGCGTTTCTCGAAAGAATGTGCGTCAATATTGACAACGACTATGAATAGCCCGACACGCCATTTACAGCTGTGAGTGCTGCTTGTTATATGAAAATAAATTAGAATGATGTAACTACCGTTGATTTTATCTAAGTCTAAATTGTTAGTTACGTTACATAAATAATGTTGTTTTATTAATTCTACTTACATCATGATTGGCAGATATTACCTTAAACGTCGTCAACTAGAATAGAACATAATAGAAACATTTACTGTGTTAAAACTAAACAGTAGTATAAGCGTGTTGACGAATATAGTTCATCCCTAATATTAGCCTAGCTCATTGTCATTAGTTAAAGGTTTATGCGTGCTGCGGCGGCACGGGGGGTGCAGCTTCGGCAGGGGGTTGCTCGTTGGCGCCGACGGGCGGCGGCGGGGGGGCTCCCTCCACCTGCAGCCGCTGATGAGCCTGGTGCCGCGCACGGAACTCTGCCGCTTTTAGTTGCTCCAAGTGGAACTGTTGCCGCTCTTGGATCAATTGCTGCCGCTGATATTCTAAACCTGGTAAACAAAAATGTATAAAGTTTATTCGAGATTGTGGTGTGTCCGGAAATTATATTATACATAAAATTTTATTAGTGCATATTTCGTAATACATGTGGAATTCCTAGTATGACATTGCATAGATTCTAAACAGCAAACAAGTTTGTAACAATACTGGTATTTTTTATTTATATATTTAATTACCGCGTATTGGCTAAACGACTACTTACGTCCACACCTCTCACGCGTACTTATAAGCAATGTGAGCAAAACTATTGCTGTTCATAAGTAATGCTATGACTACGAGATGTTACTACCACTTAACCAGTCATCAAATATGTCCTGCACTTGTTACCTTCTCTCTCGCGTTCCATAGTAGCTTCGAGCTCCTCGAAGTGCCTGAGTTTTATCTCGAGCTTCTTCATCTGCGTCTCGACAAGCAGCGCGACGAGCGACTTGATTTTGCGTTCCTCCACACCAGCCAGATGCTTGGCCTTCACTGCAGCCGCTGCCAGCGCCGCCGCCGCGGCCGCCTGTAGCTTTGAGTCTACCGTCGTTGGCGCTTCTGTATGTCGAAAATTGCAAGTTAAGTAATATTTGTTCAGTTAGTACAGCATTTTCTAGATTCCTGCAGAATAAGTTTAGTTTTGCCCACAAATATTTAATATTTACCAGGTGTTGAAGCAGTCTCCTCCTTAGGAGTTTCTTTGGTGTCAGGTTCCGGCGTGGTCGTCTCCGCCGGCTCTTCTTTCATTTTCTGTGTGCCTTCACTTCCTTCATCCGTTTCCATAGCCTCGGGCTTCACTTCTGGGCCTTCTTTCTTTTCACCTGAGTAACGCATTGTTAAGAAAAACTCATAAGATCACACATTCACTGGATCTGTGTGTAGGTGCTTGAAGATATGACAAATTATTTCAGTCATATCATTGAACTGATAGAATTGTGTTCATAAAAAGTAAATCACATTTATACTTTAAATACTTGAAGGGGTACTAGTAGGAGTTCCAAAAAGGACTTAGATTTAATTACATTACTCTGATAATACAAGACGTTCCTTAGTTTTACCCTAAGGTCATTACTGTAATTGTGTGGTACATTATTTTATTAGAACTTAATTCTTAATGCATTTTAGTAGCAGCCTTGTGAAAGTGTTCGTCCAGGGAAGTACTGCCCTTACCTACTTCTGCCGCCAAGCAGTATTGTGAGCATTAGGACTGCGTTTCAGCTTTGAAGGGTAAAGGTGCTGGAGAAATTAACAGGCACGTGGGACTTATCAACTTATGTCTCATGGTGACGGGCGCAGTGGCAGTGCCCCTCAGATCTTTGCGATATAAAACTCTAAGTGGCATTGCAACTGTTATGGCCAGGCGTACAGCTTACCGTATTACCATCAGGCGCACGACTTGTTCGCCCCGTCACTTGACATTATTAAAAAATAAAGGCCACAACAACTACGAATGTCGAAGAAATGGTACTTACTGGTCGGCGAGGACTCTGGCGCGGTGCCGGCGATGCCGGTCGCGGCGAGTGCAGCCGCGGGACCGTGCGCGCCCGCCGCTTTCACATGCGCTTCCATCATCGCCGCTGGTACTTCGTCCTGCACAAAGCGTACAATTATTTTGTACCATTACCAGCAACGTAGGTTCCTTAATCAAACTATAAAACATAAGATGGTTAAAACGGACAAAACCATCATGCGATGAGTCATCGCCTATCATACACCTGACGATGTCAGCAACGGTCTTTTTTTCGCTTTAGTCTAAAAATATGGCTAATGCAGCGCTCTTTTTTAATTTATCAGAATTTTTTAAGTGTAAACGTTAATTTATTGTATGTACTATCTCTCTCTACTATTAGTTTATAATACAATTTAATAATTTGTTTATAAATTATGAATAAATGATTACGATTATAAACCAATGTTCTGTTCGTGTATGATTAAATAAAATATAGTGCCAGTGATACTGAACAAAAGGGACACATGATACATTTGTTCGTTCGTAACTATAATTTCCAACTTGAAACAATTGCGAAAACCTAAGGTCTCGATATTTATTTCATTCATATACAATTTTTGCAGAGTTGTTAAGCATAAAAATGTAAATGATAGGTGCATTATTAACAGTAGTGTTCGGTAGAGAGTTAATTTAGCTAAACTAAAGAATAATGTGGACATGTCCTTATAAAAGTTCCGGGACTTCTCGGGACAGATTATTTTTGAATATGGTTATTATTTATTGAAATTTCAGTACAATAGCGACAAATTATTATATCCTATTTGTAACAAATTATTGTCTCAAGAAATAATATTGTAGTGGTTTTCGAGAGGTACTTATTATGTACATATTGAGGTACATATTGAAATATTTCATCCATTTAAAAAATAAACTTGAAACAACGTATATTTTGGACGGTTTACAAAATAAACAATAAAAAATTAAATTTTATATGGGGGATTCACACATTAGGTAAATTAACTCCCTGAGAATTTCGATCTCTGATTATTACATATATACAGAGATTCTAAAACCAAGTATACGATATCAACACTGTGCCACCAATAATGAAGCGACACCAAGGGTGCTGTTGATTATACTGCCTTGATAGATACCTTGATCGCAGCGAATTCGTCCATCGCAGCGCGTGTGGCTTTGGATGCGATGCGCGGGTCGACCACAGAGGCGAGGAACGCCACTGTGCTCATCACAGGGTTGCCTGTCTTGCTGAACGGCACCGGTTGGTACGCCAGAGGACCCAGCACACCGCCTAATACAACAATTACAACTACAATCAGATTTGTATTGAATTGATATTCAATTATTTTTTGTAAAATTACTCTACTCGTTTGTTATAATTATTAATACAAAGATCGAACACTCAGAAAAAATTCCTTCGATCCGCCGGATTCGAACCGACTCTTCTAGCAAATCGTGTCAGGCGCTATGCCAACTAAGTTACGAAACCAACCAGCGCGCCTCACGAATTTCGAATTGCATTTGGTTTTCAACTACTTTTTAGCCATAGCATCATCTACGAGAAATCTATGAAAGTATTTCGTCGCCCAGTTAAGTAACTTGACAGCTACCAGCCCTGGCTAGAGATGTCGCCATTAACCGTAATTAAATTTGTATTAAATTGATATTCAATTATTTTTTGTGAAATTACTCCACTAGTTTGTTACAAATGTTAATAAATACAACTACAGTTACCACACCATCTCTATTACTATACTCTAAGGGCGCGTTTCCATTATGTCGTAACGTCTTTTTTATCGTTGGACTGTCGCGTCTAGCCTGTTCCCATTAGATCGTGACAATTTATCGGTTCACGGCAGCCGCCTTGTTGTTTGCACGACAGAATCGTTTGAAGCTGCGATTATCTCTGTTCTGACTTTGTCGTGGAAGTTTTATTTATCGTCTGACGACTGTCGTTCTAGCTCTTCCCATTGTCACGACAGTCAGTCGTCGTAACGTCAAAAGTCGTGAACAACAGTTAATCGTGTTCTATGTGTGAACAACTTCATTTAAATATACAAGTCAGGACACTTTAAACTGCACGACTAGCTGTCGTCACGACATAATGGGAACGCGCCCTTACAAGATACATGATTTGATATTAAATATTATACATAGGTCTTGCAAGGCGAGCTGCGGCGAAGTCACAGGTTTTCGCGTGGTAGTGAATGTATAATGAATCCAAGCCAATCCAATAGGTAGCAATTGGGGAGGAAAAGAAGTAGTGCTTCTGTATTTAAATTGATTATTACTACCGTACATAAAAAAAAAGCGTCGAAAAACTTCACCACTGTAATCTCGTTGCGTGACGTGCTGAAATGTTGCACTGCAGAAATAAATTACCAGACGGAGCGTCGGTGAGATAGGGGTCCTCGATGGGAAGCCGCAGGAAGTGCAGGATGCACTCGTCGTGCGTGCGTGTGCCCACGTGGGCGGCCACGCGGTTCCAGTCGTCGCGATGCAGCTCCAGAGCCTCCAGTAGCAGAAGCGTCTCCTGTTCTGTCCATTCGCGACCGCGAGCGCCTCCACGATACTAATATTCATAAATCAAGAATGTGTGTTTTTAGTATTTGAAACTAGTAGATTAGAAAAAAAAGACTAGAAATATTTAAAATCATGTTTTAAATAAAAAACATCCTTCTTATGTTGAAATCTTTATACATTTGTGAAGAGCAATGGTATCGTTGGTTTTACAAATAGGTAATCTAGGTGGCTTAGGTTTTACAAATACCTGATCCATTTTAAGACCCGGGGCTCCGCCAAGGTCGATAGTGGGCTCCGCCTTGACTTGCGTGGTGGCAGCGGCAACAGCAGCAGCAGCGGCAGCTGTGGCACCCGGTGGGGCACCCACCTCTGACCCGTTCGGAAGCCCAGCTTCGATCTTCGGCACTGCTGCGTTCTCCACTGTTTTACAAATGAATGCGCCTTTATAACGAGCATTTAGTCAGATTTCTGTGACGTACATCAGTTAAGAACTATGAACTAGCAATAGTCGTAGTATACCAAACTTTCTGTGGTATATGTGCATATCGATGACATTTTAGCAATATCAACAATATTTAGCACATTCTGTGCAATAAATAAATATTAAATAAATAAATATTAGACAACAGCATATACGTTGCTCTGATACCGAAATAAGTAACTAAAGCACTCGTGTTATGGAAATCGGAAACAACGACGGTACCACGAACACCTAGATCCGAGACAATCAATATAGAATAGTTAGTTTTATACATTGATCCCATTGGGAATTGAACCCGGGACCTCAGAGATGACGACACCATGAAAACCGGTGTGCAAGCCACTCGACCACCAAAGTCGTCAAAAATATGTAACTAAAAAAATTAACCATATTACTTCGGACCAACATTCTTAATTCTATCTACGCGATATGTGTAGCATAAGATAGATGGTAGGTATAATATTTGCAATATAAGCTCACTAGGTCTGGGCTGTGTGGGGCGCGGTTGTAGTGGCTGCAGACCAGAGGGTGTGTCGGACAGCACGTGGAAGTGCGACGTCGGCGGCGGTCCCATCGCTGTAGGACGTGACTCAGCCTCCAACTAAAAACAATGCTCGTTATAACAAATAGCTAAATATGAAGAAAAATACCATCTCGTGGGGGTTGTTACATTATTGTACTACTCTCTTTTTGGACATAAAGCACATGAAACCAAATAATGTCGTAGGTCCAAATTGTGGAATTGAAAAAACACAATTTGAAAATTAAAAAAATAATAATGGACCTTATTGCACATAATGTGATTATTTTTATTTAAGTGTCCAGTTTACAAAAGTTCGGTTCCCAAATAGGTTCTACCGTTCTAATCTCGTGTCTGGGTTACTGTCATGTAGCGTCTATTGGGCTAACAAGGTAGTTAATTGAGTGTAAGGAGAGGATAGTGGCTACATAATCCACCACGCTGGGTCAAGTACCTGGTAGTTGATAAGTCCCCATTGCTCGAGGAAGCCGTGTACGCGCATGATGGCACACACATCACCAGCAAGGTTACGCCGGCATGCCGTGCTCGTCAGATACTCCGTCGGATTCAGGCGGTACGTGTCGATCATGAAGTTCCTGTGTCGTCGAATAATATCGTATTATTATTATGCACTAGTCACATCCTGGACACTCCGTTTAACGGTCGAAACTTATTTGCCTATTACTACTACGTCCTTAGCGAACGACTCACTGACAACCTTTGTTGCCATCCGTCAATGTCGCAACAATACGCGGGGAGCGGTGTGATATCTAAAGCTACGGAGGGACGGAGAGTAACTTCCCCGTAACTTTTTTATTCTCTGGTATAGTATCATAATAAAGGGTCAAAAGGTTACGAGTACTAATTTAGCAACTTGAGGAACGTTACGATTAATTACTCATATTTATGCCGTGTACGGTGGTTAATACTGGAACCTAATTTGAACCCTATGTAAAAGTTCTTTGAGAAAAATCTCATTATTTTACCTGTATGCGAGGTAGATCTCCGGAGTCTTGGACTTGTTCTTCCCGTTGAAGAACTCAGGCAGCGCGCGCTTCTCGATCGTATGAATAGAGTTGTAATCGAACCATGCCGAGTAAGATGGAACTACGATATGGTGTGTCTGATCTGTTACGTTATCTTCCAATTCTTCCTTTGTTATCATGTCCTGGCAGATTACATGGAGTATTAAAATTATAATAAAGTTAATAGCTTGTTATATACATATAACTTACACTCAAATAATCTTTATTTCATCGGTGAGCAAATTACACTTGAAATAGTTACATTGATTAAACTCTACTGCTCATTCGTAGTAGCTCTAGGGGTTGCTCTTCGTAAATAAACATTTTGTACTAATTTATCAAATACTATATTTATTTCAAACACCGTATATTGAAACAATCTGAAGGAGCCAAACGGGTCAGTATCAGGATATTTGTCATCCATGTATGCGGAAGCTGTACAACTTTCAGTATTTTTTTGTATCACCATAGTTTCTTTTTTGTGATATCAAGTGACGGGACGTATTAGTGCACCTGATATTAAGCTACACGCATGTCCATAACTATTTAAACAAGAAGTTTAACGTAAACTAACGTGTAAATGGCAAATTTTGAATACAAATCGAAATCTTATTATAGAAGCGTATACAATGCCCTCTGAATGAATTGGTGACTTTGTATCTGTTGCTGGACAACGACTTTTAACGAGTAAGTTAAGGCCATAGCAATAGCCAACCCGGCGACCTTTTCACGTCTTCGTAAAAATATATGAACGTTGTTCGACATGCTGGTTGCATATAAGAGGACACAATATTATACAATCATGTTTATTCTTTGTCACTGTTTTATCTACCAGCAGCATTTGTGTTCCCCGAATATGGCGATATTTGAATAAAATATGGGAGTGAATATAATAAACACGAATGGGAGTGAATATAAATGCCAACGGTATTTATTAGACAAAATAGAATCTAGTAACCAAATCAAATCACCAATGTCCCTTGGTTTCACACTGTCTCTTTCACAGAATCTTGCTTAATTATTTTTCCGAAAAGTCCTTAAAAAAATGTAACTTGTGTGTTCCATATTTACCAAAGCTTAATTTAAAGAGTGTTTCAACGAGGCGAACATTTTAAAACCCAGGGACATGTGGCTGAAAATAGTGATAATATAATACGTGTATTTATTTGGATAAATCGATCGATCATCACGATAATTGCATCGATCCGTCGCTAGTCCCCTGGCGTTCAAGTTAATCTTTAACGATATAAACGTACACTATCGATTCGTCGTTTCGAGAAGCCTGAAACGATGGATTGTGAAGACTAATCGACCCTCATGGCCTTTACCTGTGTGTTAGAGTCGCTGTGCTTTCCCTGCGAGTCGTCCTGTGCGTCGGAAGGAGCAGCGGGTGTGCTAGGTGCGTCGGCTGTCTGCGCACCGCTCGATGACGGCTCGGCAGGCGTCGCAGCAGGCGCTGCACACGGAAATATTTATTAGAAAAAGAAAAATAAAATACTAATGTCACTTTGATCTTACTATTCTATAGTCTGTATTTTTTGAAGACGGAGTAAAATGACAGTTCATTACGCTAGTGTTGCCCACTTGCAAGCAGCTAGTGATTGCACTAGATAAATCGATACCTCACACGTAAGTTGTTGTAAGACAAAATATCATTTTTTTGCTTTATAATTTAAATATATGATCTTTTTTTATTTATATTACAGGTTCCATGTTTGAAAAAACCACCAAGTGTTTTCATTACTTTTAAATATGGAACCTACAATATGCTGAAAAAGCCCTTTCACTTTTTAAGTCAAATATATACAGTTCTCATGAAATTTCGAAATTTGTGCTTCCGATATTTATGAAAATTTTTAGGAAGAATTTGTTTTTATTTTTGTCAATTTTATAGTACTTATGTAAATAGTTTTTGATGATATAGTGGTCTCCAAAATAAATGACTTTTAAGAAAATGTACAGCGCAGTCAAAACGTTTGAGGGTGAGGGAATGACGAAATCAAAATAAACCAAGACTTGTCTGAGTGAACAATTAATAAATACAATCAAATACTTAACTCTTTTTATATGATTTGAGGGAATGACTGTCAAAAATGTAAATTGTACAATTTTAAATTAAATCTTTTCGTAGTAGAATTTTTTTACATACACAAGTTGGATTTCGTCATAACGTTCGTAAAAACTTACGAAATGCATTTACCAAAGATTAAAAATGCGTTTACAAATCGAGTGAAGGTAAAAGTGTGAGGGAATGATTTTTTTGGTTGGGACATGAATAATAATACATTTTCCATTGACTTACAAATAAATAGACGACGGGTCTAATACAAAAACCACGAAAAAAATGTCCCAAGTCAACCTATTTAAACGTAGTGACATGTAAAGGAATATGAAAAAGCTAAAACGTTGAATTTAAATTGTAATGTCATCGCAGTACTGTCTAATTTTGCTTGCTTCGCTGTCAGTCGAACAAACGAAGACTAAAGCGTGAATGACGCTCTGTATATGATTTTAACGCCCTATAAGTTCGGACACTTTTTAGCGCGGACCCGACGTCCATTAATTGTAAGTCAATGCTAAGAATAATTATACATTTTCAAATTTTATTCGTCGTGTTTTTACCACGCTATAGCTTTAATTTTGCAAAAACATTTTATTTGTTCATCATGTTTAAAGGTTATTTTAGTTTAAATGTGTTGATTTAAAGCACAGAACGTATTTGATTATGGAACTTGGGACATAGTGAAGGAATGATTATGGGGACATTTTTATATATTTTTTTTTATTTAAATAGACAAATCAATATTTTATGTAGGCATTAGTAGCAATTGTTTATAATTCGATATGAAATATTAATTTTACGGCAAGAATTAAATGCTTTTTTTTATAAATGTAAAGGACAAGAATTTCAAGATTTTGTAAGAATTACCCAAAAAATGGTATTTTGACTTTCAACAACTTACGTGTGAGGTAACGAAATATTCTATCTATTATAGACTATATGTTAGTCACGTTTACTCAACAAATAGTCGAACTTGTTTCATTTCAATCATCATCGGCCATCAGTCGTCCAACTGCTGAACTGAACAGCTGGGCACAGGTTCATATTAATTGTCAATTACGTACATACACTGCATTTAGAACTACGTCTACTAAAAATGCAAAGAATAGACTTATTTTTCAGTTTTTCATCTCACTTCAATATAGAATACGCTTGTTCTTATTAAAATGGATATGAATAAAAATTGGTTTCGAAATTAGTATTTCACCTGTCAAAATAAGAACAAAGAAGTCAATAACGCAATTAGAAATCATTAGAACGCCGTAACATTCACAATTCGGACATTTTTGACAAAAAAAATCTTCCTTTACAATCTATGATAAAACTATCGACGAAAACTACATGACTATTTAAAATTGTATGAAAACTGGCAATCGTGCAAATTTCATTTTACTACGTCTTCAAAAAAGACTATAATATTTGTTATTACTTTTTAACCTCTTAAGACCTAGAAAACTACGATAGGAAAAGCACTAAACGCCCAATGTACTAAATATGCCAATCAATATCAGGCCACTGTGGTAAATAATGGGCATTACATGCTATCTTAGAAACAAACAGCTTGTGTTTGTTATTTATTACTTTGACAGAATGGCGTATAAAATAAAAATAAATAAATCAATTGACTCACTTACCTTCATCACAGTCGACTGATGCAAGGCATTTAAAAGAAATTAAGGCAAAGGATTACATACATGAATAATGTTACATTTTATAATAGTGAATGTTAATTTTGATTTAAGTCATTATAATAAAGGATGGAAGAGTGAAAATTGTATGGACCCAGGCTCTGCATCGTTAGTAATAAATAATAACAGTTTATTGTTAGTAAACTGTTTTTTTTTAGAAAACAAACGCTGTCATTCAACAAGAAGTCTATAAGTAGTATAGTACAATTTCATAATGAATTTTTTTATCCTACTCCACAGTTTGCTGTAATTCCCCGTCCAGTAACACTATTTGCCAGATACTGCGATATTATATATAATCTCTGATGGCGTCGGCCTTGATGTCGACGGCAGTCTTTTGAGACCCGCCCTGTGGCTTATCGAGCCCGTCGTTTTGTCACAATCTATCAAACGACTTTTGGACCGTGATTCTGTGTTAGCTGCTTTGTCTCTTAATTTCAGTCTGTTGCGCTTTTTTGCTTTCTGGCAAAGCTTGAGTTTGAAAGTTCCTGCTTTAATCACAGAGCTATTCTGAGTAGCGAAGGAGAGAACAGGCCCAATTGCAAAGTCGATGAGCTTTTGCTTTAGTGTCAAAAGCTTTTTCAAGAGCTACTAGCTCGTGACAGAAGTTGCAGACGTGGTTCGCAAATACGCATAGGTACTTACTATCGGCGGAGCGCTCGGTGTCAGGCGTAGGCGCGGCGTCAGTGTTGTCACGTGATGCGTTGTCGTCCTCGTCCTCGCCGTCGTTGTCGCGCCGCTTCGTCGTGCGGCTACAACACAAACCACCATCGTCATTGTTTATGGGCAGCACATTCCGGGAATGAATTACAAAACCAATTTAGTATGTGTGTTTTAAATACTAAAATAGTACAGAAGAGTCAGCATCGCAAGTTGACAGTATTGACTATTGTATAAGAAACCAGTGACTCCCTCTCTTACCACTTTCGTTTTCCGTGCTTCTGCGGCGGCGGTGAGGGCGATCGCTTCCTCTTGCTTCCCTTCTTGCCCTTGCTCGATGCCTCCCCGCCGGGAATGAGGTCGTCCACTGACAGACGTAGCTTGTGTACCTAAAATAAACATCAATATGAAAGATTAGTTGTAACGACGAAACTTTGATTGACGTTTTTAAACCGTTATAACACAACAGGAAAACAATACATTAATAACATAAAACTAATGTGCAGAGCCCAAAATCAAATCATTATAATTAATCTTCGTTTGCTTATAGATTTTTTAGTCTGTTCCAATCCATTTTCAAGAAAAAGTAAACAAAACTGTTTGGTTAAAATTCCAAAGCAATCACTCAATAAATCGAATAGGTACACTCATGTATATTTCGAAGATTTCGACTTGATATCTATAGCTTTTTCTAACAATATTTATTTAAATAGCATCGCAAAATTGCATTTGAAAATGGTAGTCCAAAAGTGAGGTAATTTCCATCTATACATCTATGACTTGTCTAATTTAAGTTGTTAACTTGTTTAACTTGTTCAATTAAAATTTTTGTAATTGATTACTAAATCGAATACTTCAATCGCAATCGAACGAGTATCAAGTTTAAGGATTTGAAGGAGGATTTAAAATTAAGATTTCGGAAATTTTAAATATGCATAAACAGGTTACGTAGGGAAAACCGCTAGTATGACTCAACTGAACAAATCAATTCATTCAATTAATTAATCGATTTGTAGTTGGCATTACAATTGGCCATCACTAAACCGTCTATGGTCGGGTCAGTGACTTGTTTGTTTACATTTTTTGAAAATGGTATACGTTGTTCAAAATGGATTGAAACGAAGTTTAGCTCCATAATGATGTTAGTTTTTGGAAACCTAAAGGAATTTTAGAGTTTCTTTTATAATCTCTGTTGACGGGACGAATAAGCCGGTAAGCGACACGCCTGTCCATAAAAGTTGCAGTGCCACTCAAAATTTTAAATCGCAAAGATCTGAAGAGCACTGCCACTGCCCCCATCGCTCTGAGACATAAGTTGACAAGTCCCATGTGCCTGTAATTTCACCAGCACCCTTAACCTTCAAAACCGGAACACAGTAATGCTGACATTACTGCTTGGCGGCAGAAATAAGTAAGGTGGCAGTACTACCCTGGACGAACTCTTTCACAAGGAGCTCTATACTACTTAACAACAGTTATTTATTGGTATATATTATATACGTTCTGTCATATTGTTTTATAACAAATCATTGTTTGTAGTGAAATGTCTACGCTACAGTGCAGGAAATAGAAGAGTAAAGTTTCACATTTATAAAAATGTACCTTCTTCTTGCCAGCGACATCGACTTCGTAATCCTCTTCGTTCATCCACTCGTTGTACTGCGGCAGGTCGAGGGCCCACGTGGCCGACACTCGCCACGGCTCCGAACGAAGGCACTCCCAGCTTACTGTCTCGGGTACATCGACCTGGGATCGCCGGCAATTGGTTTTAAACTGCTATAGAGTGGTTACACACGGCGATCGATGCAATCGCTTATAAATGCAAAGTGCAGCTGCTTACAATCGCGCGTGTGTGTAAAGGTAGGCGATTTGCGACTGCACCGCGTTTGCATGCTACACGCTGCTAAAAGTTAACCGTTTTTCTAATCGAAATTTGAAGTAAAAATATTTACAAAAATTGTTCTAAGTGAAATACGTGGCACGACTATCTGTCGTAGACGTTTATTTTATCGTCGAACGACTATCTTGTCTAGCTGTTCCCACTAAATCGTGTCGACAATTTATCGGTTCACGGCAGCCGCCATGTTGTTTGCACGACAGTATCGTTTGAAAGCTGCGATTATCTGTCGTCACATTTTTATCGTGGCGTTTTGTTTATCATCAGACGACTGTCGTTCTAGCCTTCCCATTGACACGACAGTCTGTCGTCGTAACGTCAAATAAGTCGTGAACGACAGTTAATCGTGTACTATATGTGAACAAGCCACAACACCTTAATGCACGACTACCTGTCGTCACGACATAATGGGAACGCGCCATTATGCCAAAATTTTAATTTCGCTTTCTGGAATAAACAGATATTCTACTGTAATAGACTGACAAATACTGAAGTGGTAACGTTAGGACAACAACCATGACTATTCTTTAAGATCAAAGTGAAATGCCTGTGGCTGGAATGCCCTCAAAACCGGATTAAACAAAGCTGTTGTAGGCCTGACCCTTAGAGCATTCAGCCAACCGGAGGCCATCGATGGGTTAACCTCTCTACGAAGGAAGTGAGACCGGGCACTTATACTGTTTACATAAAACCAGTAGCCACGCGTTACGGGCCACTTGTTGGGAAGTAGTAAGCACTATACAATGTTTCATCAAAATTCCGAACTGTAGTATGTTTTATTGTAAAAAAGATTTGAAACGTATCACTAAGAATTATATATATATATCTATATATATAGAACTGTGCAGAACATTTTGTTAATGACTCTCTGCAATACATCTTTCCATGTCTAGTAATTATTAGATTTAACAAAAATAGCAATGGAACATGTTACCGGTAAGTCGGTCGCAGCCCACGTATCGTGGCTGTCCGGCATGTAGTACCAATGGATAAGCACGTTGTTCCCGCGACGAAAGACCGGCCGCGCGTACTCTTCCTCCAACGGATCAACCGCAGGGTACACGATGTGAGTCGCGTCCTCTTCCTCCTCTGTAAAACACATAACATTCTAATTATAATAATAAAATAATTTTAAATAATAATAGCTAGCTAAACAATACACTAATTACATGACCTGAGAACTAAAAAAATCCCTGTACTATAACCACAAGAGCAAAATTTACTCTGGTGCACTACCCACAACACCTAGATCAGAACCAATTTCGGAAATCCAACGAGGCAATGCTGCCAGTATAATGGGAACTTTTGAGCCGGCCACGATACAGGGCGGGACTTTTTTGTTTAGGAATTGTTGAATTAATCTCTTGCAAATCCCAGTTTTTTTATAGTATTGACGAATCCCAGTGCTGATCTTTAGGTTGTAAATTTGACTATTTCACATGCAATTTGTTTACCTATAAATAAATGAATTGTGACATGTAGAAAAGCTCATTTCCAAAATTGATGCTATCGCGAATCGAACTAGGGACCTCCACATCTAGCGGCGACAGTGCAAAACGTCGATTGACCGAGGTTGTCAAATATATCTTCATATCGTGCAAGATACACAAACTGAGTAGATAAATAATGTAGTCTTATGTATTTATCTAAAGGACCGTTTAAACGGGGTCAATTGACGAGCCATTCCATTAAGCCAAGCCATTACTGGCGTCGTATAAATAGAGACAATTATGGAGTGTCTGCAGACCAGTGATAAACACAATCCACTAAATTAGAACGATTTTAAATTTTTCGGGCCAATACCTACCCCCACCACACGTGCATTGAGTCGGCCCATGTAAATGGCCTTGTGTAAACTTGCGTCCTCAGCCACTCCACTAGTTGCCTTGGCGTTTAATAAAGAATCTTTAAGAAACTTATTGTAATACTGGCTGTAGTATAAAAGGGAGTTGCGAATTTCGCACTTTTCACTAGCCTGGCTTAATGGCTTGACTTTGTGAAATGGCTCGTCAGTTTGCTCCGTGTAAATGGGCCATTATTGTATATTGTATAGAAACGGGCGCTTGCATTACTAATTTATAAACTAAATTTGTATGCTGGGCCTGACAGTGTTTTGGTCTATACTCACCACAAATTTCACCCTGATGGTTGACCACAATGTCCTTGACCTTATTCGCAGTTGACTTGTCGACATCGGGGCGAATGAATACACACGGAGAGCGAATCAACTCCGCACTCACCAGTGCAGACTCGATCTCCATCATCATTTGCACGTTCAAGTCCTTCCGAGATGGATTCTGCAAACGGGGGACCGGGGAAGGAGGAAGAAACAACTATAAGTTAATAATTGCGCAGAGATAATTCAAGAGAATAGTAGTGCAGAGCTGACGCGTGGTGGACGGTGATAAAGGGTTATGTTCAGTGTTGTTCAACGCTTGCAAACGTGCTCTTCAGTGCATTAATCGGACATCATAAGGAACTCCTAATGTCTTCATAAAAAAATAACAAATAATAAAATAACAGCAAATAGTTCTTAATAATAATAATAATAAAGATTTTGTCATTTTTAAGTTACTGAATGTCACGATGTTTGACCACCATGATATTAATTTATTTTTGTGAAATTACTCCACTAGTTTGTTATAATTATTAATACAAAGATCGAACTCTTAGAAAAAATTCCTTCAATCCGGCTGCATTCGAACCAACGTCTGATTTTTGAATTAATAATTAAATAATAATTTGTTAATACGAACACAACAAAAAAAAAAGAAATGAAACGTAAAACATGCACACAAAATAATGTGAGTTTCAAAACCCATTTTGTATTAGTGACAAAACACAAATAGTGGTTACGTTATATCTTTCGAAGTACGGAATATGGAAAACGCACAGTACAATGTATTTACAACAAAATCCACACTTAAGTCCCAAAGGATGGCACTTGCATGAAATGGCATAGAGAGGCATGTGGAAACATCACCAGGCCAGGTTTGGATAGTAGTTATAGGTACCCTGTGTATAGAAGTGTAGTTTGTTGTGAACTGAACATTTGGAAACTTTGTAACAAAAAGATTTTGAACGTATGAGCTTACACAAGCTTATATTATCTCGTAATTGAATTTAATTTAAATACAGTCGTTTATTTTACAACGTATGTCTATATCGATATATATATATATACGTTTCAATGGAACAGTTCCATCGTGTAAACATAATTATATTAAGATGCGTGTGTGATAGGTCGTATTGTCTACAGCCGTGCTTTTGGACAGTATGTGGTGTTACAGAGATTATGACGACTATAGTCGAACGTGTGCAGTGTACCTTTGTTAATGAAGTAGATCCTCACGTGCTAGTGGGCTTACGACACGCGTATGAAGGCTAGGCACTAATTCAAAATTTCTTCTATCTCAACTATTCACTTCTACAATTGGTTAAAAATGAACGTACGTTGTTATAAATCATCCAAATCCCTATATTTCCTCACATTTATTTACTTTGCGGCAAAAGGTCACATCCAAATGTTGCAAAGGTATCCGACATACGCGTGTCATATGGGGTTTGTTACAGAGCCGCATGGTGCGGGATCTGGCGGGCGGCTGCGGGCGGTGAGCGAGGCGGCGTGCGGGGGGGTGCATACCTTACCGACCTGGAAGTCGAACTTGCGCCACCGTTGCTCCGACTTGAAGCGGAACATGGTGGCCAGCACCACGCATAGGCCGCCACTAGGCTTCATGTCCATGAACACTTTCATCTGGAACAATCGAGAATTGTTAACATAATCGCGTATTACTAAATCTAAGATACATAATATTTAAGAACAGCCACTTCATTATTCGTCTATTTTTTTTTTATAATAATAACGCACACACTCAACATAGCCCCGCACCTAGGGAAACCCTGTGTCGCGGGTGTCATGGACACACACGTACACAACTATAAATTACACCCAAACTCACAAGAGAAATAAAGGCAGGCCATACAAATATTTCTCCCGGCCCGGGAATCGCACCTGGGACCTCTGCGTGACAGGCGTAGTGACCGTTCGGCCATGGAGGCAGTTGATATCAAATGACAGGACGAACAAGTCGTGCGCCTGGTGGTAAACGACACCCTTATCCGTAACAGTTGCCACTCAGAGCTTTAAATCGCACAGATCTGAAGGGCACTGCCACAGCTCCCGTCACCTTGATAACCAAGTTCCGTGTGCATTTAATTTCACCAGCACCCTTACCCTTAAAAACCGGTAATGTAATTTGAATGTTATCTGTTTTTTGTCCATATAATAAATAAACAAACTCATCAAGTAGCAGAACCTTCTTTCTTGAGGGCGGTTAAAAATGGCAAAAGAGACGACAGCGCGTTAATTACAGTTCATGGTTCGTGCGAAGTATAAACTCATTGTGATACTTATATGGTTTGCCATGTGATAATTCGCAGTTATTGTCTTGAAGAGATGGCCATGGTTAAGTTATAAAAGGGGACCAGTGTCTAATGCAGACGTGTAGATAACCAAATCACATAGCACTTTACGATTATTATTGCAAACTCTTAGTGCGTTAAAGTTCAAACGGTACCTATTTTTAATATTGAAATTTTTTATTCTAAAGTAATGGGTTGGCTAAAAAGTATTTGCAGCTTATGCCACTAGCTAACTTTAAATAAAAAAATACTTTTTTCTTTTAAAATGTGAAGGCCGAGTCTTTTACATCGTACCGGTTTTTAAATCGTACCACTTCTAAATTTCTTAGAACTGCTAGTGAATCGTAGTATCGTATTTTCATATGGCCTGTGGAATTACCTCACGATAATTCAAACTTACACACATCTTTACAAAGCCGTCAAAATTTCAGTTAGGTTGTGATGTGACACATTATCCACCTTATTCGCCCGGTACAGCCTCTGCAGATTGTCACTTGTTACGGTCCTTATAAAATTTATTGAATGGACACTACTTTGATAACACAGATTATCAAACGCCACTGAAACTTTTGATGCAATTGCAGGCACATAGGACTTGTTGTATCAGGGTGACAGGTGGTGGTGCCCGTCAGATCTTTGCAATTTAAAGCACTGCAACCGTTATGGACAGGCGTGTCGCTGACCATCAAGTGCGCGACTTGTTCGTCCTATTACATGGTATCATAAAAAAATCTAAAGAGTTAAAATACATGGCCAATACATAATTGATTAAATACTTTACAATATTCTAGTATATATTGTCTTAAACTCCGAGATATTATTTTTCCTTCACTACATTGAACCATAATACAAGCTTTCGTTCATAATGTTGACACGGAAGTGAAGATGCTGGCATAAAGCAAGCCAATCAACGAAGTCCATAAAAATATAACTTCCCAAGATTAAGATTCTTCCTGAGATTTATAAAACAAACTTCGACTAAACAAAAATGACGAGTTAAGCAAGTTTTTCGTACACGCAACACGAACATGGCCTAAGTTTAAGCAAGAAGTTACGAAATAAAACTGATTAATTTAATTTTTTGCTTAAACTTAAGTTCGTTTACTAAATACAAAAAACTTTAATAGCTCGCCATATTTGCTCAATCGAAGTCTAAATTCGATTTATAAATCTCAGTCTTTAAATAAATTTTCAATAAACTGTCATTGAGGTTCTTAGTTAAATGCATCTAAATTTTAAATCTGAGCGCAACCGCTACCGTCAAGCTTGATCGTTTTGCTGGAGGGCAATTGTACAAAAAACCAAAGTTAAAAGGTTCAACAACGACCCATTTTGTGGCGGTCACGGATCCATGCAACCGTCACGCGGAAGTCTCGCCGACAAGGCCTCTAATTACGCTTAAGAAGTAATTTTACCATGGACCTCGTTAATTGTGTTATATTTTATGCAAGTTTCTTCGCTTTCTGTGACAATACTCTTGCGACATACTCGTAAGTTGTATTGTATGCAGATCTTCACGGCAACACTGAGAAAACTATCAACATCGCATCATCTTCATAAAAACGTTTACATAATATATTATATAAAAGTGAATGTTCGGGTCTCCTCCAACGAGAGAGCTCCTTGTGAAAGAGTTTGTCCAGGAAAGTACTGCCTGCCACCTTGCACATATTTGCCGTAAAGCAAGAAAGTGAGCATTGTAGCACTCCTGTTTTGAAGGGTAAAGGTGCCTGGTGAAATTACAAGCATTTGGGACTTGAGAACTTATGTCTCAGGTAGACGGGCGAACAGACAGTGCCCCTCAGATCTTCGTGATTTAAAGCTCTAATGGCAATGCAATTGCTATGGACAAGCGTATCGCTAACCACCAAGCGCACGCCTGTTCGTCCCGTTATCTGGTACCATAAAAAAAACTAACACACAAATTTCTTCCAATGGTATTGCAACGCATATTTGGATGTCACATTGGTGATCAGGTATACACGTCATCTTCCCACTTTCCACTTGATGTGTTAGTATTTATTTCGTCTAACTTTAACTTCATAATTTCAGTTTTATCTAACGTCAACATATTGTTTACGTTTTGCTCAATAATGCATTATGTACAAAATCGAAGCGTTACCAACATTGACTTACAAATAAAAGTCAATGGTTACCACCTTAAAAAGGGAACACACGAGGAGAAAGTTTTCGCGCGGCTGCCACGCGGTCGAAGAGCGGATTCCGCGGCGCCCGCCGCGCGGGTTAAGCGCGATGAAATTCGTGTAATATAAACGCGCCCTAAGGGTACTTTTTGCTTTGTTCGGCGACAGTTGTACGTTACATAATGAAAATAAAGTTCATTATGCTACGTTTGCAAGAATCCTCCATTCCGCGGCAATGTAAATTGAGCCATAGTTCAGGAAATACCCAAGTTTGTGGCAAGGCAACTGATATGGTTGTCTGGTAGATACATTAATTATTACAGAAGCGCGAGTGAATTACTCGGCCTTTTCTCCAATCGATACGTATAAAATTTGAAACTAGGCTAAATAATACAGTTCTACAGATCATGACAAAGCTCAAATTTTGAATTACTATTATGACATGAGATAATTGAAGTCAAAAATGAATGGAAAAATACTTTAAAATTATAATTGTAATTCTAACTCTGCCTTTCACCTACCTCTCTTACCATTCAATATTATATTAAACATTGTATACACGCAAAAATAAACGATGTTGCATAAATTCAAGGCAAGCTCAAATGTATTTTTAAAATTTCCATTAAATAATGATTAAGCATCCATTGTTACGACGAATATGACTGTTGTGCACAGATAGTGTCAAGCGAATAACCAATGTCATGGACCTTCTATAAGTAACGTAGCTTAGTTTATGTACACTATTATTTACTTTTATTAATACCTTGTTAAGAAATTAAAAAAAATATTTTCATACAAATAAAGACATTTTTTGTTAGTATAATTCCATAAACAAACTTGTAAAAAAAATCCATTTGTATCGGCAGTAGAGTATAACATTGCTTAATACTTCTAGCAATAGAGTGGCTTGTTGTAACCCATATTTTGTCTTTTGTCTCTATATTTTCGTTGTATGTGCAAGAAATAATAAGTTTATATTCTATCCTCGAAACGAAAAAAGGTACCGCTCATTTTTATCAAAATCGATATATAGTATGGTATAAGTTAAAAAAAACTATAATAATAAAAAAACTATTACAATACAATGAAAGCTTCTCTATAAAAATGTGTTTTATGCATATTTAACGTAAATAAACAACATAATATCAAAAAGATATTTCAACTAGTCTTTTTAGAAGAGAAACTTACAACTCTTTAAAATGATTTATCTCCGAATTTTGAATTTGCTACTTGTGTCTTTCTTGTTTTTCCGATGGTAGCATTGAACAGTCCGTGAAATAAACCTAAAAACATCAACATCATAATGCATTGAACGTGCAAGTAATTCAATATTAGTAATTGATCAATCAATAGAGACTTGTACTGTAGAGCGCGCCCAACCCTGGTTTGGTTACACTTACTTGCTCAAGTATCTCCGACCGGTTATTTTGCGGCTAGACGCCTTTGCGGCCAGTGGTGCAAATAATTTTCAACAAATATATTCGATTAATAAAAAATGTCCTCAGTTACTAAAATACTTGTTTCGGCAATAATATTGGTTAACATCCATGGACATAGATCTGACACCACGCCTATTATAAAAGTGGTGAGTACCGATTTAGTTTTTTAACCGACTTCAAAAAAAGGAAGAGGTTCTCTATTCGTCTGTATGTTTTTTTGTACGTATGTTACGCGATAACTCCGCCATTTGTGAACCAATTTTGATGATTCTTTTTTTGTTGGAAAGAAGGTACCTCAGATGTGGTCACATTTAAATTTCAAGAAAATATTTCACCTCTAAGGGTGGCAAAATAGGGGATGAATGATGAAACTTTTGAGGTCGATTTTTTTAACCGGTGGTTAGGTTATTAAATACTCATGTGCTAAGAGTACGCTACAGTGTCACTAGATTAAAACAATGAAGTTAACTTATACAGCGTAAATGTTTGATTAACTTTCCATGGTCAATTGTTTGGCGGTCACAAGAGCTAAATGATTTCATACACACGTCAAAAGTTTTTGGGGTCAATTGCATATGAATTCTCATTTGCCTTTGATCCACCCCTACAAATTTTTGGGAAGAGTATTTTGAGTTTACAATTTATACTCTAGGAAGAGGTACTGGTCTCAACAGATAACATTTTAATTGTAAATTTGCAATGACCGGTTTTGACCGGATCACAAACATTTTTGCTTTCAATCATGAATGGTAACAATTTAAAATTAGTTAATATAAATGCATTGAAAAGCAGCAGAGCAGAGCAAATGCAGTCAACTCTCCATGGTCACGGTTGATTGTAAAGGGTCCGAAGAGTTGGTTTGTTTGAAAAAACAAATACACGCGATTTAAATCCGGAAAAATAAGTTTCATTTCCTATGCATTGAAACTAATTAATAATAAAATAATAATAAAAATATTTAATTACCAGACAACATACCAAAGTCCACAGTTTGCTTGTAGTAATAACATTAAACTATATTAGTAACCGTTGATTATAGGATATAAACACGTTGGAAATTTAAATCTTCAAAATCAAATGTCAAAACTTAACGTAACTGCCTCCATGGCCGAACGGTTACTATACTACCGGACTGCCAGGCTGAGGTTCCTGGTTCGACCCCCGGGCCGGGAGAAATATTTGTATGGTCTACAATTATTTCTCTCGTGAGATTGGGTGTAATTTGTGGTTATCTTATGAGTGTGTCCATGGCACCCGCGACACAGGGTTTCCCTAGTGCGAGGCTTTGTTGAGTGTGTGCGTTATTATTAATGTAATTAACACAGGTCATTAATCTGTTATTACAACGACTAGTAACATTATGAGCAACGAAAAATAACAGGTATTTAATGTACTAGTTTATTTTTATAGTAATAAGCCAAACGATAATGAACATTGGGATCATGGACCTTGAATGTCTATTCAACTCGATTATTGTGTAAAAAATGTTTAACTTTCACATGGACCGATACCTAATTACAAACATAATATACTCGCATATATGTATACACACATATACCTCAAAGTGGCGAATAATTTTAGATAATCTTATACATAGTTTTTAAGACATATTTTGACTCATATTAGTTGCTAGTAACTTCCGAACGATATGATAAAGTAACTATGTAGTTACTCTTTCACATCGTATTTGACTTTTTAATCCAGGTGGCGAGAGGAGGCGATCACTGCGAAGGGCCACACTGGTCGTCAGCGGAAAATGTGCTGTACTGGGTCGACATAACGTTGCAAAGAGTGCACCGACTTGACCCTGTCACGGGCAATGTCACAACGCGGGAAATAGGTAAACAGTACAACCTTCGGGTCGTTGTAGCTGTCAAACGTACGAAGGCTACTTAACGTTTTCTTTATAACTCTTAGGGTCACCTGTGTTGCAAAAGACCATGCAATCAATAAAGTAACGATTCTTGCACATTAAAAATTACAATGATAACATAGAACTGTAGTGTAAGTTAAGTGTAATATTAGAAGCTAACTTACGACAGGTGACTGTCTTCACAATTTAAAATTTCTTATAGTCAACCTTATGATAGAAAACCAAAAGATACAAATGGGGCGCAGCCAAAATTATCCACTAACAGATTCATCAATACCTATAATAAAATCGTAAAGCTGAATCTTTCCTTTCTATATGTTGAAATAAAAATTACGTAAATGTTTGCGCGTAGAAAATCGCAGGCGCAGCACGTTACAAATTAATATAGTATATATTAAGTCTTAATAATAATGTATACACAATTAATAAGAATAATATTTACTCATATATTTTATAATACAATTTAATAGGTTTCAGATTTACGCAAATAAGGTACATGAATAAAGAATTGTATGCAGAAGAAAAGTGATCTAAACAAATTAATCTAAATAGTACCTACTCGTATATGTGAGCTTGAAACAATATAGTTTCTCACCATTCCGATAAAACCCTATACATCTAACCATATATCAGTAATATTTATAACAATTAGTATTAAGTTAGGGACTTACCACATTTATTCACACGGAATCGCCTTGAGCCAGGCAGAAAACGTTTATGACCATGCAATAAGAGCGAAAAAGACGTTGCGCGTTTCGTTTCCGCTCGGATCGCCGACGCAAAACGCACAACAATATTTTCGCCTTTATTATATGGACATAAAGAACTATTTCTGACCGGCTTAATAATTCCGTGTCAATAAGTGTAGTCTGGTGACACACTCAATTACAATTTTCTCACAGGTTACGGACCAGTGACCCTGGTGGTGTCAGTGAAAGATAATCCCAATTTGGTGCTGATAACAAGTAGAACCGAGTTGTACTTTATGCAATGGGATGCTCCACCAGGCGACAGTGCTCTCCGGTTGCTTACTGCGGTGGATCTGGGGTTGCCTGATAACCGCGCAAATGATGGCAAGGTCGACGCCAGAGGCAGACTTTGGTTTGGTGAGATTTAGCCACTAACGCATGTGTACCATTCATGTACCTAACTTTCCGTTACAAATATTTTGACGACCTCTGTGGCCCAACGGTGAGCACTATGGGTGCTGGACGTGGAGGTACCGGGTTCGATGCCCGGTAGGACCAATTTGGGAAATGAATTTACTAAATTGGTTGCGGTTCGGGTGTTCTGGGTAGTGGCTGGAATGAGTGAATTTTGTTGATCTGGTACTCATAGCATAATATTTCCATTTTGAAAACGCAACCATTGCAGGTACAATGGGGAAGGAGGTGGATAATGAGGTCGACAAAGACCAAGCAACATTATATATGGTTAACGAGCATAACTACTTTCACCCTGCAACCAAACTGAAGCCTGTATCAATATCAAACGGCATCGCGTGGAGTACCGACAACAAATATATGTTCTATATAGACACACCTACGAGGAACATTGATGTATTCGATTTCAAATTGGAGACTGGCACTATACGTAAGAGTTTTGAACAGCTAGGTCACATGTTTTTTACATCTCACAGTTCGTACTAGATTAAGTATAACTTTTACTTAAATTTATACTAAATCTGGTAGGAAAACTTCATACATCATTAAGAACACTCGTTCTTAATGATGAATGAAGAAAACACTTTTATTTAAGACGCTAAATATGACTATGTTTATATTGTAATGGTTTAATTAACACAACTGCAAATCAGATACACAGCTTCACCAAATGCAAATCGCGCAAAAGCAGACAATGAGTTTTAGAAGCAAGCAAAAAGTCATTAATAATAATAACTTTAACCATAATATTTTGCATCAAGTAGGTAATCGCCAGCACTATAATGAGGTCATAAATTAATGTAGCAGCATTGTTGACAAATGTAAGTTTCATTTCATTACTTTGTCACAGAATCAAATTTAATCTCAGGAAAGTTTTTTCGCTGTCGCCAAATTGCATCCAAATTTGTTAGACACGTACACGTAATCAGTCTGAAAAATAGCTTTATATTGTTGTGTTATGACATTGAAAAATACAATATTTTCCAGGTAACAGAAGGACAATTTTCAGTTTCCAGTCAAAAAATGTCACTGGGTACCCTGATGGCATGACAATAGACAATGAAGGAAACCTGTGGGTTGCATGCTACGACGGTGGAAAGGTAATAAAAAAATTTGTGTTGTAACAAATAGTATATTCGACCTCAGGTCGAATATTGAATATTTACCCAGGAGCATTACGAAATATTCGGCAAACTATTCGGCCTGGTTAACGCAAATACCAAAATTGGCACAAAAATTATCACTTATTACTTTGGTTATGAGAAATAATTTAGTGCAATGAAAGAAAAATGTACTTTAATTTTAATGCTCACTATTTTTTTGAATCTAAAACTTAATACAAAAAGTAATCAGTTTGATCAACTTTCAAAAATTTAATTTTATTTCGGTTTACAAATAATGAGTACTTGTTTTTGTTAGTTAATTTTATCATGAGTAGTTTTCATTTCTTATCTATTCTTGATTGCTTAGAAACGTAACTTAGTTATTTAACTAACCTAACCCAACTTCAGTCACCCAAACTTCGAGGATTGTAGAAAACTGCATAACAATACTGAATACTCTTGGGAAAAGGAATAATGTAGTCCTGGCTTGGGTTCCTGGTCACTTTGATATCGAGGGTAATGAAGCAGCGGATGAACTGGCAAAGGCTGGTGCTAGGGAGGCCTTCATTGGCCCTGAGCCCTTTATAGGAATAGCACACAGCCTGGCAAAGCTCACTTTGCTGAAGGAGAGCTCACACATCTCCCGTGTTGTGTGTCTGCTGACTAAGGGTCTTGAGCATTCTAAAGCCCTGATAGCTGCCTTCAGTGCCAAACACTGTAGAGAAGCTCTATCACTGGACTAGAGCCTTAACAAAGCTTTGTGGCTTGAATAAGCACATGTAAATATTGTACAGAGAGAAAACAGAGAATGTAGATTCTACCATGAGGCGGACGAAACTCTTGTGCATCTCCTCACCCAGTGCTGCCCTCTGATGGGCGTAACAAGTTTCATACTGGGTAGGCACAGGCCACACCTAGAGGACATAAAGACTGTTGAAGCCAGGAAAGTCCTTCAGTTCCTTAAGGCTGTTGGTCTTGGTTCTGAGCTGTGATTAGTGGTGATCACAATAGATCATTTATGGTCGCAGTGATGAGGGGCCTCATAGGCCCCAAATGAAGCCACCCTAATAATAATAATAACTTAATTATTTTACATTTCCTTTGATTTTTTAGATATGGAAACATTTACATTAACATGATAATTTACTGTTTTTTCGTATTTCTTCTTCCTACTTTGTAATGTTTGGCATTCAATTGAATAGTATGCAAATATTTGTCAGGTAATAATGTAGTTTTGGCATAGCAATGTACATATATGTGTCACAAGAGTGTAATTATAGTCAAAGTGGCCACATGAGGTTTAAAAATAATCACCTTTTATAATATATGATAACACTTGCACCACATAAATTTACGACAACTAATACTGTTTCCTAAATGCTAAATTGGAAAAAGTATTCATATATTTGCAGGATGATTTTCATTTTAGTATGGGAGATAGTGAAAGTATTAATTATCATTCCATACAGGTGGCCACGCCTCGTATTATGCAATATAGCTTCACTGAGGAATTTCATAAGTTTATTGATTTGGCAACAGTCTATTATTATTAGCATAATAATTGCAAACCTCTCAATTCAAAGTCAATCCAATTGTTAGTAACATTTCTCTCCAAAATATATCAATGTCGCTAGGTTGCAGCAGAGTTCCAATCACATACATGTTAAACAATTCAAAGTTTAATTTATATTGATTGCACAGGTAATTAAAATAGACTCTCGCTCGGGGAAACTTGTGGAACAACACAAGCTACCAGCATCAAAGGTGACATCGGTAATGTGGGGAGGACATGACCTATCTACTCTATATGTGACAACAAGTCGCAGAGATCTTACGCAAGCGGAACTCGAACAACAGCCAGACGCAGGATCTGTCTTTGCCATAGAAGGAACTAGTTGTAAAGGTTTACCACAAAACCAATTTGTTTTTACCAATGCAGCTAATTATTAAGAGTTATACTAAAATAAACAGTGCATAATTGACAATTAATGTTATTTTTTCTTGAACTTCATCTAATAGAAGTGTATTTTATAACACTAGCAAACAAGTATTTCCAGCAACACATCTATCTCAACTTCAACTTCAACTTTCTATTGAATCCAACATTCGCCAACATCAGAGTTGAAAGACATGTAGTGCGGTGGTGAGATAGATTGCCGATTATTAAAAATTAAATGAAATATAACTCTGAATATTATTGCCATATATATTGACAAACCAAATTATTAAAAAGGGCAAACTCATCATATTATAAGTGTAATAAGTAATTCTACACCAGAACATCAGAAACAAAACTAGGCGTTATGGTAATGGAAGGTTATGTGTGGTAAAATGTGTACTCACTGGAAGCCTGAGGAAAGGTGGGTCAGAAGCATTCTTGCCCAGCTTGTTTTCCTGGTACTGGATTAACTGAATGACGAGTTGCGCAAGGCCTTCTTTCGTCGGAGGGTCCGTTTGGACGTGCTGAAATTACAAATATACAAATTTATTGGCACTTTGAGTATACATAATTAATGTGTTATAATACTTATAATCAATAAATTTAAGGTATAAACGAAAGTACATGAACCAGCAATGCGTATCGAGTACTCGGGTCAGATTAAAAACGTTTATATCATACCTTTTTGCAATTTTTCTGCAACCAAAGCCGGATTTGGTCGAACTGAGCAAGGCATTCCGCCGATTGAAAATATTCGATGTTTGGACCTCCATCCTTCTTAGGGCCTATAGTCGCCATCTTGATTACACCACGATATAATAATTTTTCAAATATATTTAAGCAATGCTGTATAACACAGTATTTATAACGATAAGTGAACAACGCTTTCACAAGTTTTGTGTGGGGTGGTATGCAAACTCACAGCCACTTCACGGCGTCGTTAGTTTTGACAATTTGACGTTTAGGTTTCAATGTTGCTATTTCCCAGAAACCAAACGGTACACAGGGTCTAGTCCCGTTTACCGTCCGATATTTGACCGAGCAAATTAAAAAACAATGTCACTTCACTTCACTTTTTATTTTTATGGCTCCATCAATATGAGAACTGATGATTTTGCCAATGTCACAGTTGAAAGAAAAAAAACGAAACAAAAAAATTTTTCGCTAAGCTCTAATAGGACATTAACCGGTGTTGGTAATTGTGAAGCTTCATTCGCATTGTCGAGTGTTACTTTGACAGTAAATTGTTTCGGACGGATGTCCGAACGACGAACGGGATTTCGCTCTGGACCTTTTGGAGGGAAAAGTGTCGTTTTTATTTTGACTTACAATTATTTTGTGAAATCTAGTTTAAAGTGGAATAGGATAGAGCTATTGTGCCTTATTAAAACGCGCAATTATACGAAGCTCGAACTAAAATACCCGTATCGGCCCGTTCTAAGCAATCCAAGCACGCCACCTCAAATTGCCTATCCTCTATGTGGCGGCCCTATTTCCAGAAACATAATTAAACGATGATGTGGCTCTAAGTACTTGTATCCAAGCCAAAATTATTAATAATAAGCGAACGGCGAACGCAGATCACGGGAGTAGACCACTAGACACGGAATGCATTTTAATTTCGAATTTGTTTCGTAATTTGGGATTCGAGTACTTCAGTCGAAATAGTTCAGAGTTCTCTAGAGCCACATAACTAAATCTATGAGAGCCACTAAAGAAAATTAAGACGCTTATTAATTTAGCAAACTATGGCTCACAAACTATGATTATGACTTAGCTGCAATGATTTGAATTGGGGTGGCAGGCCCTAGGCTTTTTTTAATGTTAATGTGAGATTGTTCAAAATAGCTCGGCTTCATATTTGTTGTTACGTTTACATACCTATGTTTCATTATCACCGGGACACGCAGCGGTTGCAATGCCGGTCGTACCACTATAAAACCAATCCAAAAATATGACAGGATGTGTTTCGCATCATCACTCCTCATTGTTGGTGAGGTGGATCTCTATGTATGTGTATCATGCCTGTATGCTTAGAATAAAAACGCATAGAATGATAGTTTCAAATCAAAGGAACTGTCACAAGTGAGGCAAAAATCAAATTCATGTAGGCTAGTTTTAGTAGTAGGTTAATTTTCGGTTTTAGTGAATATTTATATAAAAATACAAGTTGAAACGCGTTACTTCCTTGAGGAATGTGATATTAGTATCTATTTTATGTTTGTCTGACGTATTTTTACACTCATTTACCGCACATTTCGTCATTTTTAGCTAAAATTCTTGTGCTGTTCACGGTGCAAGTTGACCTTGAGCACTGATGGCCCGCCCGCTCGTGTGGAGGCCCATTGGGTGCGCTTCAATTTGCCTCACTTAGTGTGTGCGGGCTAGGTTTCTATGCGTTATTATTCTAAGCCTGTATGTATATGTGTAGTAAGACCACTAGTCAAGAGCAAATCTTATCATGTAGGTAATTTTTGTATATAATAAACCCATAATAAATTGAAAAATACTGAAATGGTGAAAGTAAATTTATTTGTGATGTTTCACTTAATAATATAAAAATAGTACAAAATCAATAAGTAAAAAAAGGAACAAAAAAAATATTTTTTGCACTTATTCGTAATTTAGAAACTCAATTTTTTTTTAAAAAAAAAAAAGCAGGAAGGAAGTTTTTATTGACCTTTCGTTGGACTCCATTTTGCTTTAATAGCAGGATGTTCCTTGCTCTTATTGGTATCCCTCTTAGTGCAAGTTTATATTTTCTCGTGCTCTGTAAGCAGGGGCTCCGTAGCTAGAGTGGGCCTTAGCGAGACTGCCGGATACTACAGATGGTGAACAGCCGAGGAGCAGCGGGATGGCAGATTCTCCTGTGTTAGCGTGAGGGAAGACGCCTATAGCACCGGGGCCACTTGAACTACCTCCAGCCAGACTAGCCGCAGAAGCACCAATCGTCCCAACACCAGCGCCAGCTAAACCATAAGAACCATAAGCTCCTCTTGCAGCAACCACTGGTTCCTGCTTCCAATGAGTATTGTGTTCAAAAGCTGATTTACCAGAAAGTCTATTCATATTCGTTTGAAGAGCTCCTTGAGCAGTGTTATCCATATTAGCAGCTTTTTCTTGGGCCTCTGCATGTGCAACCTTAAAGTGCACTCCATCACCGTGGAAGTTGTGGTAAAAATCATGGGAAGGGTGATGAAACTGATGATGAGCACTAGGAAAGTGAGGTTGGTTATAATGGTGAGGCATTGGCATCATATTATGATGGGATGGGAAACCAAAAGTTACTACCCTTTGCATATCTGTGCTACGTAAATTTTGTTCAGCTGCAGCGTTTTTCGCAGAAGTCATTTGCTGAGCTGGCAAGTGTTTTATCTGTGTAGGAAATACAGATTCCTCATGTAAGTGATGATGACGCTCGGAGTTAAGATCCTCAGCCATTTTCACTGTATCGAAACGATTACGGAGAGCTGAAGAAGAAATCCCTTTCTTCAAATTTGCTGGTTCATTGTTGTGCACTTGATCAGCAGATTTCATCGCGACGTTATCATCGTGTCTTTCGGGCATTTTAGTTAGACTAGTGGCAGAGGATTTCATTTCAATATGAGAATGATTTTGATCATCCTCGATGAATTGTTTTTCAAGATTTTTATGGTGCTCTACAGATTTCATAGCCGTAAAAGCACTAACGTGACCAGCTTTTTCATGTGTTAAATCCGTCTTCATTTCTCTTTCTTTGGTGTCAATTGCTGTAGGAATGTGTTCTGAAGCCTTTGCTAGCATATCATTATCTTTAGATTCCATCCAAGCACTCTTGCTATTCTTCTCATCGAATCCTTTCGATTGAGAATTCATGTCGTTGTGGTGTACAAAATCGGCTTTTGATTCGGTTGACTTCATGCTGGATTTTTGTAGTGTACCAATTGCTGATTCCAAAGCTTTCTCGGCTTTGTTTGATTGTTTGATTTTATCCATCTCCATCTTAATGACCTCTGCTGCCGCCATGGCTCTTGGCTCCTTAGGTTCCGATGGCATTTTGTGATCTTCAGCAACAGGGTGTTTTGAATTGAAGTCTAGTTCGGAGTTTTTGGCTTTCCCGTGCGCTTCGGACTCTATATTCTTATCAAGGTCACTATTAGTTATAAACGATGAGTTTGGTGATACCTCTTCAGTTGCGGTGACGGGCATGTCTACACGTGCAATCAACGTGTTTTTGTGGTCAAATTTGGCCTCCTTTGTCTCAGACAGTTCTGCTTTCATGTCTTGATGTGTTACTTCATGCTCTGTTTTGGCTTCTAATTTATCCATATTTGATTGTTCGTCATGGGAGCTACTTTTTATTGTTATTTCATGGTTATGAACGTTGTCTAGTTCATTGTTACTTTTCCTTTGATCCATGTTATGGTCCTGGTTGTTGGACGCTATAAAGCCGTCTTCTAAATTTCTTGCTATTTCAGAATTTTTTTGAATATTATTTATAGCTTCCATCCATTGTGTTATTCTTTCTTCTTTTGCATCTTGCAAATCCTCCGCATTGGTAGCTTGCATATTCATTGTTTCTAAGTTACCAAAGTTTTGCTGGATATGCTCAAGTGCTAATCTTGCCACTTCGATATTTTTATGTACCTCCGCATCTGATCCAAGAGTATTATGCTTCCAATCATGTTTCATGTGCTGAAGTTTTTCAACTGCTTGTTTCGCGGTCTTTATGCTCTGCATGATATCACTTTTCGAATTATGTAAATCAGTTTTACAGGTAGAATTGGCCTTTAGGTCATTGGATCTGGCTTCGGAGTTCTCTGAATCGCACAACTTTACTTTGACTTCCTTTGTACATTTCTCTTGTGGATCAATCTGGGCTTGCTCTTCCTCAGAGTTGCGATACAAGTGGTATCCCAATTTATTATTCTTGACTATTATTGGTTTCTTCAAGCCAAAAGTTCTTCCTGAAACTTTAGTCACGTGGTTGGTCTCCATGAGTGGCAACTGTTGTACTTCTGATAAATGTCTGGCATTATGGCTTGTCTCTGTGGCAGATTTCTTCTCTCGTCGGAAAGTAGGTGTGATTTGATATGACACTGGACTATACCCGACGTAGCGATTTTCAGATAGTGCCGGTGCTGCAATAGCAATCGCAGTCAAAGCTGACAGCACTACGAGAGTCTTCATCGTAGCTGCTGTTAAGAGTTGTGATGCAGGTGATAGGGAGTACGGACTATTTATACTAAAACGTTGTTTTTTTATTTGTAGTCGAAATGAAAGCTGTACGTGCCTATCGATCGATATGGGACGCGCTGATGATGGTGCACGTGATATTATTGGTTTGGGTGATTGCTGAGCTAGCGCCTTCCGCCTTTAAAATCAATTTATAACTTTTGTCACCAAATAGCGTTAAAAAAGTAGTGCGTAGGTTTTTGATTTTAGTAATATATTTTTGTAAAAGCTGATGGAAAGGTCACACTCTGACCGATCCTTATTATATAATTCACACACGTCAAGAAAATTTAAGATTATGAAGTAAAGTAAGTAGTAGCTATGATATGAGCAAAACCTATTGTACAACTAAATTAAAACCATAATTATGTCTCATAACTCAATTGTAGTACCTTTTTTTAGTGCCACTCAGAGCTTTAAATCGCAAAGATCTTAGGGGCACTGCCACTGCGCCCCTCACCCTGAGACACAAGTTGACAAGTCCTATGTGCCTGTAATTTCACAAGTACCTTTACCCTTTCAAACCGGAACACAGTAATGATCACATTACTGCTTGGCGACAGAAATGGGTAAGGTGGCTGGATAAACTCTTTCACAAAGAGCTCTACAGTTCTTAGAAAACCTATTGTAAACGCAGTGCCTTCTAGTTTAAATTCTAGAGGTTCTTTCATGTAAACGTCTCACAGGGATCACAACTGAAACAACTATTTTTAATCAATATTTTACTGTAAAAAAATATATTTACAAAACTAAGTATATGTTCGAAACTTTTTAATAATGCTAAGTAATTATTTGATTTCGATTACTTAAGTTCATAATTTAAGTGGTATATAATATATAAGATACCAAATTAGCTTGTGTACGGATTTATAGACATTGAAGTCGATTTGGGAAAATAATTTAGGTATTCATTAAGAATTAAGTATACCAAAGAAAGAATATAAATCTATCATAAACTTACAGTGCCTATCTGTAGACTAACAACCGCGTAAAACATTTATGCATTTTTACTTCATCTGACCAATCGAAATAAGGTTTTCTGTTTCATGAATCAGCAGTAGATATGTATGCATGTCCTGACAATAATTTACTGCGTCCTCTCTTGGCTTTATTTTTTTGAAAAAGGGCACTCAAAAGTTGAGTCTGGAGAATATTCTCAATTCTGAGGTACGGTACTATTTGTACCACAGCCAATTTTTCTCGTGTTAACTTTATGTTTCCTTTATAAAAACTTTCTGAATGTCCTTCTTTAATAACACCTACTAACGATCACTAACATTGTGCGTTGTATAAAAACACGATATTTAACAAAATATTCACAATATTTTTTTATCATTCATGAAAACTATTCATATGCTTATTTATTGGTTGTTAAAAGTTGATTAGGTAGACTGAGGATTATTTCGGTTTTATGTTATCTTTATTTGACAATCGTAACATAAACCAATTAATGTACCCCACTTGTACACACATGTACTCGTACATATACTTGTACATGTACACAAAGACTCCTAGAGTAGATTGCTTTGGGCGACGTACAATTTGGATTGGAATACAATTCCAGGTCGCTAGCGAGTATCAACACTGTACAGTCGTGGAGAGACAGATTTAAGAAATGTTGCCTTACTATTGGACTTTTATCTTGTGTCGATGCAAAATGGTTTTTAAACTCAAAATTTGTGTTGTACGTACGAGAGATCGATACTAGAGGTATGTAAATGATTTGAAAAAGTCCAGAGCTAATATATTCGATGTCTCTTTTCATTCCCCCAACATGAAATATGAAGAAAAACTGCAAAATATCAATCAATATCAACCGCCCTAATGCTTCCGAACGACATGCAAGATGCAGTTTTTCACTATGCGGCCTATCCTAGTCTTAGCGTGGATACCCGAGTAACCATTCACCGATACCCATGTAATAAATCGATTGGGCGATTCCGAACAATGGAGCAACCACTATCACACGGCAAGCGCCACCTTTGAAGAAAGCTGTTATTCCTTCGTACTTCAACGTTGTTCTGAAAAGTGAACAATTTGTACTATTATTTAAGGTAATAACCCCAAATTACTTTTATTTAGACGTCTATACTGCTCCCTTATCACAACTAACATAGGCAATCGACATTTTTAGCAAATTGTGTTACCATATCCCTGCTTTTCAACTCTAGTGGCCTAAACCAAAATTGATCCAATTTTGACATATTATTGAAATTTATTGAAAATTTCATGAAAATTTATTAAAATAATCACATGACAACGGGGTGTTATTAATAATTCAGTGTGTAATTTATATGTGATAGTTATTTAGGTCAATTTCAATGACAATACCTAATTGTAAAATGTAACTAGAATTAAAAATTATTAAAAATACTTAAATGGAAAAAAAATGTAAGCGATAATGATGCAAGTACAATAACGTCAAAATAAATATACTACGTTCGAAAACAAGACATTAGAATTGTTATTTAAAAATTCCGCACTGATATACTTAGTATTTTAATTCGTCAACAAGTTATTTAATTGCTTTTAAACTACATATAAACTTTTTCTCAGACCAAACCTAATTACTTTATAAAAAATAAAATAAAGCATGATACCGAAAGAATTTCTGTAAAAATAACATTGTCACATTAATTTAATTCTTAGACTGCCAGGCGTATAGTGAAGTGCGAGAAAAACAATAAAAAGCTAAAAGCTAAGTATAATTTAATGTTCATTTCACTTCGTGTAAACTAAAAGCGCAATTTTTTAGAGCGGTTACACAGGGCAACTTTTAGCAGCGATGCAAACGCGATGCACTCGCTAATCATCTACCTTTACAAACGCAATTTTTTTCCTTGTCATAACTAACGCATTTTCATTTTGATAACTTTAGAGATATTGGCACTTAAAATTTTTATAACAGAAATATGTCAATTACGCTGATTTTGAAACTAAATGAGATATAAAGAAACCGCCTGTAGGGGGTTGTATAAGATATTCTCGTTTTGCGGATTTTAGATATTGCGTTAATAACTCAATTTAACTTTTGTTAATTTCGCTAAAAGTGTCGATTACGTTGGTTATAATAAAGAAGCAGGGCAGATTCAATTCTGCCCTCCTTCTTTATCATAACTAACGTATGAACATACTGTGTAATATAGATATAAGGCTCAATTCACACTGGCGCAGAGTCGAAGCGTCGCGACGAGTTATATTTTTCGCCTATTGCATATTCATCTCTACTTTCCCATTATTAAGGTACAAATTTGTGTTATGCAAATATGGAATCGCGCGTTGGGTTACAGTCGAGCGGTTGCGCGCGTCTCCGGGCGTTACTTGCGCATAGTGAAGCGTCAGACGCCGACCACACTGTGATCCAGTCGCGCTAAAGCGAGTGTCGCGTCTAGACGACGTGCGTCTATATGCGTTGTAGTTAAAAAATAGGACGCGATGCGACGCTTCGACTCTGCGCCAGTGTTAGTTGAGCTTAAGTCAACATAGTTAAAGTAATGAAGTAGTTTTCAATTCCTTAATCGGCTGCCATTGTGTTTGTTTTAGTACTACAAACTCTACTTATATAACTTACGTATCAAATTTGTAGTAGTAAATACATGTTGCCCAACAATGGATATCGTACCTGTATGATGTGTGTATATAAATAATTGTAGGTAGCACATACGTAATACAATCTATAATGCCGGAGTACTGACGTTCCCCTGCGCCCTTTGTTATAGTCTGCAGTCGCGTCTTGATTACATCCAGTGGGGTAACACTGAAAGCGCCCGTACCACCGCTTATTAACCCAGATATTAGTGACCACCTGAGTATAATAATAATTTCACGTAAGTAGTGTGTGTTTGGACCCCGGTTACCACCACCACGTCATATGTAGGTGTAGTAAGAAACTAAGAGATGGGTTAATATAACATGAGGTGTGTATCAATTTGATGGAAGAAACATATAACATCGCCGTATATTAAAAGCATGTATTTATGAATTTCGTGGAAAAATATTGAAATTGTGGTAACTGTAAAACAGTCTAAGGTGAAAACTCTAAAAATCAAGTGTTTTCATTTGCTGACATTGATTCTACATCGAATTTCGCTAGAGTATACTCTTATTTCAAAATCGTTTAAAAAGCCAGCACACATACAGCCATGATGGATTGGTAAAAAACAATTTGCAAAATGTTTAAATTTTTAAATTTTCAATTGTTTAAATGTTGAAAATAATTAAAATCAATTACTCGCATAAAATAAATTCTTAATAGTAAGTAGTACGTGGCTGAATTGCAATTAAATTTCTGTTTAGATAACATTTTAAGCGAATGTTTTAATTTTGAACTTAGGTAACCTCATTGCTTGAACTTGAACCTGACCTAAGTAAAGAAGTATGTCGCGCTAGAAATTAAAAAAAGGAACTCCTTACTTACTTGATCATGGTTGTAATGGAAAGAAAAAAGGTCCGGGGTGTGATGAAAAAAAACATAATGACACATTCAACTACGCGATTTGACGTAGGTACATTATTTATGTAATAGAAATCCGTGAGTAGGTATATTTTATTCTTATTATTGTTGACATTAAATTGATAACGATAACTAATTATGTCTATTAAAACTCGTTTGATATAGTTCTACTGTTTTTGTTTCATCTACCATTTTCCCTACTGTAGTGAGGTGAAAAGTTGTGTGTTTCACTCGGCTGCAAAGTTGTTTTCGTCTCGTGGCTTGAAACCCTCGTAACAACCAGGGTTCAATACAAGCACTCGAGTCAAACAACAACTTTGCAGCCTTGCATAACAAATGACTAATGTATGGTTGATCTAGGATTAAAACAATAACGGTCCGTTGCACTCACCAAAAAGGTGTTTTGTTGCCGTCTTTAGGTCCGGCGTCATTTAGAGTAGCAAACAGAGGAAAGTATACAACGCTGAAGGTTATGTCTCTTACGCCAGTCGCACCCACGCCTTTGTAAAGGCCAAATATGCCCCTCTCAGCCATTAGGGAACGCGTCAATTCCATAGCGCTCATTCGCTTAAATGTTTTGCCCTCTATTTAAAACAAACACGAGTAAGAAGTATTAACTTTTTGATTATGACGAGATAATCTAGTGTTTGGTCTTTCAGGCACTCCCCATACGCGTCCAGATAGACATAGACGCTATGTAATATGTGGTACGGGAAAATCTTTTGGTACAAGTACCATACTTTAAAATGGTAATTACCACCTAATTGTTATATTTACATTATGGTCGACAGTCATCTTAACTCTCACAATCGATATGTAAAAGGTCTGAATTCAAAATACATAGGGAAACAAAATAGTAATGCGAAATGTTTAAGAGCATATCAAAAAACTTAATACAATACAGTATAAAATGTGTGTGTGTGGTGCCATAGCCACACACATAGACAGCCACAAATTAAACCCAAACTCACGAGAGAAATAAATATAGGCCATGCAAGTATTTCTCCCGGTTCGGGTATCGAAACCGGGACCACTGCGTAGCAGATCAAATTATATATAGCGGAATAAATTTGAAATCATACTTTTGTTGTGTACAAATAAGTCTTTATATATTAGATATGCTGATAAAATGGCATTGATTAAAGTTCATGATGCCAAATTAATTATCTTTTGTAGGACAGTCAAAAGCACATCAAGCTTAGAAATTTTTTTGTTTGAATATCGCCTCGGTATGCTGCTATCTGTACATTTATTTTGATGTGCAAGTAGTGTTTTCGTTAGGAAGAGGAATATTTTGATGTAAAAAAGTGAGCGATTTAAATTAAATACCCCCCAATTTTTTTCTTTATAATACCAAGTAACGGTACGCACAAGTCGTGCGCCTAAGCGATAAGCGACACGTCTGTCGATAACAGTTCCAGTGCCACTCAGACCTTTAAATCGCAAAGATGTTAGGGGAACTCCCATTGCGCCTGTCACCCAGAGACAAAAGTGGACAAGTCCCGCGTGCCTGTAATTCCACCAGCACCTTCACCCTCCATATCTCTATTTATACAGAGAAAGAGAGAGCAAAAACTTGTAACCGAAAAGCATCGCGTCTTTCTGGGAAACACTGTGGAGTAAGAAGTCGCATCGTGTTGCCGTTGAACTGTAGATTATCTTTTATGTACCTTTTTTGGCTTGGGCCTCTAGGCGACCGGCGTCCTGCATCTGTATTTTCAATAATTCCATTGGCGTGGTGACAACAATTTGACACGCGCCAGCAGATCCTCCCGCTAGCATTTGCCGAAATATTGGCAACGTTCTGAAAGTGAATAGTTATTCAATTTCACGTTAGGATCGTGCAAAATAAACTATTTCGTGATATATGTAGTAGGTATAAACATAGCAGCACATTCTCGTAATAGGTAAGTATCTATTTGATTACACAATCCTAGGGCGGTATTCCAATCGACAGTTTGGTAAAGGCACCTTAAACATTTTTGTTCTATGGTTTTAATGAAAATAGGCAATATCTATAAATGTACATTCAAAGTAGACGTCTACTCACGATGTTATCTGCAAAATAGGTATGGCCCGATGGAACATTCAAATCAAGAGCCCATTGAACCTGACACTTTAACGCAAACGGCACATATAATAAATGATTATCACTAGTATCAGGTTTCTTACCACGGTATGACTTCTTTTTATTTTCCCGATATTTCGGAACGGAAATATCGGGAAAATAAAAAGAAGTCATACCGTGGTAAGAAACCTGATACTAGTGGTAATCATTTAGTGAATAACCACGAGAAAGTCTTAAAATCTATATGGCATATATAATATTCCACTGGCAGCTACCTAGGAAAGTCATAGAGAAAAACAGTACAAACCCATCAGGGAGCGTCAAGTAGTAGCGGAACATATCATTGGCAGACAGCTTGATGGCCTTCTCAGGTGTAATAAGCAAGATGTTAACAGCGGATCCGCGGTACATGCCGAAGTACCCTTCCGCAGCCATTGTTTGCCGAAAACAATCCAACCTACGTGCAAAAATTTGCTGACATAATACTTGACTTCTCAACGAACAGTACCTATTTAAAACGCTTAAATAACAAAAAAAAAGCCTTATGTCCAATAAATACACTCTTGATGTATAAACGCGTATAATCATAGTTTTTTTAAATATTATGTACGAATAAATAAATAAATAAATAACGCGCACACTCAACATAGCCCCGCACTAGGGAAACCCTGTGTCGCGGGTGCCATAGACACACACATAGACAACCACAAATTACACCCAAACTCACGAGAGAAATAAATGTAAGCCATACAAACATTTCTCCCGGCCCGGGAATCGAACCTGGGACCTCTGCGTGGCAGTCCGGCATGGTAACCGTTCGGCCACGGAGGCAGTTGAACGAACAACCCAGAACGCGGAAACCATAGCCCGTAGGGGAGAGTTGGGTATTACCGAGCCCGTAAGCAATAAATCCTATAGTTCAGCTCAGCCTTGGTTTATAAAAACAAAATTTGCAGTCGTAAGCAGGTAATTTATTTGGCTACACGTATAGTAGGTATAGCATAATCTTCATAAACAAATCCAAAAAGCAGTTGTTGCAAAATTACCAAAAAATGGGAAAACATGGTAATATCAAAATGGTCTGATAATATCGTGCTCAGGTAAAAAAAACCGTGCCCCAATCAATTTATATAACAAATACAAAAATATTTTTTAAGTTGGTTAATATTCGTGTATATTATAGTCTAGAATACTATCTTTTACAACAATATAATAGAATATTAAAATGTTAACAATAAATAAAATTAAACAAATAGATAGATGTAGAACTTTTGCCTTCCGTGTATTTATTTTCTTAACGAACTAGCAAACTTGGTAGCTTTATGAAAGAAAGTCAATATATTCTTTCAATATTTGATAGCTTTCTTTTTCTTTTTGAAATTGTTGCTTATCTTAAGTATCTGTACGCGTTTTCCACAAAGTTATCCTTTTCATTGTTTACGTCGCTGTTCGATAATTTCCTATTGGCAAACCTGCTAAAGCCAGTAACCATCTTTAGCTTCGTTTTCTACTCCCTCTTCAATTCAACATGTTTGCCAAATAAAATTTTCATAGTTTATAATTCCATGCCCTAATCTGATAATAGGTACCATGCTCTAAGAGCGGAATTGTCAAATACAGTCACTTTGCTTTCAAACCACAAAATAATATAATAAAAAGGAGACTGTACGTCCGAAATGATTTTGCAGGTCAATTCTACAATATATTAACCTTTCAAATATGTCAAAACATTACTTAAAATAAAAAAGTAATGTGTCTTATCTCTTACCTAAAAGACCCGTAAAATTACACTGAATTAGTATGAAAACTTACAGGACGCATCGTGTTCGAATGATTGCTCAGAATGAAGTGATAGCGTGTATGCGGCGAGTAATACGGGTTAGCCTATGATACTGGGGCACTGCAAACTCTAAGTAACGCGTGGTTATCGAGATATACAGAATCGCGAAATTATCAGCTCCTACTCCTCTCTCCTACTCTACTTACTTACTTCCTAATGTAATGGCAAAATCATTTGTCGAACATTATAGCTTAACTAATTTAGGTAGATTTTTAAATTATGCGGTTTAAGAAGTGACAGTAGCTTAACCCCTAGGTGGGTAAAGTTAAATTAGGAATAATGGTCAACTTTATGCATCTCGATTAAAACAGTCCCAAGCAGAGACGGGCAAGCTTCCGGGGTTTTACCCGGTGCTGATTTTTAAATCGGGTTAAACTCGTTAATTCTCTAATTTTGGAAATCGAGTTTTGTTGAAATGTAACGATATTATTACAAAATATTTATTGCTTGCCTCCATATTGTCTTTTTATTGAAATGAATCGATACAAAAAATCGTTAGATCGTATATGCTTGAATCGATTTTCATAAAAATCGATTCGTAATGCATCCTTAGCAGTAAGTGAGAGTCCATAGGATTGCAAGGTCGGTGGGAATTACGTAGAGTTCCCTCTTTCTCGTGAAAAAAATATTTTTACATCGAAATTCCTAATAAGTAATGAATTGTACCAACTTCCGTATTATTTTACGCGTATAATGTTTTCCGCTCACGATTTTCGGCAGAAATGGGTAAAAACCGGCACTTAGTGTAAAACCCGGTGGATTGTTTGGGGTTTAACCCACTGTCCATCTCCGGTCCTAATTATAAATTCTAAAGCGTGCTCTTGCAGTTCAAATTTGTTGACACTTAATTCTACTCATAATTATATATTAGCAGGGTATTTTAACATGCATCGCATTTGCATAAGCGCAGATGGGTTAAAGGTTGCTTGCCTCCTATATAGGAGGTTCTGATTTTAATTTCGACTCTCTACTACTCAGAGAAGATTCTTGTGCAGTGGGACGAACATATCAATTTATGTACAATGTAACAAGATACTACTAACATATTTTTATACTGCCTTTCGCCCTTGGGGCCGATGGTTTGATTCTGCAGTCGAGTTTTGACCAGGTCAAGTGGAAATACCACTGTGACGCCGATTATTCCTGCTATGCCTCCATTAACGATCTTCGGCAGCAAGCTGTACAGATGATAGCACCATAAAAACCTCATCATGAACCCATTAAGCCGTCACTCTGGCCAAATTCGGGTCGGAGATTTCATGTTTTCCAAGGGTTGTGACATCAGTTGTTTCACCGAAAACCTCATGGTAAATTTCAAATTAAATTTCGCACATAAATTGCGAGAAACTCAGAGGTACGAGCTCACGACCTCTTCTTAAGAGGCGGAAAGTCAAGCCTTTAGTTACCACGGCTTTTAATACGTCATGACTATAAACGGTAACCTATCACAAAGTCGAAAATTTTTTTTATCCGAAATAACGTTTGTTCAAATTTTCATTACACCGAAAACCGAACTATAACGAAACAGTTGTTCTTTCAGGATATGTTGAATGTTTATCGTTTAATTTACGGTTTAATAGAAAACACATTTTCCTCTCAAAATTCTTTCGAGGATATGAAATTTCGACCAAACGTTATTTCTAGCAAATGTTATTTCGGACTACTGATAGGTAAGCCTATAAACATATTTTACTTAATCCTATTTAACCATGAATGTATAAAATAAGTAGAGCTAATTCAATGGCTTTTAAATCGGTGCGATATAATACTCTGACATGATGACGTTAAAATTAACAACTCTCCCTTCCTTTCATACGCTGCTTCACCCCTTCCACCCTGAAAATTGTCAACAGAATATTTAACTGAAATATTTCAATCAACATAACGTATGAAATTGTTGAAAATTTTTCAAATTTCAACTAACACCGAATATTGTCGACTATCCGAATATTCTCCATTGATTTATAACACAAGTATCAGGAACTTTATGAAGTCATATGGTACTTAAGAAGCAACTATCTTATGTCGCAAATAAGATAGCTGCTACTTAAGGACCTCCCGATTTCTGAATACCTGCTATTGTTTTATTTCAACGAATTTCCGTTTTATTACGATTTTCAGTTAATTCTGCAGGGAAAAACACTATCTATTCTTAGTCTATTTTAGGCATTACAGAGTCAGCTGTGACCATGGTCACATGGTTAGTTTGAAAAGCGATTTAGATTTAGATCCGAAAAAAATAGTTTTATTTCAGTAGCAATCGCGAAAGCCGAAGAACTTCTTAAAATTCTAAAGTTATTTACTTATTACTAGAATTTTATATTATTCAGAAGTTATTAGGTCATTGAAGTTGGAATATTTTAAATTGAGTTTTTATTCATATTTAACTAATGTCAGTATAGGATCGTAACACAGCTTGGGAGAATATAAATAGACTTGCCTAACCCGTAAGGGAGTCACCACACTTATTAACACGGAATCGGTTCGAACCGATCAGAAAAAGCTTTATGTCCATGCAATAAGAGTGAAAAAAGCCGTTACGCGTTTCGCTTATCTCGAGATGCCGCCGAAACGAAACACAGTCTTTTTCGCTCTTATTGCATGGACATAACGTTTTTTCTGACTGCCTTAAGGTGCCTACAGATACGATCGACATTGTCGATCGACAGTGTCGATCGACATTGTCGATCGACAATGTCGATTGTATCTGTAGGCACCTAATCGACATTGTCGATCGACAATGTCGATCGACACTGTCGATCGATGTCGATCGACAATGTCGATCGTATCTGTAGGCACCTTTAGTGCGATTCAGTGTCCATATTTGTGGTGACTCCCTAAGGCGCCGCGCAAACGTGTGTTGGATACAAGTAACCGGTAACTAGAAGCGAATATTCTACATACAATTAATATTTGCGGCAACCGTAATTGTACAAAAATGGAATATTCGCGTTGCCGTTAGCTTGTATCCAGCACAAGACACATTTGCGCGGCGCCTAAGGGTGCGTACAGATCCGGCGAATGGGACGCGAACGCGCTGCGCGCCCACTGCTCGCGTACTGCATGCGTGAAATTAAATACATGTGCGCTAGAACCGCGTGCGAACGGCACGAAACAGATCGCACAACGCAATACACTTGTGCTGCTCGCGAGCCTTTCGCAAACAGGCGCATTCGCCAGATTTGTAAACACCCTAATGGACTACATTCTTTTTATATTCCGTTCACTCTGGCTGAAAAGCGATAACCACTCAAGCTTTCCCTAGGTGGTGCAACTACCTTTATAGAAAATTGTACTATAGGAAATTTGTAGTAGATTAATAGTAGTAGACATAGCGGCGCTAGAATCGTTTTACAGTGATGATCTAACCGATGTCCATATTGGACAATACACCGCATTTAAAAATATACTGAATACTTACGCAAACTGAGGCTGTGGCGGTTGTTGTTGTGACATTGTACGAATGTCACAAAAGTTGAAAGACCTGTTACGAAAAGGGGAATAGAACTTTGTTAAATTAAGCTCAATGTGGATCGGAATAGAAGTGATTTTTTCTCATAATGATCTTTATTTCAATTGCGTGACGTACAAATACGAGCTAAAAAAAACAGAATTTACACAAAGTCTCGGAAGTTCTCGCAGATGTCTTAGTAGCAGTAGAGCTCCTTGTGAAAGAGTTCGTCCAAGGAAGTACTGCCACCTTACCTATTTCTGCCGCCAAGAAGTAATGTGAGCATTAGGCACAATATTTCGGTTTTCAAAGCTAAAGGTGCTGATGGTGAAACGACAGGCACACTTATGTCTCCGGGTGACGGACATTGTGGCAGTGGCAGTCAGATACTAGTGAAATCAAGCTCTGTGTGACACTACAACAGTTATGGACAGGCGTGTTGCTTACCACTAGGCGCACGACTTCTTCGTCCCGTCACTTGGCATATATTTTTTAACTAATTATTCATTCATTTCATGGCAAATGAAATACGAAAATCTATGGAGGAAAAGCAGTATTGCTCGGCGGTCTTCCTTGGTATCCAGCAAGCATTCGATAAGCTATTCTGACTGCTTTTCAAGCTGAAAGAAAAATTTACCTCATACTGACTATGTTATACTCAAATCGTACTTGAAAAATAGGATGTTCTTCGTGCAATACCCAGAAGCAGTATCTTAGATCCACGACATTCAGGCAAGGGTGACTCAGGGCTCAGTATTGGGACCGATTTTATACACATTGTTTACATCGGATATACCAGAAACTAATGGAGTACTCACAGCGACTTACGTGACATAAAACCCCAAGTTGCATCGCGTAAACTACAAGTTCAACTTGATAAACTAGACCTGTAGCTCTCAAAATAGAAGATCAAAGCCAGTGCCTCAATATCTCAACATATAAAACACTTAGAAAAGAAACTGCCCTGATGTTAAAATGAGCAACCAGACCTAACATCAAGTTAATACAGTTAAGTACCTGGGAATGTATCTGGACAGAAGACTAACATGGAAAGATCACATCAAAGCAAAGCGGGATATATTGAAAACCAAATTGAGATCTTTGCTGTGGATAATGAATAGACAGTCAAGGTTTATCAGTTAAGAATAAGCTATTGTTGTATAAGTCGGTATTAAAACCGATATGGACATATGCATTGCAGTTGTGGGGATCTGCCAGCACTTCTAATGTGAGAACTGTTCAGCGCTTCCAAAATGGTGTACTAAAGACTATAGTCCAATCATCTTGGTTTGTAAGAGCCCAGGAAATACATGACTATCTTGAAATGCCAACTATTATACAGGAGATACTGGGACGTAAAGAAAAGTATAAGTCTCGATTATCACTACATACACATGTATTGGCAAGATCTCTTGTTGACGAAAAGCCTCTAGGTGGCTTGAGTCGTTTGAAAAAGTCATGAATACTGGAAAGTTGAATCAGTAGAACACAATCAGCCATTTAATGAATAAGGAAGAAAAGAGTCACAGGACTCTTTATTCGAAACGACATAAAACTAACTAATAGCACGGATCTGTTTATGGTTCCAGGACTGATCGCAGATGGATACGGAAACAGTGAATGAATAATATATTCATTCACTCTTTATGTACATACATCAAGAAAACACTTAATAAAGTCCAGACAGACAAACCAAAATGCTAATTAACAAAAAAATTACCTATATACAAAATCTTCGCGGCACTACTTGTTGACTCCAACAAAAGAAGTTACACAATTGATATACAGTTCATTACGTAACGTAAAATTTTGTAAGAAAAATTCACTTCCATTCATTTCAATATATTTTTTGTTAATGTGCCAAACAGTCACACCAATTACAAGGCAAACTAGGGAATTCCCTGTACAATGAGTACCGATCAGTGCGACCCTCACTGGTACCCCTTTCCAGGTCACAGGTGGCGATTAGTGAAATAGTCCTGTAGATGCTGCGAATAAAGGGAAACCGAAATAAGAACCGGATCGAGGCGGTAGGGTAAACAGGGAGTGTGAGGGCGCGTGTAGGTACAAGCTAAGAAATATGACGTGACTGCTACAGAAAAGATGAGAATGGTCTTGTACACAACAAGAACTTTGTCGGATCTAGCCACGAAAACATGTCCTGTCTGTTGCAAACGAGAAAACTACGAGTAGCAGATATCAGAGGGCGCGGCAGACCACTGTAGCGCTGGATGGACGACATCTGCCGACACGGAGGTTGGGATGACTCGGGCACAAGATCGCCAAGAGTGGAAGAAGAGGGAAGAGGCTACTTTGATCCAAGATTGGACCAAAGAAAGGTCGCCATGATGATGGTGAGGACCAGAGCTACGGAATTCACTTTGGAGCATTACCCAGAACATCCAGACAAGAACCAATTTAGAATATATCAATTCCCAAACTGGTCCAACCGGGAAACGAAACCGGGACCTCCACATCCAACGCCCACAGTATAAACCGTTGGGCCACAGAGGTCGTCAATTTATATTTTATTGTCATTATATAATAAGTTGTAGAACCTTGTACGCATACGGAATTGACACGCACAGTTCATGTTTTTCCTTCAGGTATGCCATTATTGATGAGCATAATGGTTAAGGGTACGTTAATGTTATGAAATAAGAGTGAAATCAGGTTAAGCACTAGCGTTCGTTAGTGTTACAAATCAATTAAATTAGAATTGGTAGTAAATACAACGTACACAATTTTTTCACCCTTTTTACATATTTATCTATAAACAATTCGTGGTAAGCTCATAAATGTAAGAATTAATTTGAATTGAATTTTAAATTAAAGAATAATTTATTACCTGTTAATATGTGTTCTAAAAATGGTTACATTCACATTATCATATCAGAAATAAACAATTAAATAATATATATTATAATGTATACATAATAACTTGGGAAAATAATTCAATGAAAAAACAACGTATTAACCACAAAATATCTTTGAGAAAGTGGTGTTTACATTCTCACTGTCATTGATTTTTTTTTTCTCTATGGTGATGTAGAGAGATCCAGCTCTAAGGAGATTTTGTTCTTAAGTATGTACAATAAACAGAAGGAAATCTAATTGCATTCCGTTCAAACGCAAATCCAGTGATCATCATCGTAACTGGTAGTCTCCTCTGACCGCCACCGCGCGTCATTGTAATAAAATATGTTGTCATATCATACAGTCTTATTTATATAATTTTATTCTCCTGTGCCAACCCTACCAAAATAGGTATACATTTTGCACGCTCTTTAGAAGTTTTGTCTCTGTTCGTTATCTTTACTCATGTGCTATACGAGTAGTGTGTATGTTATTAAAAAAAATGTAATTCCAATGATAGTAAAATGATATAACGACCTTGAGCAGATCCGATGACAGGAATAGCAGACAGATGAGAGGAACACCTCAACTGTATTATATACTGTACAGTACTATATGAGCCCAAATACAAGGTACCTGCTTTACATGCGCTGTATTAAAAATAGAGATAAATTACACAAAAAATTTGTTCAGTTTCCGGATAATGCAATATTTAAAATTACTCATTATAGATATAGAAATTTTTGTAACAATTTATTAAAGAAATTGAAATGTCAATATGAAAAGTTGCAAATAATTAATGCAGGTCATGATAAAAAAAGATTATGGAAAGTCATCAAAAATATCACGAACATGACTAACTCGAAATCGTCCGCTCAACAATTAATTGTAAATGCAGACAATCCAGTGCATACTGTTAACGCAGCAAATGAATTCTTTACTAGTGTAAGAAAACTTTTAGCTGAAAAAGTGGAAATAAACCTTCCGCTTTCAACTACAACCATGACCTCGTCACGCGCCTCACAACTGCACTCGTTTGTCTTAAACAACACTGACGAACTCGAAATTGAAAATATTATTATGACTTTAAGAAATGACTGTGCGACAGGAATTGACAAAATACCTTGTTCTTTCATTAAACAAAATAGATTACATTTGATTTCACCCCTGACTTACATATTTAATCTCTGTCTATCCACAGGAACGTTTCCCAAAGTACTAAAAACAGCCCTTGTAAAACCTATTTACAAAAGCGGTGATAAGAGCAATATTAACAATTACCGACCAATTGCCATATTACCATCTCTCTCTAAACTACTAGAAAAAATAATTTACAAAAGGCTTGTTAACTATTTAAAAACGAAGAAACTTCTCTCGACGTCCCAATTTGGGTTCAGACAAGGACTATCGACAAACGACGCAGTCGATGAGCTGACGGAATACATCGTAAGAAATTTGGACTCGAGGAATAAATGTTTGGCTATATTCCTTGACCTCGCAAAAGCTTTTGACACTGTAAACATACCAATACTTTTAAACAAGTTAGAAGCACTTGTAATTAGAGGAATACAGCTCAAACTTTTACAGGACTATCTTTCTGACAGAAAACAGCGCGTGACTATTGACAAAATAACGAGTGCTGAATTACCGGTTGAATATGGTGTTCCCCAAGGAAGCATCATAAGGACTATCTTATTCCTTGTATATATTAATCAACTATGCGCTCTCCCCCTCTCTGGTGGCAAGATCATATCTTACGCTGATGACACAGTCCTATTATTCAGTGCCCCAAGTTGTAGTGAAATCTTTACACAAGCTCAATTTGGTTTTAACTCGGTAACCGACTGGCTTAGAGCAAATGCCCTGACATAAATACTACCAAAACTAAATACATCACTTTCTAGATTAGATTCTTCTGCTTCCTTGGCACATTCCTTTATTTTCACTACATCACCCTGCCCACAAATAATGAAAATAAAACACGTAAACACATCTCAATAAACTGTATTAACCTTTACAGAATAGCATCAGCGCTACTATGACAATAATATAACACTAAGAACAGCACATTAAGTTTGATACTAATTGACGATACATAAACAATTAGGCTTTTACCACAATTTCTAGTTTTAGGTATTAAAACAAAAGGGTAACATGAAAATAACATTGTGAATAAAAAATAATTTTCTTTAGAACGGTTTAAATCATGAGACAAAAAGCTGTAGCGTTTAGGATCTCAATTTGGTGAATATCAATTTATTTTATAAGTGTGAAAGTAATATTGTTTCTAATTTGCCAAAAACCTTAACTAATTCACGGTTCATACAATATAAGGCAAGGTGCGATTAGGGAGTCACCACACTTACTAACGCAGAATCGGCTACATGCGATCGTGTTGAACCTCAATTGTCGCATCAAACCAATTTACCGTTGAACGGCCGTTACCGCGCCGTCGCGTCTATTATTCGTTTCTTCTAAACTAAGATCAAAAGCAAGCAGATTCGTTGCCGACAACAAGCAATGCGAAATGCAGAACGTCTTTTTCGCTCTTACGTTCATGGACATAACTAGAGTTGGGAAGCGTGCTTTTATAAACGCTTTTCACTTAAATGCTTTTTAGTTTGAAGTTTGGAAAATCGCTTAGAAAAACGTTTAAGCGCATAGACTTTTATGTTAAAAAAAGCTTGCGACGTTGTGTTCATAGCGAAAAGAAAGAGTAGATCACTAAGGGTTTTAAGAGTAGTATTC